GTGTCGTGACATCGGTTACTACTGGACAAGAATAGTAAGCTACATTGTTGTTTCCATAAGCGTAGGAACCATCTTCTACGATGTTGGTTATAGCTACACATCAATCTTAGCCCGAGTCTCTTGTGGCGGATTCATCACCGGTTTCATGACTTTCATGTCCATTGGAGGCTTCCCTTCTTTTCTTGAAGAAATGAAGGTAAACTATTAAATCTCTCACAAAATCTTGATTTGCTCGGTCGATGAAAAATGTGAACATGTCTTGTTTCAGGTGTTCTATAAGGAGAGGATGAGTGGTTACTACGGCGTTGCGGTTTATATCCTGTCGAACTACATCTCTTCTTTCCCGTTCTTGGTTTCGATTTCGGTTATCACTGGAACAATTACTTACAACTTGGTCAAGTTTCGTCCAGGGTTCTCGCATTACGCTTTCTTCTGTCTCAACCTCTTCTTCTCAGTCTCTGTGATAGAGAGTCTCATGATGGTTGTGGCTTCACTTGTTCCAAACTTCTTGATGGGTCTTATCACTGGTGCTGGCCTCATTGTAAGAACAGAGCAACCTCTGTTTCCTTTTTGTTTCTCCTAAAAAATTACCATTAAGTATATAAGATCTTGAATATTCTGTTTTGGAAAGGGAATCATCATGATGACATCTGGATTCTTCCGTCTTCTTCCTGATCTTCCCAAAATCTTTTGGCGTTATCCAGTTTCATACATAAGCTACGGATCTTGGGCTATCCAGGTAAGTCAAGAAAGCAACTTAAGTGACCTTTTCTTGTGAATTCAAGAACATAAAGACTGGATCTTGATTCTTGATGTTGTTAAACTTTAAGTAACATTTGTGTTCTTGCAGGGAGGATACAAGAATGACTTTCTCGGATTGGAGTTTGAGCCTCTATTCCCGGGTGAGCCAAAAATGACAGGAGAAGAAGTGATCAACAAGGTATTCAGAGTACAGGTGACACATTCGAAATGGTGGGACTTAGCTGCGGTTGCAGGAATCCTTGTGTGTTACAGGCTTCTCTTCTTCGTTGTCTTAAAGCTGAGGGAGAGAGCAGGACCGGCTTTGAAGGCGATTCAGGCGAAAAGAACGATGAAGAACCTAGACAGGAGACCTTCTTTCAAGAGAATGCCTTCTCTGTCTCTGTCACTGTCTTCAATGTCTTCAAGGAGACATCAGCCTCTCCGTTCACTTTCTTCTCAAGAAGGCCTTAACTCTCCAGCCCACTACTAGAAAGACATGATGTAATAGTTTCACTGTGTACTACTGTTGTGCAACTTTCATTATGATCTCATTTAGTTGCTCAATCAGCTTCGTTGTCACTGTTGGAGAATAAAAAATTTCCTCATAGTAAATGAAAATCTTACTACACCAAAATATCCGGTTTAAATGGGTAGGGGGCACTATAAAACTTTTTTCAAAGAATAATTGTGTCTGGACTGAAGAAAGAATAGTTATATTTTTAAATGACCAAATGAAAATCATATTCATATACAACAACGATTTAGAAGGAATCTTACATATTCATTTACTAATCTTTGTGGAATAAGAAGAAAACTATTACGTCCTCTATTATAACCGAGTCAATGTAAATGTAGCCTTCTCTTTCTTTTTTGTTTGTTTGTTAGAGGTAAGTGTAGCTTTCTGTCATCGACAGTCGGCTTGACCCGGGCCACATATATTTAGTAATCAAATAGTTCTATATATATGCATGGTTGGATCGTTCTTATAAAATGCATTAAAAACTGAGATGAATCTTCAACGAAAGTTAAAGGACTGTAAAATATGTCCATGTTGAATTGAGATCATGCAGAGATAAAACGACCAATTAAATATCTTTTTTTCCTTAAACATAATTTATGAAGCATATGTTTAACTAAGATGATCCAATGTTAATATATGCATGTCTAAAGTTCTAATGGATATGCATGCCATTATTCAGTTTGTAGATTCATTAGTTTTCCAAATGGAACTTGAAAGAATAAATAATTCCGTTAAGGAAACACAAATGTGAAAACTTATGGTGATTACACATAATAAAACTACGAGTCGGAGAGATGACCTACCACCAAATTATTTGGTCAAGAGACTCAAAAGTCTTAAGACCTTTTGTTTTCGAGACAAGACAAAAATGGTAAAATGTTCTTCAAAAAAGTAGCTTTTGCTGACTTCTTCCCATTTATTTTCCGAATTTACGGACATCTATAGTTTTTCTTTATGTGATCAAATTAAAGTCGATAGTAAGTAGAATTTGACTATGTCACAAAAGTACGAAAAGTAATTCACATGCAATTGAAAATGATTATTGTAATCAATAAAGTGTAAACTATCTTTTAAATTAAAGTGTCGCAATATCCATAGGAGACTAAACAATTCACATATATAAAGGAGAAGACCTTTAGTCGTTAGGAAAAAGAACATATTTGTTGCGGACTAAAAAGAGAATATACGACAAAAAAAAGAAAGGGGAATAGAAAGTCAACTTGGTTGAATATTTCCATGAAACAGAAATTGCCGTCCAAGTCCAAAAACGGCATTTTTGCTGGAAAAATCAAATCTAAAGCGTTTATCAGAGATTCAGAGTTATGGTGTAGAGACAACCACGTGTCGTGATCTTGACGCACTAGAAGCGTGCAGTAAGATGTAGTGGAACCAAAACCCCACGAACAGCACAACGCGTGAGTCGGTGAGTGTCAAGGACCAGAAAAAATCGAAGTCCTCCAAAACAGCCACGTACGCGTTGATGGAGGGCCCACTTACATCTGAAATTGCTCAAGTAATTACTACTTGTAGTAATTTAGTACTAATCACTAATCAACTGGTCATCAGATGAGGATAGTTTTTTATAAATGATTGAAAATGGAATAAACGAGTCGGTAACAAATTCTCTAAATGAGAAACGATTTTCACCATCATGATTTGGTTACAAGGACATTTGAAACTACACAAGTAAGAAATGATTTTTGAAACTTTTGGTTTGTGTGATGTGATGTCATTAGTATAAACGTATAATATGGCTTGTTGAGATATTAAAGATCTTGACATATTTATTAATAGATGTGGTTCAAACATGTGAACGTGTCTAGTATTGCATATTACGCCAAGGTGTTGATATATAGTAACAATTTAAAAACATTATCCAAATTCGGTCAGTATATTGTATTCGATCATGTAATGATTAGTTGATCATTTTGTTGATCAAGTATTCCGAAAGATAATCATACAAATACAATATTTGAAATTTAAATATGCCGATGGCTTTTCCAATGTAATTACCAAACATTATTGATTAATCGAACGATCATGGAAACTTTGCTGTAGTGAGAAAACGTAGTACGAGCAACAATAGTTTTATTTTTCTCTCTATAAAACGAGCAATAAGCCAATAAGATATAGTATATAGTTTTTTCGACGAAGTACTATAACATCACATTTGAATTTTGTTTATGTATTTTTCTTAAATAAAATGTAAGATTAAGGTATAGAAGAGTGCACTTGCGAAATCTTTATTACTAGGAAACAAATACTAATGTGTAAAATAAATTTTCTCGTTAACAGTTTAGATACGACACGTGAACGTATCTCCGAAGATTTTAGAGATGTATACCATTTTTTTTTATAATCTGAATTCCGAATGTATTAACCTCATTTCTTATCGTCTACAATTTACATCTTGTCTCCTAATTAAGCAGACCATACATTAAATGAATCTGTATCAATTAAATGATTATGTCAATCTTATCGTTAATGATCGTGAATCATGTTTAAGAAGTAACTTTATGAACAAAACTAGTAAAAAACAAAGCATGAGAAAGTATCCCTTATATATTAAAAGAGAAGACATTTATAAAAATCCTCTTTGTTTTCAACTTAATTTCAAGTATGTTATGCTGAGGTGTCGCAATTTGCCACACTCTCAGAATATTCTAAAAATAACATCTCTTTATTAGGCAAGTGCTGAAATATTTATTATTAATTTAATCAGAAAAATAATTATTAATTAAAATTATTTTTTTCTATTTCCTTATCTGTAGTACGAAAATTATAAATAAATTTAAAATATTTATTAGTCAATCAATCAGTAAAATATGGAAAGTTTTATTCAATTGTATTATATTAATTGTTTAAAAATTAATTTATTATCTTATCATTTTTTAACTTTAATTTTTCAAAACTAAATTATATCATTACATCAAAATCATAAAACAAAATTAGTTTTTTCTGCATATGCTATGATTTGAAAATTTTAAAATGAAGCAAATCTCTAAAATTGTTAAAAGTCTCATATTGATTATATTTTGGGTCAATATTTCATAAAACTTAGTTCTGCATATGCTATGATTTGAAAAAAAATGATCTCTAAAATTGTTAAAAGTCTCATATCGATTATAATAATAGTTCAAAAATCTATTATAAAAAAAATCCAAATAATGATCAACCATAGTAAAAAAACTGATTTATTAGGTTTCCAAACTTTAATTTTTTTTAATTTGATTTAATTTTGTTCTTTAATTGAACTAAATAAATAAATCATAATAAAATCTAATAACTTAATATATAAGTTAAACTATTTTAGTTATTTAAAATTGATCAAAAATATTAAATATATATGCCATATAAAACTATTTCAAACTTATTAAAATATATATATGTGGATTCAACTGTGTCACTTAATATTTCGTCATGTTCCAATCGAGGCTAAAAAAATATACATCACTCAAAAAAATTTCTAATGTAAACTGACATAATTTTTTATTTTCTAACACCTTATTTTTCTAGAATGATACTTATGTAAAAGATATCTAAAAATAAAAAAATCAAGAAAATATCACCCGTGCAGGGCGCGGGTCCAACCCTAGTGAAAGTTTATGAGACTATCGTGGAGAGGATTATTACTGTTGTATAGTAAATATTAATGTTGTATGAAAAATGTAAAAAGCAAAAAGATAATCGGAGATTCCTTTTCATAATCTCATTTTACTATCTCTCCTGTCTCTATTTCTTCTCTCTGCCTTTCTCGTTTGTCTGATTTATAGTTTTATATACAGAGTCAAAGATGTGATCCGCTCGTTAACTTCAAAGCAAATTACTGTTTGTTTCACAGAAAAAGTTGGATGCTTACGACTCTTCTCTCCTTATAAATATATGAATCTGCCGTCTTCAGATGATATCCATCAGCTTCTTCGTCGTGTGACGCACTTTCATCTCTCTCTCTCTCACCGTCCCGTCTTCGAATCATAGAATTCAATGTCGACCTACAAGCTCAATTACACTGTACTTCAATCCCTCCTTCTTCGTTTCACTCTGATTTCTTCTGCTTTCCTTGTAATTTCATGAATTGGCTATATTGCGTGTTTCTTAAATCTCTTCGCTGTTTATATTCCTCTTCAATTTGGGATTTTTCGAGTCTCTGGGGATTTATTATCGTGCAGTGTTCGCCGGAAATTTATTGAAATTGAATTCGGAATTAAAAATGTGTGAAATTTCTCTTAGAGCTGTCTTTTTAGGAATCGGTACTTTTGGTTGCTGGTTATGTTTTCAAAGTTTGTGTTTTTGAATCAGAACATTTGTTTAAATTATTGAGCTTTTTGGCAGGAATCCATTGGAAATGGAGATGCGAACAGTACATGCTCAAACCCAGTAAATGGTTTCAGCGAGCTGTCTTCACTTGCTCAATCAGAGAAGGCTGTTCAGGAGCTTCTTATTCAGCAGACTCCTATGCAGGCAACAGATGACCATTTGATTGAGTTTTCAGAGGCTTTGAGAAGTAAGCTTTGGAAACAAAAAGCTTCATGCTTTGTATTGTTCTTTGTCCTTAGGGACTTACTTTTAAGGTTTTTCCAGCTGTTGCAAAGGCTCTAAGGGGATCTGCGGAAGGAAAGGCATTGGCCCAAGCTGAGGCTGCTGAATGGAAGCGAAGATATGAGCTGGAGAGGTCCAAGAACCTAGTCTTGCTCCATAAAGGTTGGTTCTCTACTAACTCAGATTTCTGCTTAACTAGCTTCAAAATGATTCACTGTATCCATTTCTTATGACATAACTTCTGGCTTGTTTCACAGAGCCGTCGAATGGAGTGTGTGCTGATGAATTCAACAGCCAAGGGATGGATCACTCAGCCAAGTCTCCGCGGCTACATGTTCAGGAGAATGGGAAATCGGGAAGGTATTCCATGGAGCGTATCTGCGCTCATGAAGTGCTCCAAGATGGTGAATCTAACAGTCCTAACAACAAATTGAAGAGAAAGGTAAATCTACACTTCATTGTTGCTAGATATTTCATCTAATATTCTTGAAGATTGTTCCTTTAGAGCTCCTTAAGTATCCTCACATTTGATGTAGCCCAATACTCTTGCATTCAAAGCTGGCTGCGATAGTCCTTAACCACCTATAGCAAGAACACATCTCCTGTGCACTTGACGTTTGCATGTGGTGTATTACATTTGAAAATCTGTTTGAATCTGGCTGCAGGCATCGTTTAAACTTTCATGGGGATGCAAGGGACAGGCTAATGACCAACACAAGAAAGATATCGTCTCTTTTGAGAGAGGGAATATCACTACAGCAGACCGCAGTAGTAAACAGGTAGGGCTCTCTGAATTTACAACTTAAGGCAAATACATGTTGCGGTGTTACGCAAGATTGCTTCTTAGTAAGGTGTTATGCAGACTGACCCAGACAACTTTTCTAATTCTCAGATTTCACTGACATGGGAGAGCAATCCACAAAATGTGATTATCTTCACTAAACCAAACTCAACTTCTGTACGAATCCTCTCTGTGGAAATGGTCAGGTCGGTATCTAGTTTCAGTCATTCTCTCTGAGTTTCTGTTGGAAGGTGAAGAGTGTTGGCTCAAGGTGAAGTAATCATATTTTATTTTCCACTTTCAGATGGTTGAGAGATCAGAAAGGACTAAATGTCTACGTGGAACCACGAGTAAAGGCAGAACTTTTATCAGAATCAAGTTCCTTCGACTTCGTACAAACTTGGGAAGATGGTAAGATATGACATGCTTAGTCTTCAGATTGTTCTCTGGATCCAAGGCTCATTAGTAACTGATAATTCGTTTATGCAGACAAGGAAATTTCACTACTACACCCAAAGGTTGACCTTGTTATAACTCTTGGTGGGGATGGTACAGTTCTATGGGTAAAGTCAAATCTGACTCAAGTTTATATTCATTCACATCTTATAATATCACACATGACACATACAATCTAACATGGAACATCTTTAATGGTTTTACAGGCAGCGTCGATGTTTAAAGGACCAGTGCCTCCAATTGTACCATTCTCCATGGGATCTCTAGGATTCATGACACCTTTCCGTATCCTTTCAACTTTTAACAGTTTCATAACCATCAGTTGAATTAGCTGCAAATACGCATCATTATCTGTCACAAGAACTTTTCTTTAACTCTGATCCCACAGACAGCGAACAATACCGAGAATGTCTAGAAGCCGTTTTGAGAGGTCCAATCAGTATAACACTACGACACAGGTTGCAGTGTCACATCATCAGAGATAAAGCAAGGCATGACTACGAGACGGAAGAGAACATGCTTGTTCTCAACGAAGTCACCATTGACCGTGGGATCTCTTCTTACCTCACAAACCTCGAATGCTACTGCGACAACTCGTTCGTCACATGCGTTCAAGGCGATGGACTTATATTATCTACAACGTCTGGTAGCACCGCGTATTCACTCGCCGCTGGAGGCTCAATGGTCCATCCACAGGTACATGATCTTCATCTGCATAATAAGCAATGTTGGTACTATGATGATTTACCAATAACTTAATGTTTTGCAGGTTCCTGGGATCTTATTCACGCCTATCTGTCCGCATTCGCTGTCGTTCCGGCCACTGATATTACCGGACCACGTGACGGTGAGAGTGCAAGTGCCATTCAACAGCAGAAGCTCTGCGTGGGTATCGTTTGATGGGAAAGGACGGAAACAGCTTGAAGCAGGGGATGCGCTAGTGTGTAGCATGGCACCATGGCCTGTCTCGACGGCTTGTCAAGTCGAGTCTACTAATGACTTCCTACGAAGCATCCACGACGGTCTTCACTGGAACCTAAGAAAGACTCAATCTGCTGATGGACCTCGTGACACTTGAACAAATTTCTACAATGTATTAACGCTCTTTCCTTTCTAAATTATACACACGTAGTCCAGACATCTATCTATTTATCTGTATGCATATAGATAAAGATGTAAAAGAAAGTGATGGGTTCCACAAGAGAATCTTTTCTGTACACATCGTTGGGTGTAAAAGGACATGTGTAGTACGTACTTAGCTGATATGACCCATAGTTCTGTTGATGCTATCACTCAAATTTTTTTTTTTTGGTAAAAGCTATCACTCAAATTTAATAAATCAAAGAAGTTTCTGTCCCCAATTCCGAACTTTAAAAGTCGTCTTTATAACTGCTTAACGCTTAAATGTAAGCTAACTACTAGTACATCATTTCCTATCGTGCTTATCCCAGCTTGAGCTTGATTCAGCGCAGAGCTGTGTAGTGGTAGAGAAGAATACATCAATACATACCTGCAACCAAAAACATTCAAATAAAAATAAATCAACCCATGTCCTGGCTTGCTTTTTTATCTTGACATACATAAAGAGTAGTAGAAGACTTACTTCGTTAATAATATGCATCATCATCATCACCATTTACACTGTCATCGATTTCTTGATCGACCACTGGTCTTTTCGCTCGTACTGTTCTGACTGATCCTTTTAATGGCTTTGCCTTCTCTGCCTGAAGCTCCATTCCTTTCTCTGATGGTTTTCTCTTTCTCTTTCCCCGTGTTTCACCCATTTCTTCTACAATACAGAGCCCACAAGCATTACTAAAGAAAGCATCCAAATCTATGGCATAACACATAATGCATCATCCATCCCCAGTACTAAATCTATAGGAATTTCATAAACTGGTGTTTTTCATATGAAGCTGTTATTACGATATTTCTTACCTCCTAGTAGTGGACTTGATGCATGGTCAGGCCCATGTCCGTTCTGAACAGCCTCTTCAGAAGCAGGAGATGCAGATATACGAGCTTCGATCAACTTCATGTTGTCTTGCCGCTCATTTGTATCTGGGATCGGTTCAGCTGGAAGGTATCGGAGTTCCTCCACTGACATATCTGAATCGCTGAAAGCATCTTTTTCCACTGTGTCTATGTCAACTTCTTCATCTTCATTAACATCCGATACTTTCACCTACACGCATATACAACCACATACATTCAGGAAAACAGGTAACACAATGATAATAAAGAATTTTCACCCATCTAACTATTCAAATTTCTCACCTTTTCTGTTTCAGGTATCAGATCAAATTCATCTTCCCGTTCCACATACTCTTCATTCTCCTCAAGCTCCTTGAAATCAGGAGCAAACGCACTCCAGTTCTCAGTGTAATCCTTCGCCCAAATGTACACTAAACCAGCCAATGAAACAGAGACGATGATGGGATGAACAGGATGCCAAGCTAGATCAATCAACGCTTCTTTTGGACCTTCTAATATTTTCACAAGATGCCCTGCTCGATCCCATATGTAGATCTTATGTTCTCCTTTGCACGCAGAGCCCCCAATCACCCACTCACCGTCACCACTGAAACAAGGCGCTTTCCAATGCATCTTGGTAACAGAATCTTGAAACTCCCTGTTGAGCTTCAAGCATTCCGATCCAACAGCCTTCATTTTCTCAACACCGTCACCATCAATCTTCTTAACCAAGTCCTCAAGAGATCTAAGCACATTTTTCGCTGGGAGGAGATTATCATATATCCTAATGGTGCGATCGTGTGAATTCGTGAGAAGAAACTTCCCGTTCCTGCTAAACACTATGTTCTTCACCGGTGCCCCACCAATCACAGGAATCAAAGCAAGAACTCGCACAGTTTTATAATCTATTATCAGTATCTCTCCTTTGGAGTTTCCTATGTAAACAAGATCACCACTCTTGTTAAAGCAAGCCGCAGCTGGAGAGAAAGGAGGACCTGACTCAGGGCATTTACTGCGCTGCGGAGGAGCTAACACGTCTGGCATCTCAGGCACAGCGACCGGAAGCAAAGTCGTACAATCAATGTCAAAGTCGACTATCATCGGAGCTGATGAGAGCGGGCACGCAAGGCAAAGAGAAGGCGAGGTTAAGCCAGGGTTTAAGCGAGCGTGCAACGGAGTCTGCTGGAGAATCGTCCGAGCAATCTTCTCTCCCGTATGAACATCCCAAAGCGTTAACGACTTATCTGCAGCTGATACGAGCAATCGGTGCCCGTATTTTGACCATGAGACGCTTGTGATTGCAGCGGAACAATCAGTATCACGAATCTCCTTTGCGATTCCTCTGGTTTCGAAATCCCAGATCACACAGCCTCCATCCGCACATCCAGCTAACGAAACCAACAATGCAAGATACATCAATGTGTGCGCTATAAAATCCGATAACTAGCCTAAGCTAATCAAGTTCATGGAAGAGAAGAAGAGACCGGAGGTGAAATTGGGGAAAAATTTACCTGCGAGAAGAGAACCACGGTGATTGAAAGCAACACATTTGATGACCCCGTGCTCTAGATATTCTTCAATCACCTCTGGAAAATCTCCTTGCAATGGATCTACACAGAGAAAACCCAGAAAGGGAATAAATAAACAACATTACCGTTGAATAAGATTGAGAAAGGAAGCAGAAGTGGGAATCGAGCTCACCTATTATCGGAGCATTCATATTCTCTTGTTGGTCTTCAATACGTGCCGGGTTTTTCTGAAGGAGTGACTGCACAGCCCACCGAAATTAGGGCTTCTACGACACAGCGATTGCAGCCAACTAATCTAGATGGAGTTTCTAAGAGCCGTGAGCTACAATGGAACTGGAGAAATTAGGTTTATCAATCTCTTCACTTGATTTCTCCGAAGAAATTGTAATTTGAGATCGAAAAATCCTTCGAAGATGAAGAAAACTCAAGTTGAGAAACGAAATTAGAGAAGCATTGCGAAAGCAGAACCGGTATTAGAGGAAAATCGTGAAGAAGCTTTGTTTCGGAGGGAATTTGATAGCGAGGAGAGGAGGATGAAGAACGCAGTGGAAGTGCGAGTTAATCAACGGTGGGCTTTAAAACACTACTTTATAATTCGAGTTTAGGCGTATTTATTGTTCGATCTCATTATCTAATTCTGTATTTTGATTACTTACAGTAACTGGATAATTGATTATCTTATACTCCAGAGTCCAACACAAGCCCAAAGATGGCTTTTAGCCTTTGTTACTATTTGTATGATATTGTGTCGATAATTTTCATGAGTATTTTACTAATATGGACCCACATGTGGGACACAACAAAAATATCATGGACTTGGTTCTTCGCAACAAAGATAAATATAAGACACGTGGCAACAAGCCATTTGCACAAAATCGTATTTGGATAAGGAAATGGATCATTTCGCCACAAACTTGATCCGTTCCACAAACTCAAATGACCACAAACTTCTTAAAACACATTCCATCATCTCACAAGCATTACCCGAGAGAGCTAACGAGCGAGAAAGAGAGAGTAGAATCATATCATAGAATTCAATTAACTATCAAGAAATGGCGTCGATGACCATGACAGCCACATTCCTCCCGGCACTCGCTAAGCTTCCGTCAACCACCGGCGGACGAAGGCTCTCGTTGATCAGAGCCTCAACGAGCGAGAACACAACCAGCTTAGAAGTCAAGGCCAAGGAGGAACAGAGCAGCACCACAATGAGGAGGGACCTAATGTTCACGGCTGCAGCTGCGGCGGTTTGCTCCTTGGCTAAGGTAGCCATGGCAGACGAGGAGCCCAAGAGAGGGACAGAGGCGGCTAAGAAGAAATACGCTCAAGTTTGTGTCACAATGCCTACGGCCAAGATCTGCCGCTACTGATTCCAACAAAATCCATACCTTTCATGTCTCTCTCTCCCTCTTTCAATTTCGGTAAATTTTCTCAAATTAAGTTTGGTATGTAATCATATATTTGATCAGTTCACTAAGAAACCTCTTTCATATTTCTACTAGACTTCGTTTCACAAAACCAATGCATAGTCAATACAAAATAGCTTCCGAAAACTAGATTAAAATAGCCAAACCATACACTAATTCATACTGCAGCAGCAGAATATGAACGAAGAAACTGAAAAACTGAAGAACCAAACTAAAAAGACTTAAGCCTACTAAGTGAATAGCAGCTAACTAAGAGGTGAGACTATTACCCTTTAATCACCTGAAAACGCAGAGCCAAGCCTCTCTCTTCCCATCCGGTTCTAGCAAAAACATTCCCATTCTCATCCTTAATAATGCATCCACTAGCATCCATCATCACTTTATACCCTCCCGATGTAATCTGACCAACACTCAACACATTCCTGTTGATCCGAGGAACAAACAGCACATTCTTGATCGTCTTCTTCACTCCATCCATCACGATACTAACATCACCTTTCCCTGCCGCCACGATAACCCGTCCTCCCGCCAGCAGAACCTTACCCCTGTACGTTCTATCCAGAGTCGTGAAAAGCTTCGCGTACGGAGTCATGTGGCTCGAGGCGTTGGTGTATATCATCCACATATCCTCATCAAACGTGAAGCCACCAATAGTCACCGCTAACATCAAATGCACAGGCTCCTGAGCTTGTTGCTGAATTCTTCTGCTGCTGCAATGCTTTGCAAAGTGCCCTCTTTCTCCACATTGATGGCATTGGCCTCTAAACGAGTTCTTTGCCATGGGGTTGAAGAAACAGTCCACTGTGTTGTGATTGTACTTCTCGCACAATCCACACCACAGCTGCTCAGACTTAGCCTTCTTAAGACTAACGTAGGAGTCCTTCATCATGTACGGCATAGCATCTGGATGATCTCCATATCCACCAAGAAGATTAATAAGATCATCACGAGTCATATCCGGCAGAGCCATGAACTCCTTCAGCAACGGGATTGCATCGTCGTATTCCCACGACAACGAGGTCAAGAGCTTCGCGATAACCTCGTCATCGGATTTCTCAATCCCTAAATCCTCCAGCCGCTCAAGGAAATCCACAACTCTCCCCAAGTAGAAATCCATCGGTTCTCCGTCGTACATTCTCAGATCTTCGAATTCCTTCTCTAGCTTAACGGGATTGTAACGGCAGTCTTCTTCCTTGTGATTGTACTTCTCGCAAATCCCACAATACATCTCCTCAGCGATGGCTTTCTTCAGACTTTCAGAGAAATCCTTCACCATGTGAGGCATAGTTTCTGGAGGATCTCCGTATCGTTCGTACATGGTAAGCAGATCATTAGAAGCCATATACGGCATTTCCATGAACTCTTTCAACGTGGGAATCGCATGATCGTATTCCCGTGACAGTGAGGTCAACAGCTTCCTCACAATCTCGTCATCGGATATCTCAATCTCTGAGATGTAGAGCCGATGAAGGATATCATTAACTCTCTTCAAGTAACTTTCCATCGTTTCTCCGTAATGCATCTTAAGATTCTCGAATTCCTTCTCTAAGCTACGGGGTTTCGCTTCTTCGTTACCTTTTTTTAGCAGATCCCAAAGCTCCTTGGCCGAAGCAGCCGAGATAGTGTTTCTGAAAGCCGAATCCGTGAGAGAAGATTGCATTATTTTGAGCGCTTTGATGTCTCTGATCACACGATTTCTCCACTGCGCAAGTTCTTCGGCCTTGATAGTCGCCGCTAGCTCTGGAATCTTCGTCGGATCCGGCGAGACTCCGTTTACAACGACATCCCAAAGTCCATTCTCCACTAGTCGTTTTTGCGCGATTGGAGCCCAGGTTTCGTAGTTCAAGTCATCGGAAACAGTGATTTGTTTCTTCGCCGCCGCCATTGCCGCAAAACTTTAAGGTTTCCGATAAACCTTTGCTTTTTTTCTCGGGATATTCTCTCTTGGAGCAAGGAAAGCGATTAAACAAATCCCTTCACACGAACACTTCTATTTAAATATTTATACAGTGACATTATCCCTAACCGTGAACCCTAAAGATACAATTTTTAACCAACCAAATTTGTAGCTCGGTTTTGGTTCTATTCTTGGCCCGGTTTAACGCAATCAACGCACCTCGGAGCTTGGCTTAGTCTGAAAACAGTCCGACAATCATACATTGATCTAAAATATTTGAGTATTTGCACTTTGTAAACTCTGTAACAATGAAAAACGTGATATTTATTTTAAAAGATAACAAGCTCATTTCTTTATTCGAGGAAGCTGCCCAAGTTCGTATCACAAAATGCCTAATACCAAAATTTGCTGTTGCTGATTCAACAAACATCCACATTTCCATGTCTATCTCTTTTCAGTTCCGGTACATTTGGGTCTGTTATCATATATTTGACCAGTTTACGAAAAAGTTTTCTACTAGAATTCGTCTCCGTTTTACCATTCACAAAACTTGATAAACTCATACCAACAAGTGAATAACAAAAATAGTTTTTGATAGCAGATTATGAAACCTCTTTTGTATTTCTACTAGAATTCGTTTCACAAAAGCAATGCCTAGTGAATACAAAATAGCTTCCAGAAACTAGATTAAAATAACCAAACCGTTCTAGGTCAAACTACCAAGACTAATTTCATACTGCAGTAGCAGAATGTGAATAAATTTTTCTAAGACGAATAAACTGAAAACTGAAGAACCAAACTAAAAAGACTGATGATGATATGTCCACCTTTCTACCAAGTGAATAAGCAGCTAACTAAGAGGTGAGATTACCCATGAATCACCTGCAAACGCAGAGCAAAGCCTCTCTCTTCCCATATGGTTTTAGCAAAAACTTTACCATTCTTCTCCTTAATAACGCACTCACCACCTCCCATTGTTACTGTATACCCTCTTGACGTCATCTGACCAACACTCAACACATTTCTGTTAATCCCTGGAACGAAAAGCACATTCTTGATCGTCTTCTTCACTCCCTTATGGATGATACTGACATCTCCTTTCCCTTCAGCCATGACAACCTTTCCGCTTGCCAACGATACACCATCCCTGAATGTTCTGTCTAGAGTCGTGAAAAACCTCACATATGGAGTCATGTGACTCGTGGCAGTCGAGTATATCATCCACATATCCTCATCAAACTTCACGTTACTCTTCTGATCCTTCTGAGCTTGTTGCTGATTCCTTGTGCTGCTGCAATGTCTTGCATAGTGCCCTCTTTCTCCACAATGATGGCATTGGCCAGTAAATCTCCTGGCTCCTCCACTCGAGTTCCTTGCCATGGGGTTGTTGTAATAGCAGTCTTCTTCGTTGTGATTGTGCTTCTTGCAAAATCCACACCACATCTCCTCAGCGAGACTTACACAGAAATCCTTCACCATGCGAGGCATAGCTTTTGGAGGATCTCCATATCGTTCATACATTGTAAGCAAATCTCTATAAGTCATATCCGGCATCTCCATGAACTCATTCAACACAGGAATTGCATCATCGTATTCTCGTGACAATGAGGTCAAGAGCTTTTTGACAAGCTCATCATCGGATTTCTCAATCCGTGAAATACGGAGCCGATCAAGGATATCCCAAACTCTCTTCAAGTAACATTCCATCGATTCTCCGTAATGCATTGTAAGATTCTCGAATTCCTTCTCTAATCTACGGAGTTTCGCTTCTTCGTTACCTTTTTTGAGCAAATCCCAGAGAGCCTTGGCCGAAGCAACCGAGAGGGACTTCCTGAAAGCAGAATCCGGGAGAGAAGATTGCATTATCTTCAGCGCCTTCATGTCTTTGATCACACGGTTTCTCCATTGGGCAAGATCTACGGCCTTGATAGTCGCTGCTAACTCTGGAATCTTCGTCGGATCCGATGGGACTCCGTTTACAACAACATCCCAAACTCCATTCTCCTCTAGTCTTTTTTGCGCGATTGGAGCCCAGGTTTCATAGTTCAACTCATCGGAAACAGCGATTTGTTTATTCGCCGCCGCCATAGCCGCAGAGTTTCCGATTAACCTTTGTTTTTTCGGAAGATTCTCTTTGGAGCAAGGAAAGTGATTAAACAAATCCCTTCACACGAACACTTTCTATTTAAACCGTGAACCCTGAAGATACAGTTGTTAACTAACCAGACTCGGTTTTGGTTCTATTCTTGGTCCGGTTTAACGCAATCAGAGAATGTGTGATATAACGCCAAGGAAATTCGGTCAAGTATTCGGCTCAGTTCCTTCAGTTGAGAATTAATTTCATATGATAAAAATCGAATACATTTCTATAATCAGGTTGATGAGCTTTTCCTGGTCCCAATATAATTGGGATGAGTTATTGCAAGGTAAATCAATTAGGGTCAAGTCTAGTATTGGTTGATTGATCCTGTTAAGTGTTAAGTGATAAAACCAACACCACACTCAAAAATTCTCCCCACCGATCAACAAATATTTTAGTCATTGCACTTCATTTGTAAGATTTGTAACAATGAAAAACGTGATATTTATTTCTCTGTCCAACAAAGCATAGTGAATATGCCCAAGTTTGTATGTCGTTACTGATTCAACAAACATCCACATTTCCATTTCGGTACATTTTATCAAGTTTGGTCTCTCTGGTCATATATTTGATCAGTTTCCAAAAAAAAGAAATCTATTTAATTCTACTAGATATCATCTCCATTTAACCATCAACAAAACTTGATAAACTCATACCAACAAGTGAATTAACAAAATTAGTTTTTGATAACAAGAGTAATGAGAAGCCGTCCTAGATTATTACACACCAGACAAATTCATTCTGCAGTAGCAGAATATGAATTAGCTTTTCTTAAACGAACAAACTAAAACCACATGGTCCAACATTACGATTTAAATCTACTTACCAAATTTGCTCAAAGCGACCCAAAAGTAGCTTCAAGCCGTGAAATTACCTTCAATCACCTGGTAACGCAGAGAAAATCCTCTCTCTTCCCACATGGCTTCCCCAAACACGTTCCCATCATCATCCTCAATACTGCATTTGCCTCCTCCAATCGCTAACGAATACCCTAACGATCCCATCTGACCAGCACTCAACACGTTTCTGTCGATCTCCGGAACATAGAGCACATCCTTGATCGTCATCTCCCCATCCTCCGTCACGACCCTGACATCTCCTCTCCCTTCCGCCATGATGGTCGATCCATCGATCAATACGACCGGAGCCCTGTGTGTTCGATCCAGAGTGGTGAAGAACTTCACGTACGGAGTCATGTGATTCGACGTTGTGGTGTATATCATCCACATATCCTCATCAAATGTGAAATCGCCCTCAGTTATCGCGAACATTTCGTATCTCAGGTCACCGGAAACAGCATTTTGTATAATCTCCGCCACCATAGCCGTAACAGTAAGTAATTATGTATAGTCAGTCTCTTGGTGAAAGCGAGATTTGTTATGCCCAACGCTCTCTATTTATACAGTTACATTATTAAATCGTAAACCCTAAAGTTCAATATTGGAGAAAAATCAGCAAGTGAGTGTGGTTCAGGTGTCGACATTTCGAGTTTTGACCCGGTACTTGGTTCGGTTTACTGCAATCCAAATCCCTTCGTTGACATTTCAACTCTTACCCAACTTCGTTGCCAAAAAAAAAAAAAACTCTTACCCAACTTAATTTCACAAGACAAAAAATTAAATCCAAAACATTTTTAGAATTAGGTAAGGTTGGTTGATACGGAGTTTTCGAATCGGTTCTGGTTACCATATGTAATTTGGAAGAGTTTTTTTAGGGAAATCAATTTTGGTCTAGTCTGGTTTAATTTAGGTGGATTCATCCGGTTAAGTGACTAAACCCAACGCTCAACACCACAAGCAAGATTCTCTACAGTCACAGTGGCTATAGCAAAATCTGCCGCTATTCAAGTCAATCTTCTTTCTATTTCGGTACAAAAAAGCATATATTCAAGTTTGGTATGTGGTCATATATTTTTGATCAATTTCCATTAGAAAAAAAAAAGTCTTTTAGTTACTAGAATTTGTCTCCTTTTTCACCAATAACAGAACTTGATAATTTGATAAACTCATACCAAGAGTGAATAACAAAATTAGTTTTTTGATAACAAGAGTAATGACAAACCGTCCTAGATTATAACACAGCAGACTAATTCATCCTGCAGTAGCAGATTATTGAATTGAACTTCTTAAACGAACAAACGAAACAACAAACACACAAAAGACTGATATCTTCACCTAACGAGTTATTTAAGTCTACTACCAAATTTATTCAAAAGCGAACAAACAAAAGAGCTAAGCCCTGAGATTACCTTCAATCACTTGGAAACGCAGAAAAAACCCTCTCTCTTCCGACATGGCTTCCCCTAATAGCTTCCCATTCGGATACCTAATAGTGAACTTGAAAACCCTGTTCCCTGCCATGATCGCTGAATAGCCAAGTGATGTCAACTGATAAACACTCAACACGTTTCTGTTGACCGCCGGAACGTAAAGCACATTCTTGATCGTCCTCTTCCCTTCCTTGGTCATGATCTGCACATCTCCTCTCCCTTCTGACATGATGATTGCTCCAGTAGCCAACTTTATCCTCCTCCTGTGCGTTCTGTCCAGAGTGGTGAAAAACTTCACATACGGAGTCATGTGATTCGACGTTGTGGTGTATATCATCCACATATCCTCATCGTATTTGAAATCACCAACAGTCAGAGCAAACATTTCATACTCTTCTTCGACTTCTGCTGGTTTCTGTTCCCTTTCCGGTGAATCAAACATGTTCTTCAACATTGAAGCGATGGCATAACCCGGCAACGATCCAAACGTTTGAGCAAACGCAACAAACTCGTCGAGGCTCGTATTCTTCAGATCCATGTACTCGTCCAACAAAGGAGGAACACAATCGTACGACATTGGCAGCGAGCCTAAAACCTTCGTGATAACCTCGTAATCGGGTTTCGCAATTTTCGAATCGCGGAGCTGCTCGACGATTTCCATCACTCTATCTAAGTAGGAATCCATCGGTTCTCTCTTGTTCATGCTAAGTTCTTCGAATCGCTTCTCTAATTCGACGAGCTTCGCTTCTTCTTCGTTACCTTCTTTTAGCAGATCCCAAACATGTTTCGCCGAGGATGCCGAGAGAGTCTTCCTGAAAGCCGAATCCGGGAGAGAGGACTGCAGAATCTGGAGCGCTTTCATGTCTTTCACAGCGAGACCTCTCCATTTCGAAACTTCTTCGGCTTGAATCGTCGACGCTAGCTCTGGAATCTTCGACGGATCCGGCGGGACTCCGTTCTCAACAACATGCCAGAGTTCTTTCTCCACTAGTGTAGTTTTCGCAATTGAAGCCCAGATTTCGTAGTTTAGCTCATCGGAAACAGCGTCATGTGTCTTCGCCGCCGCCATAGCCATAAATGTCAGGTCTCTTTCTGGATATTCTCTTGGAGCAATGAAAGCGATTAAACTATTCCCCTCACCTGAACATTTTCTATTTGTAAGCAAACCGTAAGCCCTAAAGTTCAATTTGGAAAATCAAATTTGGCTTAGTCTGGTTCAATTTGAATGGGTTGCTCCGGTTAAGTGATCATTTCTGCTTCAGTTTCATTTTCTTTGAATTCGGTCTCTAGTCAACGTAACTTTTACTTAATCGTTGACTTCTTTCAACATAGCCCAAACATATTTTTGCGTAGCAGCTGAGAGTGAAGAGTCTTCTGAAAAAATTGAATCCGTGAGAGCTCAATGCAGTATTTGAAGTTCCTTCCTCACAGTATGTTGTTTGCAATGTTACTACTTACTACAACTCGTCACATTTTCATCACCATTAACCAAAGCATTGCAAACAGAATAACAAAAATAGTCTTTTTTTTTTCAAACTAAATTTATACCAAATTCGTCCCAGAGGTTCTGAATATGAATTAGACCAACAAACTGAAAACAAAATAACACCCAAAACAAAAAAAACTCCTTACGAGCTAAGTCCACCACCAAAGTGAAAAAAAAAAGAGAGGTAAGATTACCTTTTAATCACCTGCAAACGCAGAGCCATGTCTTTCTTGTCCCACACGGTATCACCAAACACTGCTCCAACCTGATCGCTGATAATACACTCGCCACGTCCTCCCTCTCTGAACGAACATCCTTGAAATTCCAGCTGACTAAGACTCAACACGTTTCTGCTAATCTCAGGAACAAAAAGCACATTCTCAATCGTCTTCTTCTTCTTCTTCCCATCCTTCATCACAATCTTCACATCTCCTTTTCCTTCAGCCATGATAAGTTTCCCATCCACCAATCCAACTTTCCCTTTGTGTGTCCTGGCCAGAGTAGTGAAAACATTCTCATACGGAGTCATATGGATCGTTGCAAAGCCTGACACCATCCACAGATCCTCATCATAAATCAGATCACTTTCACTTAACGGTGCTGCCATGACATAATCAAATACGATTTCATCTTCTTCTTCCTCCTCATTTGTTCCTTTCGGGTATTCGTGCTTTCTCTTGCAGTCTCTTGCGTAATGCCCTCTCTCTTCGCACAGAAAGCATTCGTTTTTCCTCGGCCTAACTTGCCTCGCCTTGGAAACGGATTTACAGTCTTCCTTGTTGTGATTGCTCTTGCTGCAGACGCTACACCACTTATCAGACGACGATTCAAGTCTCAGATTCTTCAACCTCAGAGATGTAGCTTCCCGTGTAATCGACTCATACATGTAACTAAACTCAACGAGAACTCCAAGAGGCATGTTCTTCAGATCCGTGGATCTGACTTTCTCCAAAAGTGGAGCAAGATTCTCGTATCGCTTCGAGAGAGATGATAGCACCTTGGTGATCAAATCGTGATCGGATTTCGCAAGTTTCATTCGGCGGAACTGTGCTGCGGTTTCCAAAACTCTATCCAGGTAGAAATCGAGCGTTTCTCCTTCATCCATGCTAAGCTCTTCGAATCGCTTCTCTAATTTCGCTTGTTCGTTAGCTTTTCGAAGCAGATCCCAAACATCTTTGGCGGAATCAGCCGAGAGAATGATCTTCGTGAAAACCGAATCTGGGAGAGAAGATTGCAGTACCTGGAGCGCTTCAGTGTCTCTTCTCACGAGATCTCGCCGTTTTGATACTTCTCCGGGTTGAATCGTCGCCGATAACTCTGGATCCGGCGGGACTCCGTTCTCAACAACATCCCAAAGGCCTTTCTCGATTAGAGTAGTTTTCGCGATCGTAGCCCAGATTTCGTAGACATCGTCGGATAGATTCGCTGCCGCCATTGCCGTAAGCTCGTAACCGTCAGGGTTTTTCGATTTCCTGTATATTCTCGTGGAGAAAGCGAATATATAGAGTGTGAGAGTATACGTAAACCGTAAATTACGTTTTGAAATCACGAGCTTGGTTTGGGTTATATTTTTGGTTTGGTTTAGTGCAATTGGATAACAAAGCATGTGACGTGGAGCAAACCGACTTTGCGCTTGTGGAGTGCTGATCAAGCTAGGTTATTTGGTTGTATCTAAATAAGGAAAAGTAGAAACTCTTGTATATGTATATAAGAACTATTCTGGACCTAATTTTTCTGTGAGTTTCTCTTCTTTCTATTCATTTATTTTTATATTATAAAAGAAACGCATAAAGGGAGAGGAAGAGAAACATGGGAGATCTTCCTGAGGATTTGCTACTGGACATACTCTCTAGGGTTCCGGAAGCATCTCTGGCAAGATTTCGATTGGCATCCAAAGGATGGAAAGATCTGATAGAGAAAGATGGGAGACTTGTGAAGAAGTCTCTGGTTATCATGTTGATTAAATCTAGGGTTTATGTCGCGAGGTATGATCCCCAAGGCAGTCTCAAAAACGTTATAAAGGTGAAAAGTCAAATCAGCCTCAAACACCCTTTTTCTTACTTCGGAAGAAGTCGATATACATATAGACAACGTCTTCTACTGCGATGGTTTATTGCTATGCACCACGGAGGACAAAAGACTGGTTGTTTTGAATCCGTATTCAGGTGAAACTAGTTGGGTCAAACCTAGAATTTCACACGAGAAATAGCGGTGTACATGCTCTCGGTAAATCCTCGTGCAACAAGTACAAAATCTTGAGGATGAATAAATTCAGTATTCTCGACAAATTAGTTGATTACGAAGTCTATGACTTTAACACAAATTCGTGGAGGGTTACTGTTGGTGAGAATAGAGCCTGGTACATTCTAGCGGGAAGGCCGCTATGTGGCATGTCTGTGAGTGGAAATACTTACTGGCTTGCTCATGCAAGTAGTTTCGATGAATTCTTACTAAGTTTTGATTTTTCAACCGAGAGATTCGGACGTGTGTCTCTTCCTCCTGGTAATAATGTTTCCTATCATGTTTGGGGTTTATCGGTGACAAGAGAAGAGCAACAACTTTGTCTGCTAACTACTCAGAGCATAGTGGTATTCGATATTTTAGATTTATGGAGGGCAACGAAGATTAAGAGTAGCGGAGCCGTGTCATGGAGCAAGTTCCTATCAGTGGATTTAGCCTATCTCCATCATCCTTTGGACTTACGTACTGGGATGAATTTTTTGGCTGATCGAGAGAATAAAGTCTTAGTATGTCTCGGTGAACAAAAGAACTCTAACAGCTTCTTACACATTGTGAAAGAAGACATACACGTAAAAGTGGATGGTGATGATGCAGGATCTAAGAGCTCAGTTCTCGTCAGTTATGTTCCAACTTTGGCTCAAATTCAATAAGGTTCTTTGGGGTTAAGCGCTAGGAAAGAACAAAATTACGTGAGTTGTTGTAATTGTCACACTAGCTAGTTTATGCATTATATATCAAAGTTTTTCTACTTTATAATTTGAATGTGAGATTAATTTCTTTTTTATTAAACGATCATCAGAATCCAGTTGAAGATTTTCTGTTTTAAAGTCGCCATTATCCGTATTGCTAAAGTCACGAGATGTTCTTTAATATTTCAACAAGTTCTCCAAAATGTTGGTATTGGTCAATACACATAAGTCATAAGATGTACGTGTAATTAATGTGTTGGATTTTACGTTTGAGTTTAGGATTATATCTAACATAATCAAAGGATCAAATAGTGTTTTTGGTTTAGCCAAGCCAAAAATAAAAACAGATCCGACTTACAATGTTTGGTTTAATGCAATTGGATTTAAAAGCATGTTACGTGAGCAAACCGACTTTGGGCTTGTGGAGTGCTGATCAAGCTAGGTTATTTGGTTGTATCTCAATCAGGAAACGTAGAAACTCTTGTATGTAAAGGTCTTACCGTCATACAGAAGAACTATTGACCTAATTTTTTCAATTTTTCTGTGTTTCTCTTCTTTCTATTCATTTATTTTTCAAGAAACGCACAATTCAGAAACGGAATTGAGAAGAAAAGAAACATGGGAGATCTTCCTGAGGATTTGCTACTGGACATACTCTCTAAGGTTCCGAGAGCATCTCTGGCAAAATTTCGATTGGCATCCAAAGGATGGAAAGATCTGATAAAGAAAGATGGGAGACTTGTGATGAAGTCTCTGGTTATCATGTTGATTAAATCTAGGGTTTATGTAGCTAGGTTTGATCCCCATGGCAGTCACAAAAACGTTATAAAGGTAAGCAGTCAAATCAGACTCAAAGACCCTTTTTCTAAAGAAGTCAATATACACAACGTCTTCCACTGCGATGGTTTATTGCTATGCACCACGGAGGACAAAAGACTGGTTGTTTTGAATCCGGTTTCAGGTAAAACCAGTTGGGTCAAACCTAGAATTTCACACGAGAACATCTGTATTTATGCTCTCGGTAGATCCTCGTGCAACAAGTACAAAATCTTGAGGATAAATAAATTCCTTTATATGGATGGAGGCCAAGTTGATTACGAAATCTATGACTTTAACACAAAGTCGTGGAGGGTTACTGTTGGTGAGAATAGAGACTGGTTCCTTCTAGGGTTATGGCCGCTATGTGGCATGTCTGTGAATGGAAATACTTATTGGCTTGCTGATGATATAGGTGGGCTATGCCAATGCATAATAAGTTTTGATTTTGCAGCCGAGAGATTCGGGCGTGTGTCTCTTCCTTATAATCGTCTTTCTTATGATGCTTTTGGTTTATCGGTGACAAGAGAAGAGCAACAACTTTGTCTGCTAACTAGGAGCAGGAGCAGAGAGGTATTAGATTTATGGAGGGCAACTAAGATTGAGAGTAGCGGAGCCACGTCATGGGGAAAGTTCCTATCAGTGGATTTAGCCGATCTCAGTCATCCTTTGGACTTGCAGGTTGGGATGAATTTCGTGGCCGACCGAGAGAATAAAGTTTTAGTACGTCCCGGTAAACCCGGTAAACATAAGAACTCTCACAGATTCTTCGTACGTCTCCGTAAACATAAGAACTCTCACAGATTCTTACACATTGTGGGAGAAGACATACACATAAAAGTGGATGGTGATGATGGAGGATCTAAGTGCTCAGTTCTCGTCAGTTATGTTCCAACTTTGGTTCAAATCCAATAAGGTTCTTTGGGGTTAAGCGCAAGGAAAGAACAAATTACGTGAGTTGTTGTAATTGTCACACAACTACACTAGCTAGTTTATGCATTAGTTCTTTGGGGTTATGCATTATTATCTGTCCAAGTTTTGATACTTAATTATTTGTTCATTTATGTGAGAAAACTTTTTTTTTTTATCAAACGATCAGCATAATCGAGTTGAAGAATTTCTGTTTTAAAGTCGCGATAATTCGTATTGCTAAAGTCACGAGATGTTCTTTCAACAAGTTCTCCAAAATGTATGTATTGGTCAATACACATAAGTCATGTATGTGTTGGATTTTACATTTAAAAGATGATTACGCTCTTGATCAATTTGGTTAACAGTGAGTTCTTTCTTACTAACAATGACTAGGGCTCTAACTGGTAATCACTTTAGAAATAAAAGAAACAATGAGAAATAGGAATAAGAGGAACAATAAGGAACAAATTATAAGGAATGGATTTTAATAAGGAATGAAACAAAATATCACTAAGAATGGTAACCAAAAAAAGGAACAAGTGTTTTTAAAATAAAATATTCGAAAATAAATTATACGAACATTAAGCTTTCCTTTTCTACAATTTTATTTCCAATATATATCTTAAAATATGTTATTACCATTTTTTATTTGGTTCCATTTGGTTCCTTGATAAATTTGGGGTCGAATATATTTGTACTATAATTCCTCATAACTTAAGGAACAAAGAGGAATTATGTGGGTCCCATAAAAAGGAAGGATTCCCTCTAAATGGTAAATTTTTTTAGGAATGAAATGGAATGTGATATTCCTTCTCATTTCATTCCTTAATTGTGGTTACCAGTTACAGCCTAGAATACGCTTTCTTCTCACTGTTAACCAATTTTAAACAGATATCTTTGTGTTTAAGTTGTGATCTCCTTAATCCTAGAATACGCTTTCTTCTCAAAAGTACGTGTAAATTTAAAATCTGTTTAGAAATTTCTGCATATACAAACTTTATGAAACGTCATGTATGAGGAACTGTTTTTTTCTTTTTCAGTTCTACGAAAATATATATTTATATATTTAATTAATAAATTACGGTTGTATATATATATTATGCTTATCAATTATAGAAGTTATCCATATCTGCCGATTTTTTTCTAGTGATTTTTGCTCGGGGTGTTTCTTTGAAAGACCTATATATATTCAAAAAAGGGTGAGGATGAAGATGAGTTCAATTTTCTTAAACAAAAAAGGAAAAGTTATGATGAAGACGAAAAACAGAGAGTTTCGAAAAAGGAAGAAGAAGAGAAACACAATAGATCTTCCAGAGGATTTGGTAGTGGAGATACTCTCTAGGGTTCCGGAGGCTTCTCTAGCACGGTTCCGATCTATATCCAAAGGATGGAACGCTCTGATAAAAAAAGTAGTGATACTTACGAAGAAGTCTCTGATTCTCATGTTGATTGATTTTAGGGTTTATTCAGCGAGCGTTGATCTCAATGGAATTCAGAAAAACGTTGTAAAGCTAACAAGTCAATTCAGCCTCAAAGACCCTCTTTGTAATCCTTCGAAAGAAGTCGACATACGCACCGTCTATCACTCCGACGGTTTATTGCTATGCACCACCAAGGACAATAGACTTGTTGCTTGGAACCCACGTTCAGGTGAAACCAGTTGGGTCGAACCTAGAATTCCACACGAGAAAATCGGTATTTACGCTCTCGGTAAATCCTCGTGCAACAAGTACAAAATCTTGAGGATAAATCAAATCAGTAATAGGGACAAAGGCCTAGTTGAGTACGAAGTCTATGACTTTAACTCAAAGTCGTGGAGGGTTACTGTTGGTGATGAGACTAGAGACTGGTCCATTATAGGGTTAAGGCCTTGTGGCATGTCTGTGAATGGAAATACTTATTGGCTTGCTGATGGTACAGGTGGGAGATTCATAGTAAGTTTTGAATTTTCAACCGAGAGATTGGGACGTGTGTCTCTTCCTCCTACTTCTCATTTTTCTTATGATGTTCGTGGTTTATCGGTGACTAGAGAAGAGCAACAACTTTGTCTGCTAACTACTCAGAGCAGAGTGGTACTCGATATAATAGATCTATGGAGGGCAACTAAGATTGAGAGTAGCGGAGCCACGTCATGGAGCAAGTTCTTATCAGTGGATTCAGCCTTTCTCAGTCATCCTTTTCGCTTAGTTTCTGGGATGAATTTCTTGGCCGACCGGGAGAAAAGAGTTTTGGTGTGTCCCGGTGGAGAAGGGAACTCTAACAGCTTCTTACTCATTATGGGAGAGGACAAATACATACAAGTGGATCATCGTGATGCAGGATTTAGGTGCTCGCTTCTCCTCAATTATGTTCCAACTTTGGTTCAAATCCAATAAGCTTCTTTGGTCTTGAACGCAAGGAAAGCACCAGTGACGTGAGTTGTTGCTACTTTATTATTGGTTTATTATTTATGTTGAGATTACTTTTATGTATTTCTTATCAAACGATCATCAGAATCCAGTTGAAGAATTTTGTGTTTTAAACTCGTCATATTTCGTATTGCTCAAGTCACTAGATGTTCTCTCCACAAGCACTTGTCCAAAATGTATGTATTGGTCCATACACATAACATAAGGCATAAGATGTATACGTGCTAGATTTTACCTTTCTTCTGTATTTTTGTTATGGTTATGGTTTTTGCTACCGAACCTTGAAACCATTTCTGTAATAATAATCTGTATAAACAACGTGATTTTTGGCTCCCTTGAATTTTATATACACTCTCTCGAGTCACCTAATGTGGTCATCTGGTTCACGTTAGCGTGTGGTGTAGGGTTAATCAACTCAAATGCAACAACCAACGCGTTAAGAACACACTTTCCATAAAAATTTGTCAGATACATGTTTTTTTTGTTAAGAATATCTGTAAGACCCAGTTTTGTAGCATCAGCTTGTCCATGTGCTGCTGTGGCTCGTCTGTTGCCTCCGTTGCTGTTATTGTTAGCTCTTCCAGGTCATGTATGGCTTGAGCCACTGCTTGGTTTTCAGAAACTAAAGAGCTTGAGGCTCTCTAGCTATTCATCAAAGGATAACTGTAAGAAAAGCACAAGGATGAGAAGATATTAACCGAAGGGGTCGGCATTAATAACGACTCCAGTGGAAGAAACCCCTCGCAGGACTTCATCAAGGACGTCTGTTAGTAGGCCAGTTGCATTGATGGTGAGAGTACCAGTGTAGCCTAATTTCTCCAAATACCGTTTCATACACGGACCGACCCGACGTGCATCAAAGCCAGGGGGAACGGGACACGTATCGATGTTCCAAATGACCGTTGTTACTGCAGAAACACACTCCTGCGTCGCCTTCATCATTCAAGAGAGAGAGAGAGAGAGATCTCACGATAAGATCGATTCTTTTAGGGCAAATACAACTTTCTTGAGTTCATGTATGGGTTAGTTTATAATATATAGGTCGATACGCGTGGCCCATTAGTTTTATATTACAATTTGTTCTTTCTTAATCTTAACAAACATATATATTAATAATTTTGTACCCTAATTTCTTTGAAAGTCCAAGTTAGACGCTTTCGAGATAATAAAGATGAACACAGTAGATGTTCCAGAGGATTTGGTAGTAGAGATACTCTCTAGGGTTCCGGAGGTTTCTGTCGCACGGTTCCGATCCATACCCAAGGGATGGAACGCTCTGATAAAAAAAGAAGAGAGACTTGCAAAGAAGTCTCTGATTCTCATTTTGCTTGATTTTAGGGTTTATTTAGCGAGCATTGATCTCCGCGACAATGTTGTAAAGCTAACAAGCCAGTTTAGCCTCAAAGACCCTCTTTGTAATCCTTCCAAAGAAGTCGATTTATGCGACGACGTCTTTCATTGCGACGGTTTATTGCTATGCACCACGGAGGACAAAAGACTTGTAGTTTGGAACCCACGTTCAGGGGAAACCAGTTGGGTCAAACCTATAATTTCACACGAGCAAATGGGTATATATGCTCTCGGTAAATCCTCGTGCAACAAGTACAAAATCTTGAGGATAAATACATCCACTTATTATATGCCCACAGACCTAGTTGAGTACGAAGTCTATGACTTTAACTCAAATTCGTGGAGGGTTATTGTTGGTGAGTGTAGAGACTGGTACATTCTACTGCCATGGCATTGGGGTATGTCTGTGAGTGGAAATACTTACTTGCTTGCTGGTGATGTTAAAGTTGGGGAATTCTTACTAAGTTTTGATTTTTCAACCGAGAGATTCGGACGTGTGTCTCTTCCTCCTGGTAATGATGATGTTTCCTATCATGTTTGGGGTCTATCGGTGACAAGAGAAGAGCAACAACTTTGTCTGCTAACTGCTCAGAACAAAGAGGTATTAGATTTATGGAGGGCAACAAAGATTGAGAGTAGCGGAGCCGGGTCATGGTGCAAGTTCCTATCACTTGATTTAGCCTATCTCCATCATCCTTTGGACTTGGAGGTTGGGATGAACTTTTTGGCCGACCGAGAGAATAGAGTTTTGGTGTTTGCCGGTAAACATGGGAAACCTAGCAACTTCTTACACATTGTGGGAGAAGACAAATACATACAAGTGGATCATCATGATGTACCGTCTCACTGCTCACTTCTCCTAAATTATGTCCCAACTTTGGTTAAAATCCAACAAGGTAATTTGGGGGTTGGCGCAAGGAAAGCACCAATCACTTGACTTGTTTTAATTGTCACACTAGTTTATGCATTTTCTATCCAAGTTTGGCTACTTTACACTATTGAGATAACCTATCTTTTTTATATATAAAGAATTTCTGTTTAAACTCGCCATATTCCGTATTGCTAAAGTCATGATGTTTTCTCCAAAGTTCTCCAAAGTGTTGGTCAATACACTTAAGATGTATACGTGTTAGATATTACGTTTGAATTTAGTATTATATCTAACATAATCAAAAGTATCAGATAGTGTTTTTGATTTTATGTCAGTTTCTTCGATTTTACTGTTATGGATTTTGTTTCCAAACCTTGGAACCATTTATGAATTAATATCTTGTAACAAACAACGTGATTTTGGACAAGCAGAAATACAAGAGATTGAACCACATTAGAGCAATGTTGGTCAGATGCTTTACCCACATTTTGACTCCCTTAAATTTATATACACTCTAGAGTAATCTAATCTGGTCATCTGGTTCAGTTTAAATGGACTATCCCTCGAATCGAAAGAGGAGCCTCTTGATTGTATCTGACGAACACTCAACACGTTCCTGTTGATCCCTCGTGGAACAAAAAGCACACTACTGATCGTCTTCGTCTTACCTTCCTTCATCAGAGCCTTAACCTCTCCAAATCCTTCTGCCATGATCAGTGAGTTATTTCATACTAAAAATGACTAACTGGCTATATCTGTTTTCTATATTAATGGGGCATTTGTATATTGTAACGTGCCGTGAAACACAAGTTATGTATAAATTTCCAATTCTAAACACATATCTTTGTAGTTGTGATCTCCTTAATCCTAGAATACGCTTTCTTCTCAAAAGTACGTGTAAATTTGAAATCTATTTAGCAAGTATCAATTTCTGCAATTATTACAAACTTTATAAAACGTCATGTAGAGGATTTTTTTTTTTTTCCAGTTCTACTAAAATCTTTCTTATTATAATTCTTTCACCAGTTCTCAACATAAAACTAAACTTATTTTAATTGATGGTACCTCTTGAAATGTGAACACAAAATTATACTAATGCAAGAATTAGTGGATATCTAAAAAAAAATCTTGAGAGGTGTGGATAAATTTTGGTGAGAGCAGCTGCTGGATCTTGTGGAGACGAATTCCACCTTAGGATAAGAAACATGTGACGTGAACGCGTTTTCGAACCTAGAGTAGCTCCTGCGTCGCCTTCATCATTCAAGAGAGCGAGAGAGAGGATCACGGTGGTACTCGTTTCGATCGATTCTTTTAAGGCAAAATACAACTTTCTAGAGTTCTTGTATGGGTTAGTTTACACAGGTCGATACGCGTGGCCCATTAGTTTTATATTACCGACAGCTTCTTATTTTTTTCCATATTTCGTAAAAAAAAATTCTAGTAATTTTTGCACGGCTGTGTATTGTCATGGTTCTTTGAAAGCCCTATATACATATATAGGTATTGAAATATATTGACGACAAGATATCTAAAAACAGTGAGAATGAAGATAGAGTTCAATTTTCTTTAACAAAAAAGGAAAAGTTATGATGAAGACGAGAAAGAAGAAGTTTCCAAAAAGGAAGAAGAAGAGAAACACAATAGATCTTCCAGAGGATTTGGTAGTGGAGATACTTTCTAGGGTTCCGGAGGCTTCTCTTGCACCGTTCCGATCCATATCCAAAGGATGGAACGCTCTGATAAAAAAAGAAGAGAGGCTTGCAAAGAAGTCTCGGATTCTCATGTTGATTGATTTTAGGGTTTATTTAGCGAGCGTTGATCTCCCTGGCAGTCACGAAAACGTTGTAAAGCTAACAACAAGTGAATTCAGCCTCAAAGACCCTCTTTCTAATTCATCCAAAGAAGTTGATATACGCAACGTCTTTCACTGCGACGGTTTATTGCTATGCACCACCACGGACAAAAGACTTGTGGTTTGGAACCCACGTTCAGGGGAAACCAGTTGGGTCAAACCTAGAATTTCACACGAGGAATCCGACATCTATGCTCTCGGTAAATCCTCGTGCAACAAGTACAAAATCTTGAGGATAAATACATTCCCTTATATACCCACATGCCTAGTTGAGTACGAAGTCTATGACTTTAACACAAATTCGTGGAGGGTTACTGTTGGTGAGAATAGAGGCTGGTACATTCTAGCGGGAAGGCCGCTATGTGGCATGTCTGTGAGTGGAAATACTTACTGGCTTGCTCATGCAAGTAGTTTCGATGAATTCTTACTAAGTTTTGATTTTTCAACCGAGAGATTCGGACGTGTGTCTCTTCCTCCTGGTAATTATGTTTCCTATCGTGTTTGGGGTTTATCGGTGACAAGAGAAGAGCAACAACTTTGTCTGCTAACTACTCAGAGCACAGTGGTATTCGATATAATAGATTTATGGAGGGCAACGAAGATTAAGAGTAGCGGAGCCGTGTCATGGAGCAAGTTCCTATCAGTGGATTTAGCCTATCTCCATCATCCTTTTGGCTTAGGTTATGGGACTAATTTCTTGGCCGACCGGGAGAATAAAATTTTAGTGTTACCCGGTATACATGGGAACTTATACATTGTGGGAGAAGACAAATACATAAAAGTGGATAATCATGATCAGCCGACGTCTGCTCGCTCACTTCTCTACAATTATGTCCCAACTTTGGCTCAAATCCAATAAGCTTCTTTAGGGTTGGCGCGAGCAAAGCACCAATCAGTCGACTTGTTTAAACTGTCACACTAGCTATAGTTTATGCATTTTCTATCCAAGTTTTGCTACTTTACTATCTTAGCCAGGTTCGTAATTTTTCCCACAATAGTTTGTTTGTTACTATTATTCACCATCAAATACCATTTCGTACGTTGTGAATAGCAAAAACAGGTTTTGAAAACTAGATTGATTACAGACCAAAGATAATAATCCATACTGCAGTAGCAGAATATGAATTACAAGAAACAAATCGAATCCAGAACCAAAACCAAACCTTGCGAGCCAAGTCTATAACCAAAGAGAAGAACTTTAAGATTTGAGATTACCTTGAACCACCTCCAAACGAATAGACAATCCTCTCTCATCCCACAAAGTGTCACCAAACACTGCCCCACTCTTATCACGAACAATGCACTCTCCTCTCTCCCCAGAATCGAACGAACACCCTCTCGATTGCATCTGTTTAACACTCAACACGTTCCTGTTGATCCCTCGTGGCACAAAAAGCACAGGACTGATCGTCTTCGTCTTCCCATTCTTCATCACAACCTTCACCTCTCCCAATCCTTCCGCCATGATCACCGTTCCATCAACCAACCCAACTTTAGCCTTCACCGTTTTGTCAAGACGACCTGCGAAAAGCTTCTCGTACGGCGTCATGTGGCTCGTCGAATGGCCGTATATCATCCACATGTCCTCATCGTATGTGAAATCACCCAGAGACAACTTCGCCATCAGTATATAATCAACCATGGTTTCTTCTCCATCCTTATCCTGTTTCCTTCTATAGCACTGCCTTCCATATTCCTCTGCCTTAGGGATGTGATTCTTCTTGTTACGAGACTCGTATTTGAGCCTGTTTAGCTTCAACGCTCGATCGATATCTTCAATCTTCATCGAATCGTATCCTTGTAAAACCTCAACGAGGCTCTTCAATGTCATACTCTTCAGATCCATGAGATCTCCCAACACAGGAGCGACACCGTCGTATGACGCTGAGAGCGAGGCTAAAACCTTCGTGACGACGTCGTAATCGGATTTCTCAATTTTCAACCGGCGCAACTGTTCGACGATTTCCGTAACTCTACCGGAGTAGGAATCGATCGATTCTTTTTCCCCCATGCGAAGCTCTTCGAATTGTTTCTCTAATCGACGAAGCTTCGCTTCTTCGTTACCTTTCTCGAGCAAATCCCAGAGATTTTTCGCGGAATCAACCGAGATTGTCTTCCGGAAAGCCGAATCGGTGAGAGAAGACTGAATTAGCTTGAGCGCTTGGATGTCTTTAATCACACGATTCCTCCATTGCGCGAGCTCTTCGACTTTGATAGTCGCCGCTAACTCTGGAATCTTCGTCGGATCCGGCGAGACTCCGTTCTCGACAACATCCCAAAGTTTCTTCTCCACTAGTGTGGTTTTCATGGTTGGAGCCCACATTTCATAGTCAAAATCATCGGAAACAGCGTCGTGTACACTCGCCGCCGCCATCGCCGTAACCGTCTGGATTTCCTTTAATTTTTTCTATATATTCTCTTGGAAAAAGCGGTTCCAGTAAACTATACCTTTGATCCAAACGCTTTCTATTTATACAGTGTCAGTGACACTAAACCAAATCGTAAACCCTACCAATTCAATTTTGAAAATCGCCAAATGACGCGTCTTTTCATGCGTAGATATTTTTTTAAGTTAAGCTTGGTTCTCGGTTCGGTTTAACGCAATCAGACTATATATTCAACCCATATTCAAAGGGCAATCTAATTTGGTTAAGTCCGGTTCAATTGAAATGTGCTCATCCGGCTACACCATACGCAAGTTCCTCTCCAACAATGTTTTGTGATGGTCTCCAAGTCCAATTTTATCTTTCCTCACAACATGTTATATGTTACTGGTTTTTAGTCCTCTATTCACCATTTACAAAAGCAGTATTGCATAGTTCTCAAACTAGATTGATACTAAACCGTCCAAAGATTAAAGACCATGGATGATTTCATTCTGTAGTAGCAGAATATGAATAAACCGAACAAACTGAAAACAGAATGACACCAAACACTAAAAGAAACGTACATAAAAGACCCATACGAGCCAAGTCCACTACCAAAGTGAAAAAGCAGAGCTTAATTAAGAGGTGAGATTACCTTCAACCACCTACAAACGCAGAGCTGGACCTCTCTCGTCCCACACAGTTTTCACCAAACACTGCCCCAGTCCGATCGAGAAAACTGCATCCGTCTTGCTTCGTTATCACTGAATAGCCTCTCGCTATCATCTGATCAAGACTCAGCACGTTTCTATTAAGCTCCGGAACGAAAAGCACGTTCTTAATCGTCTTCTTCTTCCCTTCCTTCATCACAATCTTCACATCTCCAACCCCTTCAACCATGAGAAATTTCCCGTCCACCAAACCAACCTTACCTTTCTGTGTTCTATCCAACGCCGTGAAATACTTCTCATACGGAGTCATATGGTTCGTCGTGCTCTCAGCGTATATCATCCACATATCCTCATCGAAACTGAACTCACCATAACTTTCCTCAACCAACATTAAGTAATCAACACCGATCTCTTCTTCCTCAGCTTCTTTGGCCACTTCCTGCTCATTCTTTCTCTTGCAGTCTCTTGCTTTATGCCCTCGCTCTCCGCACTGAAAGCACTCGCCTTTTCTCGGCTTAGCCTTCCTTGCCCCAGCCTTAGCATTGTTCTTCGGTTGAAGACTCATCTGATTCAACGTAAAAAGCATAGTTTCCTCTGCTATTGAATGATATATCTCGAAAAACTCAACGATGCTGTCAAGAGTCATCTTCTCCGGATACATGTGCTCATCCAGAACCGGAGAGATAGTGTTGTACGGGGCTGAGAGCGAATTCAAAACCTTTTTGGTAACCTCATAGTCAGATTTCGAAATGTTCAAACGACGCAACTGTTCGACGATTTCCTTAACTCTATCTATGTAGTCATTGAAAGTTTCTCCTTCCTCCATTCTAAGTTCTTCGAATCGCTTCTCTAATCTACCTAATTTCGATTTTTGTTCGTTACCTTTTCGAAGCAGATCCCAAGCTTCTTTGGCCGAGGAAGCAGAGAGAGTCTTCCTGAAAACCGAATTCGGGAGAGACGATTGCAGAATCTGGAGCGCTTTCATGTCTTTCCCGGCGAGATCTCTCCATTTGGAGAGTTCTCCGGCTTGAATCGTCGCCGCTAGCTCTGGAATCTTCGATGGATCCGGCGGGACTCCGTTCTCAACCACATCCCAGAGTCCTTTCTCGATTAGAGTAGTTTTCGTGACCGGAGCCCAGATCTCGTAGTCCAGATCGTCGGTTAGATTCGCTGCCGCCATTTGCAGTTAGCCCGTAGCCGTCAGAGTTTCTTTGAGCGTTTTTTTTTTTGCTCTGTATAATTTCTTCTGGAGAAAGTGAAATGACTATAGAACAGTGATAACAAAACCGAAAACCCTAGATTACAATTTTGAAATCATTAAATGAGCGGGAAGACGATTCGATTGCAGTTTTATTTTTAGTTTTGTTTAATTCAATTGGATAATAATTGAATTAAACCGTAGTGGTTAAGTCTGGTTCAATTAAATGGGTCCATCCGGATTAGGTGGTTTAACTGTACACAATGGGCAAGTTTCGTTGATGATTGACAACAAGAATCGTTGATGGTTTTGACTTGTGGGATTAGAACTAACAACGCCATGATGATGCAGAATCAGTCACAACATACTGTATAACCAAATTACTTGTGATTATTATAAATATAATAACACTCTACCCTCCTTTATTATCCAAGAACTCAATGTAGTCTCAAAACAAAGTTATACAAAAACGTAGCCACATTGCTGTTTCATGGAATAATACTTCAAACTTGCCCAAAAGTAGATACGATTCGCAACTCTTCACATTCAATAAGCCTGCAAGCGCAGGCAAAAACCTCTGTTTTCCTCCCACCTGGTTTCACCAAAAACCTTCCTCGTCTTCTCATCCCTTATAGTGACTTTATGCAAATCCATCTCAACATCAAAGCCGCTCACACTCAGCGGACCAACACTCAACGCGTTTGCCACAATCCCCGGAACGTAAAGCACGTTCTTGATCGTCTTCTTCTTCCCTTCCCTCGTCAAAACCCTGACATCTCCCGTCCCTTGCGCCATGATGCTACTCCCGTCGATGAACGTGACCTTCGCTCTCCGCGTCCTGTCTAGATTCGTGAAATGCTTCTCGTACGGAGTCATATGGTTCGTGGTAGTTGTGTATATCATCCACATATCCTCATCATATGTCAAATCACCAACATACATTGCATACGATACATACTCAGGCACTACTTCATCATCATCCCTCCTCTCTTGCTTCTTCTGCTGGTTCCTTCTGCAAACATCCTTAGATTTCGTTGAATCCTCTTTCGATTGTGGCTCCAATCTTTTCAACATTCTACAGATGTCCTCACCTGGTAGCGATTCATATACACCAAGGCACTTACGGAGATGGTTAAAACTCAGATTCTCCATCACCGGAGGAGCTGCAGCAGCAGCAGCAATGTATGAATCTGACAGCGAGGTTAACAATTTGGTTATAGCTTCATGATGACCGGATGCTTTCAATTTCTCGTAGAAGGTTTCCACTGGTACTGATTCAAACATACGAAGAAGCTCGCGGAAATTGTTAAAAGTCAGACTCTCCAGACCTACGAGCTGATTCATCACCGGAGCTGCACCGTCGATTGAATCTGACAGCGAAATTAGCTTCGTTGTACTCTTTAATTTGGATTTCGCACCTGCAAAACGGGGATCGGTAGCGACCTCCGCGACTTTATCAATGTACGACGAGAGACGTTCTCGTTTCTCCGTTCTAAGCTGTTGGAATCGCTTCTCTAGCTTCGCTTGCTCGTCGCTTTCCTTTAGCAGATCCCAGAGATGTTTGGCCGAATCGGCCTCGAGCGTCTTCCTGAAAACCGAATCCGGGATAGAAGATTGCAGTATCTGGAGCGCTTTCGTGTCTTTCCCCACGGAATCTCTCCATCGGGAAAGATCGTCGGCTTGGATCGTCGCCGCTAGCTCTGGAATCTTCGACGGATCCGGCGGGGTTCCGTTCTCAACGACGTCCCAGAGTCCTTTCTCCGCTAGTGTACGTTTCACGATCGGAGCCCATACTTCGTAGTTCAGGTCATCGGAAACAGCGTCTCGTAGAGTCGGGATATTCGCCGCCGCCATAGCCGCAAAACGTCAAGGATTCTCGAGTTTCTGTCTGTATATTCTCTTGGATAAAAGCGAATAATTGTTCCATTAAACCCAACACTTCCTATCTTATATACCAAAACCCTAAACCGTAAGGCCTGAAACGTGAAAATTGGTATCACAATTACCTTGGTTCAGTTTCTCAATCAAGTTTTCTGGTTCGCGTGCGGATCAATTTGGTATCTAGCGAACCAGTCTCAAGTCTCAACAATAGTTGCATTTATACTTGAATTTGCATCAAACAGTACTAAAATAATTATTAAAAATCCTTAAAACAGAAGCATCAAATCAACACACTAAAACCCCTTGTGTTGCTCCAGGAGTTGACACATCAGTTTTTTCAAGCATGGAAAAAGTGACACATCATTTATAAAGTTTGGCCAATCAAAACATTCTAAATAATACCAGCTTTTGTCTTGGTTTATTTGGCCACATATTGATCCGGTTTGGTTAATTTAATTTCATCACATATTGGTCCGGTTTGGTTTATTCAGTTTCACTCTTCTTCGACATTCACGATGTCATTCCGTCTTTCTTTCGCAAAAAAGACAACGATACACGAATCTCCGTTGGATGTTTCCCGATTTCATTCTCTCTTCTCCTTTTCATTGTTCGGAGTCCATCCTTCGGAATTTCGAGAGAACGCATCTCCGTCTTTCTCGAAGTTCTACATTTTGCGGTATTTGTAGTGTTGTTTTTTCGATCCGATGGTCGGAGATGGTCCCTGACGGTCCTGATAATGACGGCGGGTTCTCTTTGTTCCTCGATCTTAATTTCTGATCTTCTGTGTATAGATCAGTTAACGGGTAAGATTTTTCAGATCCCTTTTCATAAAACCGGATATGCGACTGTGCTTAATTTCTATGTTTCGTTTTACAAATCAAAAGTTTCGCTTATCTTCTATTTCTGAGTATTGATCTGAAGTATTAAAGGGGTCTGTGTTTAATTTCTATGTTTCGTTTTAGAGATCAAAAGTTTCGCTTAGAAGCTATGAGGACCTCCAACTTATCGTGAGGGAAGTACGGAGTATGTAGCAGAGGAAGCTAACAGATGGAGATGGAAGCGAGATGTATATATGGTTCTATCGATTAATTTGAGGTAAATTATTACTCCCACCTTCGAAATTTTAATCCAACCTTGATATGAGTTTGTGTAACTACTTGTCATGATTCATGTCGTTTGTCAATTCTCAGAGTTTATTCATCTCACACTGAATAACAGATTTAGAGTACTTCATTTGAATTAGAGATTTAGAGAACTTCTTTGGGTTGTTTTCTCTACATCTCATCTACTCATTCGATATTAGGCTCCTTAATCTTAGATAAAGAACATCTCCTACTGTCATTTAGGCAGCCTGCAAAGCCCACAAACAAAAGGCTATACATGCAAGTCTTTTTCTTCTCTCTCCGTTCTTCCTTTCTTTAAATAGAGTGATGGATCAATGCTTGTAAAGGGTTTAAATTTATCAATTTCTTAGGGAAAGTTTGAAAAAAAAAAAGTGAGGTTATGGAGGTGGAGAAGAGGGTAACGGTGAATGGAGACATGAAACTACCAATTGGTACAGATTTCACCCAACGGAGAAAGAGCTAATCCTTCATTACTTGCCTTTGCCCCTCCTTTGCCTTCCTCTATCATTTCTGTCTTCGACGTCTTCTTCTCTCATCCTCTTACTATCCCAGGTTTGTCTCTCTCTGTTCCTCATTAGAGCATGTGTATGTATGTCTCATCGTTTTCTTTAACCGTTTAGCCTTTTGTTCTAATGGGTCTCAAAGGCTGTATCTTTACAGCATATTATGTTTGGGTCTACATCCGTGGGTTGCTTGATGCTAAAAACTGAAAGGGCTTTTTCAGGGGATCAAAAGAAGAAGCAGAGGTACTTCTTTTGCAAGAAGACAAGAGAAATGTCAAGTAATGGGTTTGATTTGGTATAAAAAAACAGGTGTTTGGAGAGTGGGCTGTGTACAACATGTATGAGAGGAAAGGATCAAAAGGAAGAAAACAGAGGAAATCAAGAGTAAGAGATGATGAAGACTTGAGTTGCATCCATTTTACGATTGGGTCCGATCATGAAACCGGTCCTCCACCGCCCTCTCCTCCTACCTCAGCTGCATCCATTATTTAAATGTTGTTTTTTAACCCTAAGACCCTAACCTATTCCACTTACGTTTTTTTCAAGCTATTCGAAAAAAATTCCTGTCTTGGTTCATTTGCTAGGGAAAAAAAATAACAGAAGGCTCAGGGAGCCCATCTTGATCTATGATTGGAAATTCGTTGAGCAAACCAGATATCTGTCAAGCTTCTTAATTTTTTTTACTTTAAGTTCTTTTAACATTATTATGGAGTTCATGTGATCATCGTGTAAGACGAAGTAAAGTTGAATTAAATGAAAAAGAGATATCTTTCTTCTTCTTTGATGAGAACTTGATTCCCTTTTTTTTCAATCAGAACAAGAATCCATAGCATCTATATATAGGCATACACATCTATAAACAATATATAAACAAATTGGAAAAAAAGTTATACAACCCGCGGCGTAGCGCGGGTCCAACACTAGTCCTTATAAAATTTATTAGATTACTGCTAAATGTTAATGTTTCCAACAAATCTTGTTTATCCAACGCAAAAACACTCTAAAGCAGAGAACGCAACTCTAAGTAGATAACACACACATTCAAACAACAACCTTTAAACGCAGGAACAACCTTCTCTCTTTATCAATCTTGGTTTGACCAAACGTTGTCCCTAGATTGTTATCACGAATACTGCAATACTCTTTTCCCATTACAATATCAAAGCCGCTCTTACTCAGCTGACCAACACTTAACGCGTTTGTCACAATCCCTGGAACCAAAAGCACATCCTTGATCGTCACCGTAAACCCTTCCTTTGTCAAGATCCTGACATCTCCTGTTCCCAGTGCCATTCTGGTACTTCCGTCGACGAACCTAACCCTGGCTCTCCGTGTTCTGTCCAAAGTGGTGAAGTTCTTCTCGAGTGGAGTCATATGGTTCGAGGTGATGTCGTTGTTGTATATCATCCACATAGTCTCATCATATGTACTCCAATCACCAACGCACGCGGCATACCAATAATGGTTAGGCACTTGTTCTAGCATCTCCCAAAGTTCCTTGGCCGAAGAAGCAGAGAGAGTCTCCCTGAAAACAGACTCTGTGAGACCAGACTGCAATATCTGGAGCGCTTTCATGTCTCTTCTCACGATCTCTCTCCATCTGCAAAGCTCTTCGACTTGGAGAGTCGCCGGCTTCTTCGACGGATCCGGCGGGACTCCGTTTTGAACAACATCCCAGAGTCCTTCCTCCGTTAGGGTGGTTTTCATCATCGCCGACCAGACTTCATAGTTTAGGTCAGCGGACACAGCAGTTTGTAGTTGTAGAATCCGTTCTCTTGCCGGATGACCCATATCCGTTTTCTTTCTGTTTTACCTTTGAGGAAGCGAATTAACTATCCACCACACCTCAACACTTTCTATTTATATTACAGTGGCATCATTCCAAACCCTAATGTTCATACTTCTGGTACAGTTTCTCAATCGGGTTCGCTTAAAATCAAATCAATTCGGTATATAGCAAAACCAATCTTAACAATCTTTTTGGCTTTACTGTAAACCGTCTTCAATTTCATTTATACAGTCCGGCTAAAAAAATAGGAAATCTTGAAAAGTAAGTACTTCCCAAACGGAAGCTTCCCTCTTTAGCCAAGAACTCTTGAAAAGTCATAACAAAGGTATACAAAAACTTTTATCATTCAAAATCCTTGAGTGTGATTCACAAAACACGATAAATCAAATTCAAAGCGTAGAACAAAAGAGTGCACACTCACTAGGATTTATTATTATTCTGTACACTAAAAAGATCAGAGCAGAGGAGATACATGTCTTACTCTACTCTCTCACCTCTCCAGACAACGTTGCTTCCTCTTCTTCTTCCCCATCGAACTCTTGTTCTACACCTTTCACCTGTGCACAAAGCCCTTTCATTAGAACAAGAGACAGTCACAAGTTCTTGATTCTCCAATGGTCAACTTTTTAAGATAGACAGGTGTAGAATTATCCAAATGTTGTAAAACAAATCTGTTGAGGATCTCTCTCTCTCTCTCTTGTTACCTCGGTTACATAATGCATGAGCATGTTTTCGATTCCTGATTTCAAAGTAACAGACGAGCTTGGACAACCGCTACAAGCTCCTTGCATCCTCAGCTTCACTATACCGCTCTCCCTGATTAAACACATCCAAAGGATTTGACTTGAGAGATAAAAAAGAAAAGACATTTCCTTAGATCATTAGCTAGAGACTCAGGAAGTAAAACTTACGGATCAAACCCACAATACTCGATGTCTCCACCATCATCTTGCACTGCTGGTCTGATGCGCGTTTCCAAGAGTTCCTTAATCATTGCTACTGTTTCAGAGTCATCCTAAACCACAACAATTACAACAACATTCGTTAGTTCCCAAATTGGAGAGCATTGCAAAGCGTCAAACCATAAACCAACAAAGCATCATAATTGTGGGAAGCAGTCTCTCTCATTCAAGCTATTACGCTCAGCTCCTATTTCAAGATTTTAACTCATAACCATCAGCTCACTAAAGCAACTCAAATATATTCCATATAATCAACTATCTCATGTCTACATAACTTTTACAGCAAACTATTACTCTCAGTTAATCCAATAGATAATGGAGAATGCACTGAGAAAACCAACACAAACTATCTAAAAACAGTCACACTAAACCATCCAGGAGGTATAGAAAACAAAATTAACTGTATGGGCAAAACTGAGGAAGATATAAAGAACAATAGTGCACACAACTTTTATACCTCGTTGATGGCGGTGTCCTTGGCAGCAGCAGCTTGTGCGTCTAGAAACAAAGGCTGTCCAGAAGAATAGAAATCCATGACTGCTGCAAATACTTCAGGCTTGAGGATGTCCCACGGTACATCATCTGACTTTGTCACAGTCACAAAATCTGCACCAAAGAAGACTCGAACTACACCTGCAAGCAAAGAAACAACTTTCATACTCAACATTTGAAGGACAGTAGTCTTACTCTTACAATTCAATCAAGAGGAGCGAATAGATTACAAGATTGATAATATAAATATAATACCATCGATGGCGTAAATGGACTTGGCTAATGGTGAGCCTAAAGCCGAACGAACATTAGGGAAATCAGCGCTTCCAACTTCCATGACTGGCTTGCCAGGATAAAACATTAGAGAAGACGGATTTGGAGTTGACTGTGTTTGGATAAACATCGTCCTTCTCTGCCCTGCTCAAAATTGGGCACCAAGAGTTAAAGCTAATTAGACCCTTCAAAATCTGCCATCAATTTCGAATTCATATTGTTTACAAACGAGTCGAGAAATTAAGATTGCTCTAAATTCAATTTCTGAAGCAAAATCTGAGCATTTCTCAATATATGCATCGAAGCAAATGATCCATGAGACAGAGAGAATTAAAAAAAAAAAAAACCAATCTTGTCGTTGTTTTTGTGATGGCAATGAAAACAAACACCATACCTACAAAGACAGGCCATTTCTGAGCAAGTGAAGAAGATGTCGAAGAGGCGAGAGCAGAATCACGTGAATTGGTCGGAAAGTGCGTTGCCGCCGAAATGAAGAGCGAGCGACGAGAGACCAGAAGAGAGGAAGACGACGAAGAAACCGTACTTCCTCCGAGCCGCGAAAAACAAGTTACAAGCCTCGCAATCCCTTTCATTGCTTCACGCCTTTCCCAAAAGCAATCCCTTCCTCGCCGCCTTATACTTTCCTAATCGCAAAACGGACCGGAAAAAAAGAGAAGCTTGTGATGGATTGTCGGAGAGATTCAGATTCCAGTATACGCGTTACGGCGTTAGATTGAATTATTCACCGCTATAGCAGCATATGTAATGACAATGTACACAGTTTGTTTAGTTGGAGGATTGAACTATTCACCGGTTTAGCTTTTCTCTATGATTCCTTAAATTAATATTTTTTTGTTGTCATTTTTGCTAATTTCCCTTTATAAGTTGAGGAGTGAAAATTACTAAAAAAAAAAAGGGCATCTGTAGGAAAAAAAATTATTTACACACTGATAAGTGATAAGTAACAATGGGAAATTTTATGACGATTTTGATTCGAAAATCCCCTTGGGAAATGGAGCAAATTTGCAGGAACTCTCACGTTCCATGTGCTGATGAGCATCGATTGCATATTTTCATTGAAGTAGATCTTCGATACTGACGAAATCATTCAATAATAGAGTGGGAAGAGTGTTAGTTGACATGGTTTAGTTTTAAGAACTGGTGCATCTGGTTTATGAAGAATTAAAAGGTGCAAATACTTTAAACCTCTAATAATGTTGAAAGCAAAACAAAGGGAATACGTTTTAGCTACAACAATCTCATGAGTACATCTTAAGATTAAATTATTTTTCAATATAAAGAGAATCTCCAACAATGGTTTTTCAACGTCAATCTCTTGTAAAACGAAAAAAAATTATTGAGTCAACTTTGGCTAGTTTTTTAGCTATTAAAAATTTAATTTAATAAACAATTATTGTTTTCTCTTTCCAATTTGTGAGAAACTCAAACCATTGATTTGCTGGAGTGGATATAGTATAAAACTAGCATGGTCATACAATAGAGAAATTGCCGGATTCATTGTCAAGTTTCATATTCCTCTTAACTCGGAGCAGAAAAATGGCAGCAGTTGTCTTTGAAAACTGTTTCATCTTATTTCTCATATGCATCTTCTCGCTCCTCTGTTATTCTTTCATCTTCAAGAAACCAAAGAACTCACGACGAGGCCGTGATCTGCCTCCGAGCCCTCCTTCTCTTCCGATCGTCGGTCATCTTCACCTTCTCCTCTCAACTTTAACCCACAAGTCTCTCCAGAAGATCTCCTCCAAGTACGGATCTCTCCTCCATCTCCGCTTCTTAAACGTTCCCATCATTCTCGTCTCCTCTGCCTCTATGGCGTACGAGATCTTCAAGGCCCACGACCTGAACATCTCCGATCGCGGAGTTTCTGCCAACGGAGAGTCTCTCGTTTTCGGATCTTCCGGCTTCCTCTTCGCTCCTTATGGGGATTACCTCAAGTTCATGAAGAAGCTCGCTGTCACAAAGCTTCTTCGACCGCAAGCACTTGAGCAGGCACAAGGCGTCCGTGCAGTGGAGCTAGAGAGGTTCTACGCGAACCTGCTCGAGAAGGCGAAGAAGAAGGAGAGCGTTGAGATCGGTATGGAAGTGATGAAGCTCACTAGCAACATGATTTTCAGAATGAGCATGGGGAGGAGGTATTCAGAAGAGAGCGGTTACGCAGAGAGAGTCATGGAGTTGACTACAAAGTCTTTTAACTTGACAAAGAAGATTTTCTTTGCAAATATGTTGCGTACCACGCTTGGGAAGCTTGGGATCTCACTGTTTAGGAAGGAGATCATGGGAGTTTCTTGCGAGTACGACCAGTTGCTGGAAAGGATTCTTGTGGAACATGAAGAGACACTTGCCGAGGATGATCAAGATAAGGACATGATGGATTTTTTGTTGGAAGTGTGTGGAGACGAAAAGGCAGAGTATAAGATCACTAGGGACCATATCAAGTCTTTGTTCGTGGAGGTTTTCCTTGGAGGCACGGACCCATCGACGCGAGCAACAGAGTGGACAATGGCAGAGATCCTTAACAACCACAAGATCTTGGAGAAGATGAGACAAGAGATTGATACTGTTGTAGGGAAAGCAAGGCTGATCCAAGAATCGGATCTACCAAACCTCCCTTACTTGCAAGCGGTTGTTAAGGAAGGGCTAAGAATGTACCCGCCGATTCCTCTCGTGCTTAGGGAATTCCAAGAAAGCTGTGAGATCAAAGGATACTACGTGCCGGAGAAGACGGGACTTGTTGTTAATGTATATGGTGTGATGAGAGACCCTGATTCTTGGGAAGATCCTGACGAGTTTAAGCCAGAGAGGTTTCTAGATTATGCTTCAAGATCAGGACAAGAAGAGCAAATGAGAGAGCAAGGCATGAAGTACCTTCCTTTTGGAGCCGGGAGGAGAGGTTGTCTTGGATCAAATCTAGCTTCTATTCTTCAGGGAACTGCGATTGGAACGATGGTTCAGTGCTTCGACTGGAGAGTCAAAGGAGATAAGATTAACATGGAAGAGACTCTTGGAGGGTTGATCTTGACTATGGCTACTCCCCTTGAGTGCACTCCTGTTCCTCGACTCGGGCCATTTTAGTATTTTTTTAATTTGCAAAGTTTGAGTTATTGACTTGTTTTCAACTATGTTTGTTGTCTTCATAATTTCTTTCGTCATCACCCTGAATGCTTGAACGTTTTTAGGATCAGTGGATCACACAACTGAAGTAAATCTACTTCTTAAAAGCTTTGAATCTACTGTGAAACATAGACAGTATTGATGTAGAACCTGTTTTTAGAACCCGGAATTTGTTTGGCTTCTGAATGGTTTGGTCTTAGCTACATCTACTACTATCATCCACCCATTGATAATCTGTGCACCATAACATCTGTGAATCAAGTCAATCAAGCGGCTCATCCTTTACCTCTCTCTCTCACATTTATCTTCCGATTTTACCTTAAAAATTAGCATGTTCAATGTGTATATAAAATATTACATTTTTAATATTGGATTATTGATCATACAATAACTACTTTCCAGTTTTTTTTGTCACCACTTTGTTTCATGTTCAAATTAGCATAATTTTTTTAAATTAAATGTATTATTATAAAAACATTTGAATGTATTTTTGCATTTTTGGTATAAAAAACAATCGTATGCACGGCTTTGTTGCTGACATTGTGAGTCGATCTTGATTGAATCTCTTAATTATTTGCCTAAAAACTTTGGGAGATGGAACATTAGTTATTTAATAATTGAGATATACTATTAATTTGATTCACGTGTCTCCAAACGCTTTCACGTTCTTTCAAACAGAAAAACAAAAAAAACATTTTTAATGTAATGAACGAGAATGGTTTTGGTCATATACTAGATTCATGGATACTTCATCCAACTTTCATCTGCCACCTTCGCAACTATGGCAACAATCGTCCTCATCCTCTTATCCCTGTTCTCACGCATCTGTCTCTTTGTCTCTTTGTATTCTTTCTTTTAAGAAACGTCAGAGGACTCACGAGAACTTTAGATCGCAAAAATCGAGATTAAAAAATACGAATAATTTTTTTTATAATATTTATCATATAAAGTTGGATTCATGTAAGGTTGACATGTAGCATCTTTCTTATTCATATAATCATCTTTCTTATTCATATAATCACAATAACTGTCTTTTTTTTTATTATTATAAAAGTAACTAAGATTGTGACATGTATCAAGAATAATAGAAAACAAACCATTAATGAATAATTAGAGGGATAAAATCCTTTATTTATAACAGAGAGAAGATTTGTTTGTCAAGCGATAGGATTGACGAGTATCCACAGGATATTCTTCTTAATTTTTATTGAGATGAATACAAAATAATTCCAAATTTATTTTTCGTGTTTATCAAACTGAAAATCGAACTCAATCTTCTAAAATTTTCTAAAAGATTTATTTTTAACATTCTACAGTTTTTTTTTAGGGTTTAACAAAATTGTTGATAGAAATTTGGCCCAAAAAAATAGTTTTGTGTGAGTACAACTATTATGGCGTCGTTTTACCACCGAAATGCTCTGTTCAAAATCTCGCTCATAAGTGATAAAAACCGGTTGGTATATCGTAAACCGGGAGGAAACCGTACAGTAAAGTTAGTGTAAAAAACCGGTCAACCGTGGTTTGACCACTTTAATAGCGAAATTTCGATAACCGTCCGAGAAATTGTAAAATCGTTTGGGCCAGATTTTTTGAATTTGATATTGAAGCCCATATTTTTAGTAATTAAGCTCACATTATCTATTAACATCCTTTATATATCTTTTGTATGTTTTTAATATGATCAAAATAATATTTCTTTTGTAATATTTGTGAGTGAAATTATTATAATGTTTGTAAATTGGGAAAAATAAAAAAAAGAAGAGTTTTGTATTATCTTTTGTATTATTAATGTTTTATATAATTATAATATTTAAAATATATTAAAATAAATTTAAAATTTTACCCTGATTAATCCCCGAATTATTAACGTTTTTTCAAAAATCGCTTATCGCTACTCGACCAAACAGTAAGCGAGAAGCGAGATAAGACCAAAACATAAAACATCTGATTTAACTTAATAAACAAAGCATAGTTTGGTCACTTGGTCCGACCCTCCGTAATCTGCATTATATTTATGGATCCATATTCCTCTTCACTTTGAGCAGAAAAATGGAAGCAATGATGAGTGTTGACTTTCAAAACTGTTTCATCATGATTCTCCTTTGCATCTTCTCGCTCCTCTGTTATTCTTTCTTCTTCAAGAAATCAAAGATCTCACGACGAGGCCATGATCTGCCTCCCAGCCCTCCTTGTCTTCCGATCGTCGGTCATCTTCACCTTCTCCTCTCAACTCTAACCCACAAGTCTCTCCAGAAGATCTCCTCCAAGTATGGACCACTCCTCCATCTCCGCTTCTTAAATGTCAACATCATTCTCGTCTCCTCTGCCTCTATGGCGTACAAGATCTTCAAGGACCACGACCTGAACATCTCCAATCGCGGAGTTTCTGCAACCGGAGAGTCTCTCGTTTCCGGATCTTCCGGCTTCCTCTGCGCTCCTTACGGGGATTACCTCAAGTTCATGAAGAAGCTCGCTGTCACAAAGCTTCTTCGACCGCAAGCACTTGAGCAGGCACAAGGCGTCCGTGCAGTGGAGCTAGAGAGGTTCTACGAAAACCTGCTCGAGAAAGCGAAGAAGAAGGAGAGCGTTGAGATCGGTGTGGAAGTGATGAAGCTCACTAACAACATGATTTTCAGATTGAGCATGGGGAGGAGGTATTCAGAAGAGAGCGGTAACGCAGAGAGATTCATGGAGTTGACTAGGAAGACTTTTAACTTAACAAAGAAGATTTTCTATGCAAACATGTTGAGTGGCACGCTTGGGAAGCTTGGAATCTCACTGTTTAGGAAGGAGATCATGGGAGTTTCGCGAGAATACGACCATTTGCTGGAAAGGATTCTTGTGGAACATGAAGAGACACCAGAGGAGGAGGATCAAGATAAGGACATGATGGATTTTTTGTTGGAAGTATGTCGAGACGAAAAGGCAGAGTATAAGATCACTAGGAACCATATCAAGTCTTTTTTAGTGGTAATTATAAATGTTCTTGCACATCACATTATATAGGTTGATTCACTGGTAGATTGTTACTTATGAGTTATGACTAAGAAACTGTAGGAGGTTTCCAATGGAGGCACAGACCCATCGACGCGAGCGACAGAGTGGACAATGGCAGAGATCCTTAACAACCACAAGATCTTGGAGAAGATGAGGCAAGAGATTGATACTGTTGTAGGGAATGCAAGGCTGATCCAAGAATCGGATCTACCAAACCTCCCTTACTTGCAAGCGGTTGTTAAGGAAGGGCTAAGAATGTACCCGCCAATTCCTCTCGTGTTTAGGGAATTCCAAGAAAGCTGTGAGATCAAAAGTTTCTACGTGCCAGAGGAGACAGTACTTGTTGTTAATGCATATGGCGTGATGAGAGACCCTGATTCTTGGGAAGATCCGGACGAGTTTAAGCCAGAGAGGTTTCTTGATTATTCTTCAAGATCAGGACAAGAAGAGCAAATGAGAGAGCAAGGCATGAAGTACCTTCCTTTTGGAGCCGGGAGGAGAGGTTGTGTTGGATCAAATCTAGCTTATATTCTTCAAGGAACTGCGATTGGAACGATGGTTCAGTGCTTTGACTGGAGAGTCAAAGGAGATAAGATCAACATGGAAGAGACTCTTGAAGGATTGATCTTGACTATGGCTACTCCCCTTAAGTGCACTCCTGTCCCTCGACTCGGGCCATTTTAGTTTTTTTTTTCAAAAATTTGCAAAGTTTGAGTTGTTGACTTGTGTTCAACTATATATGTTGTCTTTATAATGTTTCTTGTCTTTTCCTTTCGTTACCTAATAAAAGTTATCATCTTAAATGAATGAACGTGTTAGGATCACACATCTAAACTTAGAAGGGACTTCAAAATGCCAATGCTACAAAAAAATATCTTTACCTCGTTGATGGGGTATCCTTGGCAGCAGTTGTTGAATCCGAGATAGCACTCGTCAAGACGGGCTATCTAAGATGTGAGTTTAGGAAACTGGAACGCTAAATTCTAACTCTTAGATTATCAAGAAGATTACAAGAGAGCAATATCGCTAACAAGCCTAGCGAGATTATGGTGATGAACAATAGGATAGAATAAAGGCTAATGTGAGAGTCTAGTGATTCTAGATGATTTCGGATCCCTTTCCCAAAAGGAGGGGGTCTTCAATATATATATGGTTGATAAGTCGGCCGAATGGCGAGTATTCTCCTTCAGGCGAGGTGGAAAACTTCCTCTTTGCGATATGAAAAATTCCCTCTTGTTTTTTGGATCTTTCTCCATTCTTTAGTCGGCATGAAGATTTATTTACATTTCTCCATGGATTTGCCTTTCTCTTCAAGTCTTGCCTTTTTCTTGAAGATGTTAGGCCTAAAATCGGATTGGGCTTTGTTACTTTACTAATGATGACGGGTTCAGGGAAATGTTTTAGGATTTATACTTCAGATTTATATCAGATACTCAAGATGTTTAAGTATTAATTTTTTCTCTTTTTTTTTTGCTTGCATGCTTGCGTGGTGATGCGGTCACGCCTTTTAGATATAATTGATTAGTTCGCAGCGCGACGAAAGTAATCCGGCTTTTGGTTATGTCTTTTAATAAAGGACGACAGTGTCGTCAACCGTATAAAATGAATTAAGTACTTGGTCGTCACCGAGTAGGAAATTCGATTATCGGGATGACTCGTTACCTTTAAGTGTCTCACGACATGGTGCGCGTGATGGTGCTAGTGCGTCATGACTGGACGCGACGCTTTCGGGTTTCGTCATGACTTCTCATTCGAGACACCGACCGGCGCGTATTAGGTCTGTGTGCTTAGGATGTTAAACCTACTTTCAGCGACGAGCTCTAGAAACTCGATTTATGCTTCCGACTTCAAAGCTTCGTGCTGGTGACTTGCACAGATCCGACGAGCTCCAGAGGCGATCGGACGTGGTGCCGAGGTTGTCTTCTAGCTGATAGATACCTGGTTTGACGACTTTCGCGATGCGGAATGGTCCTTCCCAGTCGGAACCGAATTTGCCGAGACCATAGATCGTATCGTCATCGGTTTTGCAAAAGACGAGGTCGTCTAATGCGAAACGGAGGTGTTGCTTTAGGAAAGCGGCTGCTAGATCGTCGAAACTGTCGATGGAGTCGGCACGGAGAGGTTGCTGAACCATGTTAGGGCGTCGCCGCGCAAGTGTTCGGCGAGGGCTTGGCAGAAGTGCGCGCTTTGTTCTTCCGGCGATGTATATTTCTGTCTTCTCATGGCCGTCATGAAGGATGTGATCCACTGTTTGGGATCTTCTCGGCCATCATAGAAGTTTAGGTGTAGTGAAGCGCGCTTCTTCAGTGGTACCTCGGATAGGCGGCTTGTCAGGGGAGTTCTTCGAATATCGGCAATGATCTCGAATATCTCCTGATCGGAGAACGAGCATTGCGGGGGTGCATGGCGATCAGTCTTCGCGCGATTCTCCATGTTTCTCCTGGTCTCGCCTCATCGTAGACAGGGGCTCGTCTCGGCGAGGGAGAGATTCGTGATGGCACCTTGGTGCTTTATGCGTGGACTTCTCCGGGCGAGAGGATGATGACTTTCTCTTGTTTCTTAGCCGGAACCGAGGATCTTCGGGGTCGAACCGTAGCTGCGGGATGTCTTGCTCGAGGCGGATGTAATTCTCAGCGCGGAGGAAGGCGTCCTTCAAAGTTGGGGAGGGGCGGATGCGGATATCTTCCCAGAATCCGGATTCGTGTCGAAGTCCGTTTCCGAGGGCTTGGACGAGTACCGGTTCCGCGATTGGGGGTGCTCCCGGAATGTCCCTGAGGTCGAGCAGCGCGCTCTTGAATCTGTTCAGGTAGCTTCGTAGCGGTTCGTCCTCGAGTTGCTCCATCTCGAATAGATCGGAGAGATCCTTGTGTTTAGTGCTAAAGCTGGACCTTAAGTCGGATTTCCAGGCGGGCTCGGAGTTCCTTTGCCGATGGATCTCGTTCTGCGTATCGCGTTGGACTCGTCGGTTTCGTCGTCCGATACTGGCTCGGTTATCATACAGGACGACGCGGTGCGGAGCTTGCGCTCGCGGAGGAAACATGATCTCGTCATTCTTTGATCTCCACGTAAGGTGAAAATTCCAGAGGGTATCGGAAACTTCACGCATTGGTGGAACGTCGAGATGACAGCTTTCATTTCATGGAGCCATGGGGTGCCGAGGATAGCGTTATAGATGGCCGGTTTGTCCATGACGATGAACTTCAAGAGCTTTGAAATTCCGCCGACATAAACGGGGAGCCGGACTGTGCCACAGCTGTAAACATGCTCGGCGGTGAAACCGGTGAGGGGACGGGATGTAGGTTTGATAGATCCTTCCTCCACCCCATGCGGTTCAGTGTTTCCAGAAAGATGAGGTTCACCGTACTCCCGGTATCAACCAGGACCTTCGCGACGTCACAGTCGTGGATCTGTAGAGTGATTACGAGTGGGTCAAGGTGAGGGATGTCCAGCCCGCTCGCATCCTTATCCGTGAAGGAGATGGTAGGGATCCCTTTATGGATATACGGGTAGCGTTGTGCCGCGACGGCCTTTCGTTCGTATTCCTTGATCGCCGATATGGAATCGTCGTTATCCAGGAAGCCTCCCATGATCATGCTGACTTGTCGCTTCGGTGGCGGAGGTAGGTCGTCGTGGTCATCACGATTCCTTTTCCCAAGCGGGCTTCCGCCTTTTCTGCGTCCTTCCTCGGACGGGGTTGTCGTCCGCGCTTCTCCTGCTGCCCAGATTTTGGTGGTTTCGGCGGGAAGCTTTTTCCTTGGGACCTATCACCGTCCATTGGCGGGATTTCTCCTCGATGGTACATGCGCATGAGGTTGCTCATTAGGTGTTTGCAGTTTTCAGTGGCGTGGCCAGTCCTCCCGTGGAACTTGCAGAAAGCTTTGGTATCGTTGTCATCTCCGAGCGAGTTGATGTCTTGTGGCATCGAAACGGCCGCTGCGTGTTCTTGCTCGGTCGTCGTGCTGCGAACGCTGTGAGGAGAGACCTCTTCGGATCGTGTCTTCTTCGCGCCTCCATGGGTTCCTCTCTGGGTTTCGTCGAGGTTGCCCTCCTATCTCCATGTTTCTCGGCGTAGAAGCGCTGGTCTTCCTCGAGGAAGATGTAGTTCCGAGAGCGGTGGAACGCGTCCTCCAGAGTCGCAGGGGGTTTTAGTGACAAATCCTCCTTGAACTTGGAGTCGTACCAGAGGCCGTTGCGGAGTGCTTCTAGCGGGACGCTATCGGCATGTCGCCAGTGTCGCGAGCTGCTTGTTTGAACCTTTCCATAAAGCTGCGCAATGGTTCGCCTTGGGTTTGCGTTGTGGTGAACATGTTCCGAGTGATTCGGGTCATGTGCATGGAGTAATGCTTCAGAAAAGCATTGGTTAGGTCGTCGAAGTTATCGATCGACTCGGCGGGGAGGTTAGAGAACCAGGTCAAGGCATCTTTCGCCATGTGCTCGACGAATACTTGACAGTAGTTGGCCTCCCTTTCATCGTAAGATTTGTATTTCTCCCTCCTCATGGCGAGGTTGAACGCGGTTAGCCACTTCTTGGGGTCTTCTTCGCCGGTGTAAGAGTCGATTTTGAGTCGAACTCTTTCGTGTAGCTCAATCTGGCGGAGCCTGCGGGTGAGCGGGCTTCTTCGGGTGTCGGCGAGTGCTTTCGTCAATTCCGGAGCTGAGCTGGTGGCGCGATGAACTTTCGAATCGACCTCGTCGAGGCGGCGATTCACCCGTTCAAGCTCTTGAGTGGTAAGTCGCCTGAAGTGCGCAGGACGGGGGGTTGTTCCGTCAGGTGGGACTTGACGGATTTTCATCGTCTTCTCGTGCTAGGGCTTCCACCTGTTCCTGAGTCTTTTTCTGCTGTGCTCGCATTGACTCGAAACCGTCGGCGAGTGGCTTGACGAGATTCTCCATGAGTTTGAGGATCTTCTCGCTCGAGGAGGATTTCTTCGAGCTGCGGGGTTTGTCGCTCGAGGAAGATTTTCTCGAGCGGCGTGGTGCGGACGGAGGGGGCTCTCGTCCTTTCTTGGCGGAGGAGATCGTTGCGGCGAAGTCGATCTTCGCGGCGAGACGGATCTCTGTGGCGAGAAAGATGGGTTTCTTGTAGGGACAGGCTTGTCCCTACCTTCAGCGGGTAGCGACTTGTCTATCGTGCCTGGTAGACTGTCGCTTAAGTTTTCTTCTGAGGGAGACGGGCTCCCGGTGGGAGTGTTCTCTTTCGAGTTCGCCATCGTTGCTAGTTCGTGAAAATCTAGATATCTTCGAGATGAATAGCGAGAAGCGTTTCCAGCCCCACGGTGGGCGCCAATTGTTGAATCCGAGATAGCACTCGTCAAGACGGGCTATCTAAGATGTGAGTTTAGGAAACTGGAACGCTTAATTCGACTCTTAGATTATCAAGAAGATTACAAGAGAGCAATCTCGCTAACAAGCCTAGCGAGATTATGGTGATGAACAAGAGGATAGAGTAAAAGCTAATGTGAAAGCCTAGTGATTCTAGATGATTTCGGATCCCTCTCCCAATGGGGGGTCTTCAATATATATGGTTGATAAGTCGGCCGAATGATGAATATTCTCCTTCAGGCGAGATGGAAAACTTCCTCTTTTGCGATATGGAAAATTCCCTCTTGTTTTTGGATCTTTCTTCCATTCTTTAAGTCGGCATGAAGATTTATTTACATTTCTCCATGGATTGTGCCTTTCTCTTCAAGTCTTGCCTTTTTCTTGAAGATGTTAGGCCTAAAATCGGATTGGGCTTTGTACTTTACTAATGATGACGGGCTCAGGGAAATGTGCTAATTTCTCCTCTAATAGCAGCAGCTTGTGCGTCTAGATACAAAGGCTGTCCAGAAGAATAGAAATCCATGACTGCTGCCTGCAAATACTTCAAGCTTGAGGATGTCCCATGGTACATCATCTGACTTTGTCACAGTCACAAAATCTGCCCCTAAAACTACTACTGCGAACAAATAAACAACATCATATTCACATTTGAAGGACAGAGTCTTTTTCAGATGAATCAGAATAGATATTAAGATTGAAAAATATAATACCATCAAGGGCGTAAATATAATATCATTTGGTGTTGTATAACTTAATTTAACAAAAATTTGATGTGTAAACAAAAATGAATAAAAGAGTATATACAACAAAAATGAATTCGGCCGGTTTCTGATGCGTGTTTTTGTTTGTGTTGTTTCTGTTCTGTATAACTTAAGTTAACAAAATTTTGATGTGTAAAAAAAAAAATATATATATATATATATAGCCAAGGTATGAATTAACAAAAATTTAGTTTAAGTATGAATCAAACATATTTGTACTCTCGAGGTATGATTTAGCCAAAAATACAGATATTTTTATTGTATTGGATTTTCTTAAACGGGTTAGGTTCTCGCAGTGCTCTGATTTTCACTTGGGTTTTGGGTCATGTAACCCCTACTGGCTCCTGTACATGGTTTCATATAAACAGCAAACACAAACATGTATTTCAATTCTAAATAATAAAACGGAAGAAAAGTAAAACAGTACTTAACATAATCATGGACTCAAAGAAAATCAAGTTTAAACCTATCTTGAATCTAGGATTCATTTAATTAAAAGGCAAAGCAAGAAAATAGAAATTATAACGTGAATAAAAAGGAACAGACATCAGTACGTAGTTGCTGAAGAATCTAGAAACCATGTTACTGGTGATATTGAGGCCGGCCTTTAGTGATGCGGAGAGAAATCATATTGGGCCGGTACTTCCGTCACTCTGGTTTGAACTGAGATACGCAAAGACTACAGCCAGGAGAAGCACTAGCAGCATTACAATCTACATTTCCGGGTAGAGAAGAGGATAAGAAATGTATTCGAAAAGTGATATATATTTGTATTGGAAACCGTGGCAAAAATTAACTTACAAACAGAGGTTTTGATTGTGCTCCGTTGTTAAGCAAGGATTTTCTGAACGAAAGAAAGACAAAGCTCATTAGAATCCCAAATATTTTATTGAACAAGGTTTTTTCTCGTTTAGCCACAAAAACAAGGCTCATTCGCATTTTACAAACCAAAGACAAAAAAACAAGCGAATTGTTTGACTAGCTTTGGTAGGAGAGTAATAAAGTTGTCAAAGCCTAGTCAGCTAAAAAAAAGTTGTGTGTGATTATATTCAAGATACAAAGAAGAAGAATGTCAATACCTTTTATGAAGGACGCCACTGTCTCTGCATATTTTCTGGACCGCTTCAAGTCGGTTTAGTGTCTTCGTGGCATTTGGATCCTTTTCATTGACCTATGTACAAGTTAAATACACATGTTACGTTTGGGTCTTCTAAGAAGGGCACTGATCATAGCTAGGAAAACAAATGAAAAAAGAGGAAATATACGAACATACCTTTGCTTTCAGAATGCAAGAAAATTCATAGAAACCACCATAGACATCATCCATTGTTTTTGTGCGATCCATTACTTTAGCAGTTATACCTAAATACACCAAATAGGTAAACTTATTATAGCTTAAGGAAGCTTATTGATAATACCTAAGGTTAATGGTTTTTCTCTTCACAACTCTCAGATGACTGACTATCAAAATATTAACCTTTTTCTATGGCTTAGGCATTAGCTAGATATATAATGAGTTATTGGGTAATGATATCAAACTCTGAAATAAACATCTTACCTCGCCTCACTTTCACAACGCCTCTAAATACTTGTACATTGTCATAGCATAATGAAAGTGTTCCAATCGCCATGATCTGATCATGGAAACACATTCCAACACAAGTTTACTTTTAGATAGGCTACCTAAGAAAAAATTGATAACATATACTGTATCTCTTACCTGAGGGATGGCACAAAACCGGAATATGGTAGGGTCACGCAATGAAGCCATGCATTTAAAGCAATCTTCAATATGCATCAATGCATCAGTGATCATATCATTTAAGCATTGCACTGCTTTGCTCGAATTCTCCTCATCTTGAAAGTCCTACATGTCAAACGTTTCATTCTTTAAATAAGAGTAATATCATGGTCACATTAGGTTTAAGAACAGACCACATATAAAACTTGAGAGTGATAATTAATATGTATGCACCTCGAGCTTGTCAGCATATTTGCTCCAAATCTGTCGAGGCCAAAACTTGCGTGGCTTCGGTATTTCAGTAATGTCCTCAAGATAATCTCTGATAATGTTTGTTTTCTACAAATATTGCTCAAAGTTATATTTTGATAACAAATATTTACAATGTTGCAGATTTCTTTGGCAGATAAACTTCTAATAAATTGTAATATATAATGTACCTGTAAAAACAAACCCATTGAATTGGCAAGTTGCTCCGAATCCGGTGTTGAAACTTCTAATCCCGAAGCGAAAACGAGTTTTGAGAGGCCAATACCCAAAAGCCCAGCAACATAGTAGCAATATTCATTGTGGTCATCAGTAGTGCTTACCTGTCAGGTAGCACAGAAAATTGGATTAATTAGTACACAAATTTTTTCTTTTTTTTTCTTTCTTCACAAATTTCAATAAAGTGTTTTTTTAATCACAAACCTCCTGGCAAATGAACTTGGCCATTCCTGCACCCATTCTTTTAGTAATATCTTCGATAACTTCTTGATACCTTTATATTCCAGGTATAAACAAGAAAAAAAAAACATAAAAAAAACAAGAGAATCCAAATTAATTGACATAACAAAATTCCATGTAGCAACTAGCAAAGAATATAACTGACCCTCTTTTAATTTGCAGAAAAGCAGAAGACACATGGTAGAATTTGTCCATTAGAACTTTGTACTCGTTCCTACCACCTAAAGTTGAATGGAGAGTAAAACTAAACAATCAAATACTGACCGGATGCGAAAGAATCAAATGCCAAAGAGAGACTCTTTTCTGACTTACATGAAAAGTGCCACTCGGGATTGTACATGTGACGGTGGAAATCTTTAAGTATGGGAAGCTTGACCTCCTTCGCTATGCTTGTGTCATCCTCTGTATTACAATGGCTTCTCAATAATGTTTTTGCAAAGGAATGAAGGAAGATGGAATATATTGCATATGTTTAGAGAAACTAACCGACGGTATCAAGAGCTCGGAGAATCAAGTAGAACACACACGTCTACGGAAACAGAAGGGAATATATTAGGGTCATGTTAATCAAAATGTTGTGACTCTCCTACCTCCTCGTCTCGTCTTGTAACCATTATCGACAAATAACATGTGTCTTCAAATGGATTAAGAGTATTGGGCGGCACAAACTATACGAGGGCTTAATCAAATTTATATAATTCATGTTTTGGTTTTTGATTTGAAAACTCTAGCTGCGCTTCATATAAAAAGCTACTATTTTATCCTGAATAAATTTTACATTCAGTTCAAAAAAAAAAAAAAAAAAAATCATTGTAAAGAAAAGATGATAGAAATGGAGAAACGTGCGAGATATGGAGAAAAGTTAGATATAATAGCTAGTAACCTTATGTTATGCGTTAACATGAGATCTCACACGAAGTGAGGAAACGTTTTTGTTAGTAACCTTATGTTATTCCAACAGATCCACGCCTCAAAAGCTTAATCTTATTCAGGTTATGAGTAGATTGTAGGTAATAGTTAATTAACAGAAAGTATATTGCGTTTAACTTAAAACATCTAATAGACTCTCAAACACTAGTCAGTAAAATGTTTAGTCTAACACTGAGCAGAAACACAGAGATGTTAAGATTAAGAAGACATTACGGCGTTGCGAAGCTCAGGGTGGAGTTGGTGAATGACGTGGGAGTAGCTTCTAGAAACACTGTGGAGCAAAGGATAGCATACACTCCAGTGGTCCTCAGGTGGAATCTGCTTCTGAGTTTTCTTAATCTCCATTCTCAGCTTCAACAGTGGATATATCTCATCTGGGTGCCTCACAATCTCACTCAATCTCCACATTTTTTGTTTATGAAAAAGTAAATTAGATCTCCTTACACACTAAAAACAATACTGCGAGACTTTTGTGACGACCCTTTTCAGAAAACTAAACTATTGAGCAGATTCATGAACTGTATCCGTGCCATTGGACACAGCCCATACTTTATAATACAAACCCTTCCAACTTACGATATTTTGCTCAACCCTATATCAAAAAAGAAAAAGAAATATTATCCCACCATGCTTATCATGCATCCTTTTTTTAAAGAGTTTAGGTACAGTATTTATCCTTCTTTTTAACTTTAATTATGAGGTTACACATTTATGAGGTTACAATGTCGACGATATTGCATGTTCATCAGATTTCGACGATGATATTGTTCATCAAATACCCAACTATATATGAACATACCATGATTTAGATGGTTGTCTATTTAATTAACATGCTTAATAATATTATATATGCACGTTTATATAATATGTGTTAAAACAATTTGTATAGAGTTAAAATAAATAAATTATTACATAATAGAAAAGGTTTAAATTAGTGTAAATGTTTCAAGGATTTACCTTCACTTATTTTCTCATTTTTTAACATATAGTTGAAGAATCATCTTATTACAACTGAAAATGAATGGAAAGACTGATTGACACAAGAAGATCATGCTGTTGAAAAACAGCGTGTATAGCTACAACCCTACAAGCATATTTCCATGGTCAAGTCTCAAGTGCATGTAAAATTGCCCTAAAACAATTACAAATTTGTTATCTGAGTTTCCTTAATCTTTATTTTTAACTTGGGGAGTATTAAAAAGGGCAACTATATGAAAAAACAAATATTTACACAGTGATAACTATGGAAAAATTATGACGATTTAGATTCAAAAATACCCTTGGGAAAATGGAGCGAATTTGCAGGAACTCTCACGTTCCATGTGCTGATGTGCATCGATTGCATATTTGCATTGGAGAAAGAAAAAAATATTTATTTGCATTACATCTTTCATAGCGATGAAAACATTCAATATTATAGTAGGAAGAGTGTTAGTTGGATAACTTTTGAATTAGTTGATACTGTCAGTGGCTTAGTTTTGAAATAATACTCTCTCTATTTCACGCATAAGGAGTGCATCGATTGCATATTTGCATTGGAGAAAGAAAAAAATAGTTATTTGCATTAGATCTTCGATAGCGATGTAAAAAAAAAAAGATCTTCGATGGCGATGAAATTGTTAATACTAAACCATCACCATTACCACGTGCTGATGTGCATTAGGAAGAATATAAAATTATGTTAATACTTAACCATTACCATTGACGTCAAATTGTTAAATTAGTCGAGGAAATTTGGCCATCGTAATAAATTTACCCTAATCTTACAAATAAGTTGAATAATTAATTTGAATTTCCCTTCACCAAAAAAAATTATAAAAATATAGAATTTGATACTACCTTTCAAATTTACGAAATAACTGGCAGAACAAACAAATTTTATTAACAACTATCTTACATGAATGCATCCATGTAAGAATAATTTTTTTTTCCAAAAACAAAAAAAAAACCTGAAGAGGTCTGCACTGGTATAAAAGTATTTTCAAATATGATTTCTCAATATCAAATTTTCATAAAATGATAAGAAGAAAAAAAAATTGTTCATTGAAATCAATCAATAAACAATTATAATTATCTCTTCCCAGTTTGAGAGAAACTCAAACATTGTTGGAAATGGTCTAAGCCTAGTGTAATATTGAACCAGCATGGTGGTTATACAATAACTAAATCCCCAGATTCATTGTCAAGTTTCATATTCCTCTTGACATTGAGCAGAAAAAATAGCAGCAATAATGGGCGTTGACTTTGAAAACTGTTTCATCTTATTTCTCATATGCATCTTCTCGCTCCTCTGTTATTCTATCATCTTCAAGAAACCAAAGAACTCACGACGAGGCCGTGATCTGCCTCCGAGCCCTCCTTCTCTTCCGATCGTTGGTCATCTACATCTTCTCCTCTCAACTCTAATCCACAAGTCTCTCCAGAAAATATCCTCTAAGTATGGACCTCTCCTCCATCTCCGTTTCTTCCATGTCCCCATCATTCTCGTCTCATCTGCCTCCATGGCGCACGAGATCTTCAAGTCCCACGACCTGAACATCTCCTATCGTGGAGTTTCTGCGAACGGCGAGTCTCTCGTTCTTGGACCTTCCGGTTTCCTCAGCGCTCCTTATGGGGATTACTTGAAGTTCGTGAAGAAGCTCACTGTCACAAATCTTCTTAGACCGCAAGCAGTTGAGAAGGCACAAGGCGTCCGTGCAGTGGAGCTAAGGAGGTTCTACACAAACCTGCTGGAGAAAGCGAAGAAGAAGGAGAGCGTTGAGATTGCTATGGAAGTGATGAAGCTCACTAACATTATGTTTTTCAGAATGATCATGGGGAGGAGGTATTCAGAAGAGAGCGGTTACGCAGAGAGATTCATGGAGTTGACTACAAAGTCCTTAGCCTTAACAAAGAAGGTTTTCTTTGCAAACATGTTGCGTAGCATACTTGAGAAGCTTGGAATCTCACTGTTTAACAAAGAGATCATGGGAGTTTCGCGCGAATACGATGAGTTACTGGAAAAGATTCTTGTGGAACATGAAGAGACACCTGAGGAGGAGGATCAAGATAAGGACATGATGGATTATTTTTTGGAAGCTTATCGAGATGAAAAGGCAGAGTATAAGATCACTAGAAACCATATTAAGTGTTTGTTCGCGGTAATTATAATGTTCTTTCACGTCACATTATACAGGTTGATTCATTTGTAGATTTTTACTTATGAGTTATGACTAAGAAACTGCAGGAGAGTTTCCTTGGAGGCACGGCCCCATCTACGGGAGCAACAGAGTGGACAATGGCAGAGATCCTTAACAACCCCAAGATCTTGGAGAAGATGAGAGAAGAGATTGATACTGTTGTAGGAAAAGCAAGGCTGATCCAAGAATCGGATCTACCAGACCTTCCTTACTTGCAAGCGGTGGTCAAAGAAGGACTAAGAATGTATCCGCCATTCCCTCTCGTGCTTAGGGCATTCCAAGAAAGCTGTGAGATCAAGGGTTTCTACGTGCCAAAGGAGACAGTACTTGCTTTTAATGCATATCATGTGATGAGAGACCCTGATTCTTGGGAAGATCCTGATGAGTTTAAGCCAGAGAGGTTTCTTGATTTCTCAAGATCGGGACAAGAAGAGCAAGGCATGAAGTACATTCCTTTTGGAGCCGGAAGAAGAGGTTGTCCAGGATCAAATCTAGCTAATATAATGCAAAGCACTACAATTGGAACGATGGTTCAGTGCTTTGACTGGAGAATCAAAGGAGATAAGATTAACATGGAAGAGACTCTTGCAGGATTGATCTTGACTATGGCTACTCCCCTTAAGTGCACTCCTGTCCCTCGACTCCGGCCATTTTAGTTTTTTTTTCATTTGCAAAGTTTGAGGTCTTGACTTGTTTTCAACTATATTTGTTGTCTTTATTATGTTTCTTGTCTTTTCCTTTCGTCATCACCCTGAATGCATGAACATTTTAGGATCACACATCTAAAAAAAGTTAAAAGGGACTTATAAGTTCCTAAATGGCTAAAAATAATGTCATTTCTGATAAATTTGGCAGCTACACAAGAGAAGTGAAAGTATAAATCCTACATCCAAATGTAGCAAATCTGAGTTATATATTTGTAGGAACCACGATAGGAATAATGGTGCAGTGCTTTGACTGGAGAATCAATGGAAATACGTTTAGCCTAGAAGAGGCTCCTCGAAGAGTCCTATTGACCATGGCTCACCCCCCTTGAACATGTGTATTTTCTCATCTTAAAGGATTTTTTAACATATAGTTGGTGAATCATCTAATTACAACTGGAAATGAATTGAAAGACTGATTGACACAAATCCAATCGTAACATCTTAATGTTGAAAAACAGCTTGTATAGCTACAACCCTACAAGCATATTTCCATGGTAGTGCATGTAAAACGTACAATTAGAAATTTGTTATCTGAGTTTCCTTAATCTTTATTTTTAACTTGAGGAGTGAAAATTACTAAAAAGGGCAACTATGGGAAAAAAATATATTTACACAGTGATAACAATTGAAAATTTAGGACGATTTAGATTTGAAAATACCCTTGGGAAAATGGAGCGAATTTGCAGGAACTCTCACGTTCCATGTGCTGATGTGCATCGATTGCATATTTATTTGCATTGGAGAAAGAAAACAAAAAAGTTATTTGCAATAGATCTTCGATAGCGATGAAATCATTCAATACTATAATAGGAACTAGGAAGAGTGTTAGTTAGGATAACATTTGAATTAGTTGATACTGTACTGTCAGTGGCTTAGTTTTAAAATAATACTCTCTTTCATAACATAAGTAGTTGGATTTTCTTTTTGTTTCATTTTATATTTGAAAAAAAATGGTATTTGAAAATTTCATTGACGGGAAATTCTTATTCATTTTATCATACTCTGAATACTAAACCATTATCAATGTACTGAGAAATTTGGCCATCTTAATAAATTTACCCTAACCCTTACAAATAACAAATAAGAGTGTTAACAACAATCTCATATGAATGCATCCATGTAAGAATAAATTATTTTTCAAAAAATAAAAAAGAAAAAGGTCTGCTCAGGTATAAAAGTATTTCCAACAATGATTTTTCAACATGAATTTTTCATAAAATGAAAAAAGAATAAAAACAAAATTTGTGTATCTGGTGGGTTTCTATATGATAAACTTTGATAATTTTTCGAAATCAAACGATAAACAATTATAAATTTCTCCTTCCAATTTGAGAGAAACTCAAACATTGTTGGAAATGCTTTAAGCCTAGTGACAGTGTAATATAAAACCAGCATGGTTAATATGCCATAACTAAATCCCCAGATTCGTTGTCAAGTTTCATATTCCTCTTTACTTTGAGCAGAAAAATGGCAGCAATAATGAGCGTTGACTTTGAAAACTGTTTCATCTTAACCTTCCTATGCTTCTTCTCGTTCCTCAGTTATTCTTTCATCTTCAAGAAACCAAAGAACTCACGACGAGGCCGTGATCTGCCTCCGAGCCCTCCTTCTCTTCCAATCGTTGGTCATCTACATCTTCTCCTCTCAACTCTAATCCACAAGTCTCTCCAGAAAATATCCTCTAAGTATGGACCTCTCCTCCATCTCCGTTTCTTCCATGTCCCCATCATTCTCGTCTCATCTGCCTCCATGGCGCACGAGATCTTCAAGTCCCACGACGTGAACATCTCTTATCGTGGAGTTTCTGCCAACGGCGAGTCTCTTGTTTTTGGATCTTCCGGTTTCCTCAGCGCTCCTTATGGGGATTACTTGAAGTTCATGAAGAAGCTCGCTGTCACAAAGTTTCTTCGACCGCAAGCAATTGAGCAAGCACAAGGCGTCCGTGCAGTGGAGCTAGAGAGGTTCTACGCAAACCTGATGGAGAAAGCGAAGAAAAAGGAGAGCGTTGAGATTGCTATGGAAGTGATGAAGCTCACTAACAACATGATTTTCAGAATGATCATGGGAAGGAGGTATTCAGAAGCAAGAGGTTACGCAGAGAGAGTCATGGAGTTGACTATAAAGTCTTTTAACTTAACAAAGAAGATTTTCTTTGCAAACATGTTGCGTAGCATGTTTGAGAAGCTTGGAATCTCACTGTTTAACAAAGAGATCATGGGAGTTTCGCGCGAATACGATGAGTTGCTGGAAAGGATTCTTGTGGAACATGAAGAGACACTTGAGGAGGAGGATCAAGATAAGGACATGATGGATTTTTTGTTGGAGACTTACCGAGACGAAAAGGCAGAGTATAAGATCACTAGGAACCATATAAAGTCTTTGTTCGTGGTAATTATAAATGTTCTTTCACGTCACATTATACAGGCTGATTCATTGGTATATTGTTACTTATGACTAAGAAACTGCAGGAGATTTTCCTTGGAGGCACGGACCCATCGACGCGAGCAACAGAGTGGACAATGGCAGAGATCCTTAACAACCCCAATATCTTGGAGAAGATGAGAGAAGAGATTGATACTGTTGTAGGAAAAGCAAGGCTGATCCAAGAATCGGATCTACCAAACCTTCCTTACTTGCAAGCGGTGGTCAAAGAAGGACTAAGAATGTACCCGCCATTGCCTCTCGTGCTTAGGGCATTCCAAGAAAGCTGTGAGATCAAAGGTTTCTACGTGCCAAAGGAGACGGTACTTGTTGTTAATGCATATGGTGTGATGAGAGACCCTGATTCTTGGGAAGATCCTGATGTGTTTAAGCCAGAGAGGTTTCTTGATTTTTCAAGATCAGGACAAGAAGAGCAAGGCATGAAGTACATTCCTTTTGGAGCCGGAAGGAGAGGTTGTCTTGGATCACATCTAGCTTATATAGTGCAAGGCACTACAATAGGAACGATGGTTCAGTGCTTTGACTGGAGAATCAAAGGAGATAAGATTAACATGGAAGAGACTCTTGCAGGATTGGTCTTGACTATGGCTCATCCCCTGAAGTGCACTCCTGTCCCTCGACTTGGCCCTTTTGGTTTTTAATTTGCAAAGTTTGAGTTCTTGACTTGTTTTCAACTATATATGTTGTCTTTATAATGTTTCTTGTCTTTTCCTTTCGTTACCTAATAAAAGTTATCATCTTAGATGAATGAACGTGTTAGGATCAAAATGCCAAAGCTACAAAAACAGTACTATTTCGAGTTCCTAAATGGCTAAAATAATGCCAATTTTGATAAATTTGGCAGCTATACAAAGAGCAAAAATCCAAATGATGATAGAGGCTATATTGCTATTGCAGAGCTGAAACTCTTTTCCATCTTCAAAGCTTTAAATCTACTGTGAAACATTGACACTTGCCTGCCTTATCTTTCCTGGTATGAAGCATCTCAAATCTACATGGATGTAGAACTAGAGAACCGGGAAACTCGTCTGGCTTCTGTTTTGCCTGAATGGTTTGGTCTTGGCTACATCTACTACTATCATCCACCCATTAATAATCTGCGCAGAGAAAGAAAAAAAATCAACCACCATAACATCTTTGAATCTCTCTCTCTCTCTCTCTCTCTCTCAGTCACATTTAAGCATAGCTTTACCTTTCCATTCATCTCTGCTAGTGCAGCGCTCGCGGCTTCCTCTGTCGTGTACTCTATAAAGGCATAACCTTTTGATCTCTTCGATATCTTGTCCATGATTATCTTGACTGCAGATGAAAGTTATATAAGCTGTAATCATCTTATCTTTCCAGAGACCTGTGGATTGGATAGTAAACCATGTATGTACCTTCTGCTAGTTCACCGAACCCTTCAAACGCTTCACGCAATGTCTTCTCCGATGTGTAGAAAGACAGTCCTGAAATTTGAGGAAACCAAAAAGTTACATGTGAGCAATGAATTGTGGGGAAGCATGAGCTTTCCTCCAAAAAAACAACTTTGGAGATTTCTTGTCACTTAACAGATTCTGCTATGTAACCAAGTGTTCACATACCAGTTATAAACAGCTTCTTTGTCTTAACAGGAGGAGACTCTGAATCTTCTCTTGAATCTTGTGTACTATTATCACCTTTTGCAAAAGAAACAAAGAGCCAAAATTACAACAATCTGAGATTTATACACAGTCTTGTTTTCAGTATCCAAGACAAACCTTCATAGTCTTTGTTTAGTGACTCGAAATTGTTATCAGGAACAACAGCAAGAACGCCAGGCACACCTGCATCAATCAAAACACCATCTCTTCATCATCTCTTAGTTTAAATTCAGGACAATGCATTGTTGTCTGATTCCTCACAAACCAGCTAACTCCTCGGCGCAATTTTCATCCAGATCACAGCAAAAACCGAACTTGGTCTGCCAGGAAACATGATAGATACACATCTGTGAATCCTTCTCACTGCAAAAGAAATGGTGTTAAAAAAGCTGAAGGGAGACAATAGCTTCCGCAATACAGGATCAAGCAAGAAGACACTCACTTCCGTAAGACCTTGGATAGCAATTGAACACAGTGATCAACCATCTGTGCTTTAGTAACAATCCCAACTCCTGGCTTGTCCACACGGACCGTCCAATGCTTCACTGTCTCATGATCAAATAAGGAAGCACCTCTCTGGCTCCCAATGCCGTAATTCTTAATCTCTGAGCTGTAGTCAGCTTCAGGTCTAACAGATAGTACTCCAGGCAAACCTAAGTTTCATAGACCACAATCAATAAACACTAAAGTAACAGAATTTGTGGCTTTAATGCAATCAAGCTAACATAGAACACTCACGAGCGAGCTGGCGTGAAGCAGCTTCGTCGATATGACAGCAAAATCCGAAATGGGTATCAAAGGAAGCATCGTATATACTCATCTGCGCATCTTTTTCGCTGCAAACAGTGGAGGAAAAAGTAAGTGAAGAGCTCAAATGAAGCAAACGAAGAATGAAATGGGGGAAAAAGGACTCACTTTTCCAAAACTTTCGCGAGAATCGACGCATAATAATCTACGATATCGGATTTGGAAGAAACCCATTGCGGAGGTTTATTCAATCTCACCATCCAATAGGTATTTTGGGCGAGAGCTGTAGAAGAAGACGGTGCGGAGATTACAGAAGAGGAGGAGACGAAGTGTGATGATGACAAGGAGATTGAATTCTTCCGGAAAGTTCCGAAATTGATGTTTGGAGAAGAAGAAGAAGAAGACGAAGGGAAGAATCGGGGATTGATAATGTCTGAGGGAGAGCTGGAGATGGGGAGGAAGAAGGAAGCGGAAGCTATAAGAGCTTCCATGGCAACTCCTTAGCTTGCTTTTGTTTCCTCTACTCACTCTGTTTTTCTCATTGTATTAGAAAATGTAAAATCCGATAATGCGAAAATCGTTTTCCTTAGAAATGCAAAAATCGTTTTTTTTTTTTTTTTTTTTCTTTTCAGATCAAATTGGATTGAATGACTGAAGATGTTAAAAAATGTTTTTTATTTTTATTTTTCTAGCATTTACGTATTAAAAAAATTATTAATAACCAATTTGTAAAAATATTTGACAGGCTAATTACGTCAAAGTATTGATTTTTTTATATATGGTAAAACTATGAATGATGGTCAAAGTTTAATAAACACAGATTTAGAATACTATTTATATATAAGGTTTTTATAAATTGTCAAACTTTTATAGTCTACTTAATTTATTAGGAGATTCATTAACAACAAAAAGATTTATAGGATTTGGTAGTAGATCGAAGTGGTTTACAGTTAACAAAAGAAAGAACACTGCGATTCCGTGTATAATCTAACCGGTATTGCGGCTTGAGTTCGACGGGTTTACAGTAAACCAGGAAATTTTTTGTTGGTCTTATAACAAAAAAAAACGTTGGATCTGTAAGAAAAAATCGAAAAAAAAAACTTTCCGTCTCGAAAGAAGAAGGGAGAGATGAAGAAGCAGGTCGGAGCCGAGAAGAAGAGGGTTAAACGATCATCGGGATCTGCATCCACCGCTGCTAGAGACTCCGGCTCTGATGCACCACCTAGGGTTTGCTCTCTTCTCTCCTTTTTTTCATTTCTAATCTCTTTCAAATGAAATTTGTTCTTAGGTTACGTTTCTCATTTGTTTGATCTGTTTCGGTACCTGATGGAGTGAAAAACCTGTGATTATATGATTTACATGCATTTCTCTTAATTATTGTTTGGTAAATTGTATTTGGAAATGCGCAGATATGTGTGTGTGTGTTCATTTCATTGAATAACACTGTTTCTTTGGGATTATTCTACACATTTGACTGTTTTTTGGGTTTGTGAGTTGTAAATTGATTCACTTATATGGCAAAGTTTTGATTCTCTTAGCCTTTGTAATGTGAAATTGATAGATCATCTTTTTTCCCAAATGCTTAATTTTGCTGTTTCCTTTACTAGAAGCAAGCTGTGAAGAAGGATTTGTTTCAGTTGTTTGCTGAGAAAGTTAGAGACCACAAGGGATTGGAATCCAGATGGGCTGTTATGGAGCAAGCAAGAGTCGAATACTTCAGAGGAAAAGACTTCGTGAGCTTCATTAAGAACCATCCAGAGTGTAAAGAGATTCTGGAAGAAGATAAAGACCTTGACACAGAAGATATCGCCAATGTGTTGTTGGGAAAGAACCTTTTGGTCCGCTGTGATCGTGTTACAAAAACTCTTCGTCCAGGGAAGAAAAAGCTGTCTACTTGGCCTGCTCATCTTGAGATTTTCCGTGTAAGTTTGATTCTTACTTGTAGTAGAGATACTCCTTCCACTATCAAGCCCTCTGCTTCATGTTCGTACCTATTTTGATTTCATTTTCTCTTGTTTATAATGCAGGATGGTCAAGCTTTCTCTGAAACTGATGCCTTCTTTGCATGGACGTTTGAAAAACGGCATCCACTTTGGCAAACACTCTTGTCCTTCTTCTGGCCTGTGTTGACTCTTGCAATCTGTTTGTTTCCTGTGTACCCACACCGTTGCAAGCTGATTGTTCTCTACTCATGTGCGGGCATTCTTTTGATGATTCTCTCCTTGCTTTTCGGTAAGCTCCACATATATAAACCTGTTATAATTTTCACCTTACAAAGTCACTTTATGATATGACTTGCTGGCTATGATTGCCTAACTTATGATATGTAGTTTTAGCTTGGCTTATACTGAAAATTAGAGCTTTCTTGATTACCCTGAATGTTGCAGTGAGAGCACTTGCTTTTGGTGCTATGTGGATTCTTTTTGGAAAGCGTGTCTGGTTCTTCCCCAACATTCTAGCCGAGGAGGCCACATTGAAGGAACTGTTCCGTTTCTGGCCAAAGAAAGACGAGGAAGAACCTCCCAAGTGGACATCACGACTTTTCTACACAGTTGTGGCCGTTGTTGTTGTCATGCTGCTCAGGCGCCATGCTCCTGATGAAGCTGCTCGGGCCAGGTACTTTACTTTAACCAAGATTACATCAATTGTTCTGTCTATAATTGCTATGATTCTTAGCTCCTCACTTGTTTGCAGTAGAGGTTTGACTTGTGGTGAGTTTTTTGGTCATACAGGTACCAAAGAAGGATGTCAAACATCATTGATGATGTCCTTGAGTGGTCACCAAAGCTAGCACTCTCTGGTTTGATGGAGAATCAGCCACCTGTGAACATCACAGAAGCGGCTAACAACTCTTCAGATGCAGCTGCAAGTCCTGACCAGACTGAAGAGGTCGACCAAGACGAAACTCAAGGCGACGAGGAAGCTGAAGACTGGAACAACAACTCTGATATAAAAACATGAAAACAAAAAAAAATTATAGAAACGAAAGTTCATTGTAACAATAAGTCAGCTTATGTGACCAAGACTAGGTGAGTTCTTATAAGAAAGTCTTGAAAGATTTTGTGGTACCGCATTACTCTTTTTCATTTTGGCACACTTTGGAATTTAGTTATCAATCATATAGTTTTGGATTCAAAACAAAAGCTCTATCACTTGCTTAAGAGATGCTTACTTGATATAATTGACAAAGAAAAGAAGCAGGAGAAAAGGATTTGTAGTATTTGTACAAAAGAAGAAGAAAAACAGAGTGAGAACTCTTGAATGGCTGCTACCAAATTAAGCCAACAAAGAGAAAGCCAAGAATGAATTGCCGCCTGAGAGGGTCACTTGATGGCTAGACGAGCTTGAGAAGGATGGTTTGAGGAAATGCTGTTCCATTGCTGACCTGAACAGTCGCTTTCGTCCCTTCTATTGTAAGCTGAGCTCTGCGTCTCACCGTCCTGATGTCTTCTATACTCACCATTCCAAGCTTCAGGTTGATCAGAATTAGACGATGTCGGGGACTGATTAACGCAAGCGTTGCTCCTTTCTCCAGCTTTTAGCTGTGAAACTTCCATGTTTGTTTTCTTCGCAAACCGTCCTCCAGTACCTCTTGGCCTCCTCATAGCATGCTGATGCCGAGACTCATGGAGATAAGGCTGTGGAAGATTGGAGGAGAACACAGATTAAGAAAAAGAAAAGAAAAAAATGATGCATCAAGCAGTGTGATGGTTCGTATTTATTCATGGTTACTCGCAATTTACCTTTCTGGATTTGATTAGCTTCTTCTCAAGCTCTGCCTTGGCGCGTGCCTGTCTTCGCCTCAAAATCGCCTGGTACTGTTTAGCATTCACGTAAACCGGTTCTTGCGCCATCTCAGGAGGCAGTGGCATTCTTGAGTGAGGCATCCCACCATACGGAACATAAGCCTGATAGGAGGAAAGTGTTAGCTATCAGAAAGCCACATGGAAGAACAAATCTTATTCCTGCCTCAAAGAAAACTAAATCAAATGCATCACACATCATAAGGCAATTTTAGACATCAAATCACTTGTGGCTAGTGGAATATAATAAACTGCAATCTCATGTCTCACAACACAACAGCAGCCATGAATCATTATGAATAGTTGGGAAAGAAAGTCATATACCATTGGATGATGTCCATAAGCTCCCATCATTCCTGCATAATATGGATCCTGGTATGGATTTGAAGATGACCATCCCTGCAAGATTCATAACCAGAAAACAAACAATAAGCAACAGTTAGCTTATAAATTTTATTGAACGAAATGATATTTATCAGCTAGAACCAAAGATATATAGGCAAATTACAACTGTATGGCTAACAAGCTGAGTGTGAGGAGACTGTGTCATGCCGGGATGCAGAAGTTCTTGACACTTGTCACTGTAATTACCAGCTGCAAATCGATATACACTTATTAACAACACTTGGTGAAAAGAAAGAATCCGAAATCCTTTGAGAGAGAGAGAGAGAACAAATCGAATGCACCTGACTGAGGAGAGGTTGTGACTTGTGATTCCTTGTTACCATTTGATTCAGCTTCCGCAATAGAGCTTGCATTGCAGGCAGCAGCAGCACGTTGCCAAGGGTTTAAACTATTTATCGACGACGACGATGGTGTGTGATGATGATGCACATCTGAAACGACCTCGTTCCCACTGTCAGATTTCGAATGCATGTCTTCAATTCCCTACTCGAAAGCTAATTGTCAGTGACGAGATTTCAACTAAGCAATCCAATTCGTATTAGATTTAGCAATTTTTTAACACTCAGAACTACAGGAAGTGATTTCGGTAACAAGTAGTGAGCAAAACCCAGAAACGCTCGAAGACGAAATTCACCAAATCGGACTTAAATTTCGCAGCTTTGTGAAATTGAGAGAGGGAGTAAGAAGAGAAGAGAGCAAAACCCTAGAACAAAGGTAGAAAGCAGCTCATGCAATGAAACACGATTCTGATGATAATTGGAAGTTTCTGACATACCATTCAATCGGAGAACGACGACACCGTCTCGGACTCTCGGAGGCGTCTACGGTGATTGAAGGAGACGCTTCCGCTTGGAAGACGAACGATCTGATGAAGTTTCTCAGTCAGAGGAAGAAGTAAAAAAGAAACAATTTTTATGGAATTGAATTTGATTATTTTATTTTTGTTTTGATCGTCGTAGGAAGTATATAAGTTTTGTTCCGTTTTGACTCTTGGCTGCCACGTGCTGCCCACGTGAACGGCGGCAACACAAAAACAAAACGTAAAACTTATTTGGTGGAATCGAAGATTCTAAGTGATTGCTGGACCCATAACGGGCTTGAAAGCAATTACAAGGCCCAGTATTTGAACAACCGTATTTTCTTTTAACATTTGAAATTTTTGTCGTATATCATTTTCGTTGAGGATTTTTGCGATAAAGAAATAAGCAGAAAAGGTGAAAAACTTTACAAAATAATGAAATATATATCTTATTATATATAAAATTGTGTAATTTGTAGAACTGAAATATCATTCTATTATTGTACATGCTATCAATTATAACCACAATCATCATTTTAGTGTTTTTTTGTTATTTCTGTCAAATCTTTTATCCTCCTTTTTTCATCTCCTTTTTTTAAGCAAAATAGCAAATCAAAAAGATGCTAGCTATCATATACTCCTAAACAAAAATAAGTCCAATAAGCAAAAAAAAAACACAGCTAAATCTGTACATTTCTAATTATTATGAAAACTTATTTGATAAAAAATAAAATAAAAAATAGATTACTTAGACCCTTGTATTGATTTGTGTAAAGTGTAATTAGTCAATAACTAATTATATTTTATGTCGAAACAAAAGGAATGAACTTTTCTGTATTATTGATGATCAAATAAAGATGTGTTTTTTAACCTTTTTGTGAGAAATTATGGGAGAGAAAATGATGAGAAAAGCCGCACGAGTAGGCTTCATTGGATTCCCTTAGCAGATGTTATCCTCTGCCTCGACACTGTGGCCATCCCCACTAACTCTTCACATATTTCTCGGCTCTTTGCTTTCACTAATTTTTTAACATTTTTATTTTCTTCTAGTTTATGAAAATTAGTTCTTAGAATGAAAGTTAAGTGAAGTGTGACAAAAAGTTGAACTTAATTAAGGAATAAAGTGGCAAAAAGAGCTAGATTAACATTTACATTATTAGAGATGAAAAAAGGATTATATCGATCTTGATGTAGACAAAAAAAAAAACAGAGTTTATCAATCTGATGGGATTTATAATTAATGATAACGATCGTGGCCCATTATTTTAACACACCCAATAAAAAGGGAATATCAAGAACTACTTTTTCTGGAACTATTGTGACAAGAAGTGTGGCATATGCATTTAAAACTTTAGTTTATGCGGTGCTGACAAATAGTTATAGTTCATGAATCACAAATTCAGCATTGTAAACCTGTAACTATATATATATATATATATGATATATGTCGGTGTTGTTTTAATGTTATTGGACCTAAATCCAGCGAGATGTTTCGTGTAGAAAGTGACTGTTTCTGTTCAGTAAAAGAGTATTGTATGACCTGTTAAATTTTTGTTATAGAAGTTGTTCATATGAACGAAGCATATCAACAAACGGTCGATATGATCAAAACTATACATAGAGGGAAAGTCTCAATTTACACCTTAATTATAAAAACAAAACTGACTAAGTGAATAATAGGCCAGAAATTAAAGTGAGTATCAACCTAACACATAGCACTTGGAAAAAAGATATGCAAGAAAAGTATAAAATAATAAAAGGATTGGGTATCAATTATACTTTAAGTTGTAATTGATTTGAATATACCCTACCACAAAACTCAAAACCGACTTCATTCAAATTATCCCCAAAAAAAACAAGCGCCAAAAGAACACAAGAAAAGAGAAAAATCAAAACAAACCAAAATTAGAAACAAAACATCACACGAAAAATTAACAATAATATAACTCTTCGTTATTGTATTAACAAACCAAAGAGATGAATTCTGAGCACCATCTTATAACTACTTTCTGTATCGAACCTATAACAAAAAAAAAAAAAAAAAGAAGTAGCTATCAACTAAAAGTTGTTTCATCGACCGTGTGCTTTGACAAAGAAGAGCTCTATCTCCGGAGGAGCAAAGAAAACGATTTGTCTCCGTCGCAATACGCAGTTCTGTGGGACCCTTTGCTTCTTCGGTGCTGGTGGACACGTCAGCATCTCCGGTATCCTAGACTTCTGAGCTTTCGGGGTACAACAACCGCCGCCGCCACCACCTCCTTCACCTGGTGACGCCAGCACCTCCGGGGAGGGAGAAGGAACATGGTAGTTTGAATCCTGAGGAGAAAACGATGTCGTCGAGGAAGAACATGTAGAGACAGTACTAGATGTAGATGTATGATCGAGAGTAGTAGTTGTGTTGGTGTTCTTGTGTTGAGGAAGTTGTTTCTTGAAATGGGTTCTTTTGAGTTTTTTCTCAGCTCGGGCTGGTTTTCTTCCTTTTTTTGATGCCATCTTTAGACCTAATCAAAAGAGGAGTTTTTCTTTGCGAGGTTAGGTGAGAGGAAGAGAGAGAGAGAAGAAGAAGAAGAGAGTCGTTGCTTATTTGCTTAGTTAGCATATATAGTATGAGCCACGAGTCAAAATTTTAGTGGGAGTGTCACTTTTAAGTTTCTAAATTTTGACTACCTAAAGTTTTCACTGAGACGACGAACAAAGAAAAAGTTATGGACTGATCTTTGAAAAGGTGAAAAGATTTCTTTTTTTAAGGATTAAAATTGCATGTAGTTACAAGTAAGTCCGACCAACAAATTTGGCGGTATATTTTTATTTGCCGTTTTTAAAGACTAAAAGCATAAGCATTGACAAGGCTTTGACTAGGTACAAAAAGTAGAGTAATTTTTTCACCAAGAATTAATTTTCCTGCAAGTTCTGCTTTCTTTTCACCAATCAAAAGAAAAGGAAAGAGAAAGAATAAATGTAGCTTTCTTTTGCTGAAAAATGAAAAAAAAGGTAGTGACATAAGAAATTTTTATCCTACAAAACGTATGAATGAAATATTTCTCTTAAACTTAATATTATTTTCCTCTTCAATATTCTGTTTCTTTTAAAGTTGAATATTATAATCGCTAATGGATCATTTTCTTGAGCCACTCGATAAAACATGAGTATCTTTGTAAGGTGACATACATGATGTCATAAATTCATGTATACAGTAGTGCCGGTGCACATACTTGACTCTTTCACAACTCACATGGTGACTATAAATTTTTGGACTTAGTAAAAATTCCTATAAAATATACATAAATGGTGTCGGACGAGAGAGAGTTAAACTGACGAGTGACGACCCCCAAAAAAGCTTATATTATTTGGATTTGGATGCACATAGACAGACATAGGACCCGACAGCGACAAACGAGAAAATTGACCTTTTTTCCCCGTTCTTATTAATTGTTTTGCTTTTTGAGTAGATGGGTTTACTATTAAGTAATAACTACGTTTTCTTCTGCCGTCCAAATAGTTGTGTACAGAATCTTAGTACTAAAATGCTAATCAACGATCACATAACAGTCTCCTAAAATGCCATTTCTTACACGCTATATGCCTATATCTTTAGTCTCAAAGAATACGATTCTTGCATGATATAGACAGATCATATAGATACTGAAATTTGAAGAGCTTTGAAAATAAAATAGAGCCCCTACATTACACATGCATGAAAGGAAAATATAGTTAAGTTTAAACTCTAAGTTTAAAGGATTACGGAAAGAATAAAAGAAAAATAATAAGATAAAGTTAACACAAACTTTGATGGAGGAAGGAAATCACGTGGACTGACATGCAAATTCAATGTATATAAGTATAAATAAATACATATATGGGTTTATGTACATCCCAACCAACTCTTTCTAGTTTTAGTTGAGGTATGGTTGTACCAGCATAATTAGTATTAGAAACAAACAACAATGCTAATTTCTTATTAGAAAGCGTGTTTGGCGTCTGATTTGTAGTAATAAAAAATAAAGAAACCCTTTTAAAACTCTCCAAAAGTACATAAATTTGATGTTGACAAATTAAAAAGTACATAAATATGCGAGATTGGCTCTTGTCATCATGGGATCCTAAACATAGGATTCACTATGCAAAGCGGCAGATTAGATTCTCATACGTCTTAAGTGTTCACACAGATAAACGAATTTGTTAGCAAATATGTTCATTTTTAAATTCATTACAAAACATCTATCATGGCTATACTAAAAACGCATGGATGAATCATGAATTGTTATTTTGTTTTATTATTTCAAGATGGTTTAGTGATGGTTTGTATATTAATTTACCGGCACTGTATAACGGCTATTGAAAAACATATTGTTACTCGTTTTTGGCGTTAAAGAAGTATATTGTTACTTGTAATTTTAAACGTCTACAAAAGATGTCTACGAGTAGAGTAATCATATATGTCTCCAACACTAAACGTATTTCTTGTCAAGTATGATCCTACCATTAAAGTTGACATTTTTACAATGTTTACAAAAATAAATACAAATTTTTAAAACGAGGTTACTTGATGTTTATTTGAGCAAACCTTATTCACTAACAAATTGTCATTATTACATTTCTACATGTAAGCACTTTCTCAATCTAACCTCACACTGTCGTCATCGCTTGGTGACACACAAAGCACAATGTGGTATTGCAAATTAGCCTTCGGCCGCTTCCATCTCTGACTTTTCAGTTATACAGTTTTTCTTTTCAATAACGATATCATATATAAACCCATGACCAATAGTGGAAGACGGCACACTTGGACTTTGGGTTTGAATCTTGTTGTTTTAAACGAATTAAGAATTTTTATTTCCAAGGGACATAGAAATCCCAACAATAACATTTTGCTTATCGCTACCTAACTATCATGCATGAAACAGCCGAATCAACCGTCGAAGATGACAAAGTTAACGGCACAATAACAACAAAAAATTAGTCATGGCACATTGCGACATTCCACATTTCCAAGATTCTTTAGCATTGTGGTTCCGAGACTCTCTAACTCGGTAATGATTTAGTTTGCGTTTGTATCATCAGGATTGTTCAATCCGAAAATCTTTCTTAATGTAATAATCTCTTTCCAAAGGAATGATAAATCAGAAATTAAAACAGAAAGAAAAAGAAGAATATCTTTGTTCTTCAAAGTTGCTAGAAAAGACTATGATTGGTAACGGTGGAAATGAGATGAGATGATCGGCGGTGTTGGAAAGAGATTCTGATTTAAATAAAATGTCACGAGAAAGATAGAATATGGCCTTCTATGACTAAGAGAATAATGTGTTTTTTACAATTTTTTAAAGTCTAATGATTAACCATTCCAAACTAGTTTTTAGATTTTTTTTTTTTGTCGTTCCAGCAACTTTCAATAGAAATAATTATCACTCCCTTCAGATGTGTATAGGAAAAGCAGAATGACAGAGACAAGATATGTAACTTTAAATTGGATAGACCCAAAGTTTCTTCTGCTTCCATAGTAACATTTCCAAAATCAAATAATTAAATGTTAACAATTATTATGATCCAGCCGTACATTTTTGTTTTGTTTTTTGACATAATTGTATGGTCTGCTATAAGTTTTAAGAAGTGATAGCAGAAGTGAAAAAAAGGCAAGAAAACAACAACGTAACAACTATTCTTATCATATGTCCCATGGTTTTGTCCCTACCGATTAAATGTCACGAAAATATCAAAGACAAGAAAATTTACACAGAGAAATGCTCCATACTGTTTATGTTTTCTCACCAAAACTAAATCTTCAATGAAGACAAATTGCCTTTTCCATGTATGTTTACAAAGAATCCAAATCGATTTGATCTCTTCAAGGCTTCTGACGACAATGAGACTTTTTCGGTCTAAACCACATGCCTCACAGACAAAATGCATCAATCAAAGATTCACAACTTCAGAAACAAAAAAAGAGAGCCTAATGTTACAATTCAACAAGGTTTCTTAAGATTGATTCAAAAGATCATTCAACACCCATTTGATTCAATACAACAGAACGAAACCTAACCAATGGATTCAACTAGTATCCTGACCAGAGGAACCATCAAATGCGTCGAGATTGTGATCTTAATGAAAGTACCATGGAACGTGGTGGATTTATCACCTTCCTCTTGATAGCGCCTCTTCTAGCTCTTCAACCGAAGAAGGGAACAGTTCAATGTAACGGCTCCCAAGCGTTTTCCTGTCCTTGACCATCGCAGCTCTCGACTCGTGAGCGCTCCCAAACTCCACAAACGCTTCCCCTGTTGGTCTCCCTTCACCGTTAACAGTAACATGAACAGAGTCTTCAGATATCTCAAAATCTTTGAAGAAGTCTATTATGTCTTCTTTCCCTGCTGAGAACGGCAATCCTCTCAATCTCAACACACCCGTATGCTCTGCATTCTCTTTCCCATCGTCGCTCGACCTAGCCCTCTGCACATTTCTCCGAGGCGGCGAATATCCACCGCTTCCACCACCACCTCCTCCTCCTCCTCCACTCCCACCACCTCCACCAGCATTGCCACCATGGACACGAGACTCCGCAACCTCATTAGCAATAGCCTTATAGTACTCTTGTTTCGTACTCCTGAAAACCTCAACATATCTCCTTCCCATGTTCTGCCTATTCTTATGGAGCGCGAAATCGACCTGAAGAGGATAGCCGAGAACGCAAAAGGCTTCTCCAGTGAGCTTATTGTTCTTGTGAATAAACAAGACATCAACCACATCTAAACCATGGAAGAACTCTACTACGTCGAGCTCTGCGCAGTCAAAAGGAAGACCACGGAGCCGAACCACTGGAAAAGCAGGAGGAGGTGGAGGAGAAACGAATCCATAAGGGTTATACATAAAGCCAGAACCAGGATGTGGTGCATAGAACGGCCCTGGAGGACCTTGATCAATCATTCTCTGACGCTTAGGTCCCATTTCACGCCCATCAGGACCATCTCCATATCTACATTCATTCATTCACCACAGCTTAAAATCAAAACACTTTCTAGGTTTCATATAGTTTCTTCAATTCTGTTCATAAATCAAAGCAAGAACCTTCCTACAACACTACTCGGAGAAATTCAATATCGAAAATTTCCGATCGAATTGAGCAAGTGAAGGAGATCGAAGCATGTAAAACTACGCAAGGAGCTAAATTGAAGTGATTCAGATATGGATTGAGCTCGATAACGGAAAAACCCTAATTGCGGAAACTTATTGAAATCAAAACGATTGACGAAGAACGAATCGGAGATGAATCTGAGGCTTACCCTCTGTAGAACATTGTCGCCTGCGGAAACTATCTCCGGTGCCGGCTATCTGGATTGATGAATTCGATTGGAGCTTCGCTGATTTTGATTGAACCTTCGGAATTTCGTATCGGTGCCTTGGAAAATCTCAGCTCAACGGAAGAAGAGCGTTTAAATTAACATGTTGAACGGAAAGCAACTGAAAAGGGAAAATAAAGCGAAGTTTGGGCTGTTGGGTCTTGGGCCCTGGGCCTTTATACATTAAGACTATTTTTGTGTATGAATGATTACGTAGTAACAATATATATATGTTCGGAGGATGTGAGTAACTAAAGTCGCTTTGGCCGAGTGGTTAAGGCGTGTGCTTGCTAAGCACATGGGGTTTCCCCGCGAGAGTTCGAACCTCTCAGGCGACGAATATTTTTTTTATTTTGCCCCCTTGCCAAAACATTTTACCTTAACTAAGAGAAAAAGTTTCACAAAAATTAAATTTCAGTTTACAATATTTTCTTATTTTGTGATGGGTGTATGAGTATATCAGAAAATATGTACACAAATAAAAAAACCTTATTTTTTTTTTGGACGAACGATGCGATCATATATTAATCAAAGGGAAATCAAACCTCACTAGGAGGGATCCATGATAACAAGCTGGACTTAGCCAGTAAATCCGCCTCAGAGTTAAGGGCTCGAGGAATAAACTTAAAAGCAACAGAGACAAAAGATAAACTAAGAGACTTGATATCATCTAATAAACCTTGGATTTGGTTAGAAAGACCATCAGAGTTGAGGAGGAGAACGAGCTCCTGACAATCTGAAAAGCAGGTCAATCGAAGGAAGTCAGCAGCTCTCGCATAAGAGAGAGCAAGCTTGACGGCAAAAGCTTCAGCTGCTAGAGCTGAGGGGATAAAATCCTGAGGTGTGGAGCTTTGAAAGATTATGCGGCCGGTATCATCTTTAAAGATCCAGCTCAAGCCGCCCAAGTCGTCATCGGCATGGCACGCCGCATCCGTGAAGCAAGAGATAGAACCTGGGGGACCAAGGTAGGTCGGTTGTGGCAGGGGTAAAAGCACAGCTCTAGGAGGGAAGGCTTCTTGTGCCCCTTGCCAGGCCTTTGCTTCCGCAATGGCTCTATGGAGCGAGTCAGCTGCTGTCACATCCTTCTTCTCAAAGATCAACAGGTTGCGGGCTTTCCAGAGGAACCACACCAACCAAGGGTAAAGCGGCGTGAGGTACAGTCCTGTGGGAGGGAGCGTCACAGATCTCTTAGCAGCCGAGAGAAACAACTGCACGGTGATAAAAAAAACTTATTAAGTTAAAAGATCGTGGGTTTATGACCATTCTTAGTTAGTAACTTAGTAATTTAATCGATCTTATAGTTCTTTTATACTTAAGTTACTAAATTTGTTTCTTAGTAGTCCAAATGGTCATAAACCCACGATATATCATTAAAAATGTACATTTTCAAGTTTTTTCTTTGGTTTGGTTTTTGTTGTGAGCTATCAATTATGGGCAACCATGCTTTTCGATGCTGAGATTTGAAAATTGAAATAGATAAGAAAATCTATTTTGGTTTATTAGCGGCCAAGCATATTTATATATATGCTAAAGTCTCTATGACCATAGATTTAACTGATTCGGGATTAAATTTAGCCATATATCCAGGAAAGAAAATTGTCCACACAAAAGAACTATAAATACATAACTTCGATATCGTCATCACTCCAAACAATGAAACAGTGATCTTAGATCCAAAACAAAAAATGAAGTCTCTTATAATCTTTGTGGTAGTCATTGTTATACATTTTCGATTAAACGAAGCATGCATAAATAATACTGTGACGATATACAACAGACTTACTTGGCCCGTCCCCTACCAGATTCTCAAAATAAAGTGCTTCGAGGACAGAATACTTATCCACGAAGAAGACTTAGTAAATGAAGCTGGTCTACGCTCTGTAGCAAATAAAGCTAAGGATCGATACATCCTCACCTTTAGAGAGTATAACGGTGAATCAAGGAGAGTATACAAATGTGATTTGAAGCACGGGCCTGGCTTTCGGAATTTCTATGATCTTCTTCAAGTATACAGAGGAGCCGAAAGAAAACGATGTGGAGAGACACGTGAGTGGTTTGACAAAAATGATGGAATTTATTTTAGGAGAAATGGTATAAACCCAATAGCACGCGCGCTTTCATGGAAATGGAAATGAAGGTAGAGATAGTGAGCGTGATACTCGTTTCTTCTTTAAATAAAACTAACATTGATGTTTACGGTAACTACTTTTTTTTTATATGAACAAATACATGAGATCGAAGGCATCTACTTTGATATTATTTTTTTTTTTTGTCATAAATACTGTAAGAAAAAAGAAGTTCATTTGATACTTATAAATATTGTATCAATGTTTTAAATAGTATTAGAATATTATAGTATGATCTCAGTGCGAAAACCTTAAACATCATTTTATATATGTATTGTCTTATCAAAAGAATTTGATGTTTTTGCAAAAGGTTGGATGTAATCATACAACTAAGTATTGGTATTACACTTTCTAAATTTCAGAAGTTTTGGAGGTCAAATATCCAATACAATAAATAAACAGATAACCCTAATAAAAAATATATGTGACTAGTAAATCTTGATAGATAATGACTTTTATATGTCAATGATACCAAGTTTCACTGTGCCTACGTGAGGTGCATATATAGATAAAAATGTCAGAAAAGAGACAATAAAGGATGCATAAAGGACAAAGAGAGGTTGAAAGAGCGCACGTAACTACATGCAATTACAAAAAGGTTCAAATACAAAAATATAAACACACACTCGTGCTTGCTCGGGAACATCTCCTGATAACTAATAGCATCAATTTAATATGTCCTCCAAATTATTATACTTTTGGCACCAATCTTTCCGAGTTCACACTTCACACCACAGCAGTTTCTGTTCAAGTTCAAACCCACTAATATTGACCCCCTCGATCGTACAATGTCGCATCTTAGTTTTGAAAAAAAAATTAACAAGGAAATCAAGTTAATCAGTATGATAAACCCCAAAAGAACAAAGATTTTAGGAAAACAAATTACTCTCTGTTTAACTCTTAATAAAAAAATGATTTACTGGTAACACCAAAACTTCTAGCTCGAAAATCCACTGAAATATAAAGAACATAAACTACTGTTAAATTGTGAACATAATGAAAGTCGACCATAGTCTACACCAATAGAGCAATACCAATAGAAGGACGCAATTTTATTACGTAAAAATATACTCTATCAAACAGTATTAGAAACTACAGTAAAATGCTGTTATATTATTAAAATACTAACCACGTACGTACTAGTATCATATACGTGAATAGCGGCAGAGTATTTAATAGAGTCTATATACCTTAACAATTAGGTTATCTTATGAATCTGGTGGTTGTAGTAGTTGGTTTTCTTATTGCTCAGTGTATAACATCTAAAAAAGCTAAGGAAAGTTGCATTTCAATTATGACCTTTTTCCTTGTACTAATTTCCATCTGATCACTTACTACCACATGTCAATTAGTTAAATAATAATTTGGGGTTCCCAAGTAATATGTTACTGAAGCCGAGCCGACACAGAGATGAGGCCACCAACGCAAGTGCTGTCCTGGATCACGACCGTCTCTTTTTCCAACGCGATCAATCTCCCCACAAAACCAAAATGTTTATCAGCTCTTCATTCTATGCTTCATCTCTTTCTGATCTCTCTCTCCATACACTTTGTAATTCACTGTTAGACATTAAAGGAGACAAACTTTTATCCTTGATTCCCGATCTTGTCCATTTTATTTGATCCTTTCCATACTCTGTCTGTCTAATGGACTATTTCATTTGCTCAGGGATTCATCAAGCTTATATCGGTAATAAAGCTAGTAAACTAATAATCAACCAACAGGGAACAACGATACATATGAGTTATACAACATTTAAACTAAAAAATATAATTAATTAAAATCGACCACTGACCTTAGTCAATAGATTTAAAACATTGTAAATAATATACAGATGTATTGCAGATTAGCCATCAGTTAGTTATCAATCTTGTGAAAAATGAAAAATCGATTTGACACCAATCACTTCGTCCAATTTTTTTAATCTTTTTAATCTAATCTTACAATTTAATTACCAAGAGGTTTTCGGCTTTTGACCGTTTTAAAAAAAATAGGGACCAGAGCATATAATTAGTCTTCTCTTCAACATCCAAAAATATGAACGTGTGATATGAAGGCACATTTTCTTTGGCAAGTCCTCCCTTAAGACACTAGTAAAACTATATATGCTCGGTTAATAACCCGACCTTAGATATCCACTATTTTGTGACAAGAAAGTTTTAAAACTAATATTTAAGTGCTTAATATATGGTTGTTTTCATAAAGATATAACGATTGACTTTTATTTTACATGCGTGCACTCCGAGTCCCAAGATAGTAACTTTAACCTTCCGTTCCTCAAACTTTCTCCTTGTTTCTTTTCTCCCTACCATCTTCTCTCTGTACCCTTTTTCAATCAATTATCATATGCTATTTCCACCGCTTTTGTCACATCGCAAACCTTGTATATATATATATATATATACACATATCTGTACTCATACACACACCCACACATAAATATTTATATACACATGCATATCTAGATTTGTTTGCTTTCCTAAGCACAAACATCATCACCTATCTAGATAAATTGTACCTTTTCTTTCTCTGTGTTTCTCCTCAAAGAAATGACTGATCCAGCTTTTCTCTTCAACAATGGATATGTCGACTACTATGACTGTAGCTTCAACTATTCCACTTCTCTCTCACACATCTACAACTCTCATGGGAACTTATATTACCCTCACCATACCACAGACCCAGTCATCAACACAACAAAGCCTAATTCTACATTACCTGACTCTCCTCCACTTAGAGAAGCTCTTCCTCTTCTTAGCTTAAGCCCCATTCATAAGCATCAAGAACCTATTGTTCACCATCATGAGTACTATTTAGTGGAGACGACAGAAACTTCTTCTAATTCAAACTTTCTCGACCAGTCCCAAGAAACTCATAATCATGATGTAACCGTGGATCTTCATCTAGGGCTACCAAACCTTGGTGGTAGCGGGAGCAGCAGCAGCGATAATGTCCTTCATTCCACCGACGACCAAAAGCATCATCATGATTATCATCAAGATCGTCATCAAGATCAAGGAGTAGAAGTTCAACTTGCTTCCCATGATGATGGCTATGGTGGTTTGCAACGGGGTGATCATCATTATCATCATCACTATTGGATCCCTACTCCTTCTCAGATTTTGATGGGTCCTACACAGTTCTCTTGTCCTCTATGCTTTAAGACCTTCAACAGATACAACAACATGCAGGTAATGATATATTCATCCAATAAACCTAACTCTAATTAGTTGCTACTTTCCCTAGAATGATTTTCAAGATTTGACTTTTTTTGTTCTTGAAAATGGTTCTTGATTTATTTAGATTTCTTATTTTCTTCTAAAATATTAATCATCGCTATTTTCCTCAAATCTTCATCATGAGATCTCCAGCACACACTATTTCTAATTTCATAATAATAAGTACTAGTATAACTCGAGAATAACTTTTCATTTGATGGTACAAGTCATCAGCTGCCTGTACGATGCATTGATTGATGGCTACGAGAAGATCAATTAAAATCAATCAATGGGTTTAAAGTCAAGAAGATCTTCTTTAACCAACAGTCTTTTTCAGACTGACTCTTTCTAGCCCTAAAATATGATTAGTCTTCCTCTCCCATTTTTGTTCACTCTTGAATTTTGCGCAGTTCTACTGCACAACACTCATTACCCTAAAAAGTAAAAAGTAAAAGAAAAGCGGAAAATAATTCAATGTCTTGCAGATTATTTTGTATTCTTTGTGTCTTCACATTTTCTATGATATATTTTATTCCTATTTACCCTAAACAATCACATAGCTTTATCCTGATCTTGATCTCATCCACACTTTTGTGTAAGTATTACTAATGTACTATTACACACAAGATAAAATTATTAGTACAAAAGATAAAATGATCTAAAAGTACACAAACTATACTACAGTACTATGATTAGCGCCGTCAAAAGCACAAGAATTAACCGATTAGTATCTTGAAACAATATGAACTTTCTGAAAGTCTTATTACATGATATTAAGCTAAGATACCACTGATCTCTTTAACCATAGCATAAATTTTCGATGTGATTAAATGTTGTGATATTAGTTTGGATTTTGATCTTACATCTTTTTATTAAACAAAAGTAAATGGTTAATATCCCTCTTTTGTTTATAACAACAAACTAAATTTTTAAGTTTATGCGCATAACAGAAAGGTTCTCAATATTACACATGTTCTAATTGTTATGATTGAAATGTCATTAGATGCACATGTGGGGACATGGCTCACAATACAGAAAAGGACCGGAGTCGCTAAGAGGGACACAACCAACGGCGATGCTGAGGCTGCCGTGCTACTGCTGCGCACCGGGATGCAAGAACAACGTTGACCACCCGAGGGCAAGGCCGCTCAAGGACTTCCGTACGCTTCAAACACATTACAAGCGGAAACACGGTGTGAGGCCCTTTGCTTGTCGTAGGTGTGGAAAGGCTTTTGCGGTCAAAGGAGACTGGAGGACGCATGAGAAGAACTGTGGGAAGCTTTGGTACTGCTCATGTGGCTCGGATTTTAAGCACAAGAGGTCGCTTAAGGACCACGTCAAGGCTTTTGGGAACGGTCATGTTCCTTGTTGTGGCACTGATTGCTTCGGCGAGCATGAGGACGAGGAGGCTGCTTCTGATGTCGAGCAGCAAGAATGATCGTATTTTCTTTTGTTAAAAGCTTGTGTTTCTTCTTTGTATCTTTTTTTCGGATTATTTTCTATGGTAATAGTATAAGCTTTACTGGTTTTTTTGAGCACCACCTACTCAACTATATGCATACACAAACACAACCAATTGAGTACCATGAGCAACAACAAAAAATTGCTAGCAATTATAGTCTGCAAAGGTAATTTTTGAAAATAATAAAAAGAAAATCAAAGTTTAAGAAAAATAGTATCAAGAATCCTACACTTAATTTTATGGATGGAAATGTATTCATTATTTTATTTATTATCAATGGATGTAAATTGATCTATAGTAAAGCTTGTGGACTAAGCTAGGCTAAGGGAATTAATTTGACCAAATCAAAGCTTGTGGTGCTTTTCGCATTTCAACTAAAGTTTTGGTAACATTTCCAATTTAAAATCGGTTTACCCACCCGCTTGTAGATGGTGATCCGGGTCATAATCGACCCGAGATAAATCCGGGTCAACATAAACCAGGGGACAGGGAACACGAGGATGAAGATGAAAGGTTAGGTAGAAAACGAGACGCACGCAAAGGTCAAGCATAATATTGCTCACTAGGCTAAGAATTTGAAGACGAAAGCTGTGGATTAGGGTTTTGAGCCTCCACTTTCCATTGATTAACCCCCAAAACTATCTCTTCCTTCGAGTTTAGATATTCTCCTCGTCTCGTCTTCTATATACACATTCTTCTTCGTGTTTTCTCCATTTCTGAAGTCGACTTTGGAATTTTACTTTGGAATCACCAGAAAAATTCGGTCGTGTTCTGTTTCTACTGAGCAGCGATAAAATCTATTGATCAATTACTGTGAGATAAAATCGATGGATTCTCAGATGCTCGTGGCGCTTGGACTATCCCTTGTGGGTGGATTAAGTACTTCTCTAGGTTGGTCAATGTTTTCAATTTCTCATGAATTGTATCTTCCGATGTGTCTGATAGTCTAAGAATCATGATTCATTATTGTGTTTTTCGATTGTTTAAATGGTGACTGATGGTTCTTCTGATGCTCAAAATCTGCCTTTGTTTACCATCTTTGACGAATTGTTTTCTGTAATTGTATTCGTGCCATCAAATTGTGAAGACTGGAATTGTTAATGTTACAAATGCAATGGTGATATTGTGTTCAATACATTGCTAGTTTCATAGATAATGAACATTTGGTGTTACTTTTGTAGGTGCTCTTTTCGTAGTTCTTAGTGATACTCCCAATATGAAGATGCTTGGACTCCTACAGGTGATGCTTGATGAAATTTCCCATTCTATAGTCTCAATTTGTATTCGATATCAAATATTATACAGGATGCTTACAGTTCTAGTAGAGCAAGGTCCTCATAATTTACTAGAGCCATTTGGTTGAGTTTCATGAATTGCTATCTTCAAGCGTTATAGGGTGGGTAGTGACAAGAAGTTGTGTTCACGCACCAACATTCTTTTGCTACAAAGCTTTTCACTTTAGAAAATTTTGATCCATAATATTGATCTGATGATAGTAAGTTCTTTCGACAGGGTTTTGCGTCTGGTTTGATGTTGAGCATTTCGTTCCTGGATTTGGCTCATAATGCAATAAACTCTATTGGGTTCTTAAAAGGCAATCTCTGGGTTAGTACTTCTGTCCATCTTGTACCTCAGTGGTTGTGTTATACAAGTAAGATATATTTCTTCTTCTTCAAACTGAAAGTAATATAGTTTTCTAGTGATGCAGTTTTTCGGTGGTGTGATATTCTTTGCATGTATTGCCAAATTCATACCCGAACCAACACTTGCTCCTTCTACTGACGTGAAAAGAAGAAAGGCAAGATTGGTTTTTTGTTTTGCTTTTAAACAGTGTTCTCTTTCTGCCTGAAATGTTGTGGTTCTTTAGTGACATGAAAGTTTGGCAAATTTACTGATAACAGAAAAATGGAGATGACGGAGGTAAGGACATGGCAAAAAAGCATCGCCGGCAAGTCTTATATAGTGGAATTGTTACAGCTATTGGTATGCTAACTTTCACAACCATTTCTTTATTTGTCATCCGAGTTTCGATTGCATTTAGTTTAATCTGTAATTTGTTGGCTAGATGTTACTACTAGGACTCCTGAAAACCATTGCATCAATGTGTTCTTGCAACTCTGAACTCTTCATATTTAGCAAACTAGTCAATATATTTCAGCACAATAATGTGAAAGACGTAATGATCTGTATGTTTGTTTGATCGGGAAATATCATGTCTCTTGGCCTTCTTTCTATAAGGTTTTCTTGATTTGAATGTTATTTTACAGCTTAACTGTTTATCTAAACTCTTTATGTATATCTTTTTCACTTTGAAATATAGGAATAAGCTTGCACAATTTTCCAGAAGGGATGGCCGTATTTCTCGGATCAATAAAGGTGAGGATTAAGGATCATGATGACCAAAAAAATTCAGAGAGTCCAATCTGATAAATTCTTGTCTCTTTATGCTCTCTGATGACCTGCATCACCAGTGTATTAATAAAAATCTTTGCTTGTTGGATTCTGCTTCACAGGGCATGCGAGTTGGTGTTAATCTGGCTTTGGCAATCGCTTTACACAACATTCCCGAGGTACAGATTCTGTAACCATTAGAAGTTTTTAAAGGCTGTCATATCTACTGACTTACCTAGCTCACTTTATTAAAAGAAACCTAGAAAGAATGTCAACTCTTATTTTGTTTTGCTGTGTTTCCTGTTTGACTGCCTGTTTTCGACTTTAAACTAATCTCAAAAACGAGTAAACAACTAGAGTGTTCATTTCTCTGATTCGACATTCTGCTCTGGTGTGATATTTTCAGGGTGTTGCGGTTGCACTGCCGATTTATTTTGCGACAGAGAGGTACGAACATGGTTGCATATGGATTCACAGTTATTCTTCTACCCACGTTGTATGTATTGATCCCAAATCGATATTATTGCATGTAACAGCAAATGGCAGGCATTCAAATTGGCAACACTCTCTGGTTTAGCTGAGCCTCTAGGCGTAATCATCGTGGGTAAGTTGCACTGGTTTCTTCTTCTGTACAAAGTACCTCTTCTCTTAAAGAGTATTGAGAGAGTATCATTAACTGATACATCTTCCTTGCAATGCAGCTTATCTATTCCCGAAATCCTTGAGTCCAGAGATCCTTGAAGGCTTGTTGGGAGCTGGTAAGTAGGAACTTTTCAGGAAATCGATACTTCACAGTAAAAATCATTGGACATAGAAACGATACAATACAAAATTTGTTGTTTGTATGATGCAGTTGGTGGAATCATGGCTTTCTTAACGTTGCACGAAATGCTTCCTTTGGCATTTGATTACGCTGGACAGAAACAAGCTGTGAAGGCTGTGTTTGTTGGCATGGCCTGTATGTCTGCAAGGTAAGAACACAAATCCAAAACCCGTGGCTTTGAAATAGCGTTTGCATCTCTGTAGTAGTTTATGATTTTGGTGATGTGTTTGCTCTCTGTTTTTGCAGTCTTTACTTTCTGGAGCTGAGTTTGCCTGAGACAATGAGCTTGTAAGTTAAAATTATGTCATTTGTGTAATAATTACCTCCTCAAAGACAGAAAATCAGTCTCTGGAGTATAGTCTCTTTATATCTGTGAAGACAGTAAACAATCTGTAAAAAACAAATGAGTATTCGTTTTTTATTCAAAAGGAATAATCTCTTTTCACTTAATTCAATCTTTCTTTACCAACTTCTGGCAAATTTCACTTTTAAAATCCATGTGATCATCTGTGACTAAAGATGCTTTTGCAAAAATAGAAGTTTCTTTCTTTTTCATTCGAGACTCATTCAAACAATCCAATGACTAATTTTTTGATTCATTCCTAAATTTAGCAACAAAAATTAGAGAATCATGTCTTGCTAATTAATGGCAGACCTTGAAACTCTCTCTTTCGCTCATTCCCTATTTTGTTGTAATATAAATACCTTCACCACCTTCACCTCTAAGGCATCACGTAATAATAAAACCCAAAACAAACATCAAAAATAAATAAAAAAACAAAACAAATAATGGAAATGAGGAACATGAACAACTTCTTTGTCGCCCTCTTTGTCTCGGCTGTGTTGATGAGCTCAGCCACGGCGGCTACCATGGAGTCTCCAGCACCAGCACCAGGTACTTCCTCCGCCTCCATGGATTTCCCGGTGGTTGGCTCCATCGTTGCTGCATCACTCTCCGCTCTCTTTGCTCTCTTGCACTAAAGAGATCAATAGAGGAGGGCTTCTCAGAGATTATACATAAACAAAACTCTTTTTTTTTGTTCTGATTTGTTCCTTAGAATCTATGCAAAATAATTTTGTCAAATAACCCATTTTGATGTATAATCTCATTGTGTAAGCTATTACACTGATATATTATGAGTATATGATAACAATAATGTATAATAATAACATTATCCTTTGTAAGTGATGTTGATCAAATTTTATGAATCTGTCCATTAATACCTTCATTGCTTTTCGATTTAACGTCTTTAATACACGAAATGGTCACACGAAAACAAAAAAGTTGTTGTTGTTAGTGTTTCTTGTTCAAGAATTGGTTTCATCATCGTTTGGCTTTCTCTTTACATTCATGAGACTTTTGGTAAGCCAAATCGCGGTTTCTCTTGATGAAACTGTTTCATCTCCAAATGGCTTCAAGACTCCTTCGAGCTCATCGAACTTCTCTTGCCTAAGTAAACCTGCACAAAGCTCAAGCAAAGACTCCAATGCTTCTGCTCTCTCCTCGCTCCTCGGGCTCTTCTTCTGAAACTCGCGTAGCAGCGTTAACGTGCTGATCAAGGACATTTCTTGGCTCTTTGCTGGTCTCTCTTTCTCTTTTGAACAAGAGCTTGCGTTCTTGTTTCCCTTCTCTCTTTCCTCTGCTTCTTCCGTTACTATTTGGTTATGTTTAATGGATGTTTTCGCGGATTTCGGAGTACCGTTCTTTGGAGGGAGACGGGTCTCGCCTGTTCTGCTCTCGTAGGTGTTGTGTTCTGATTTGGAAACAACCGGTTTGAAAACAGGAGACAGATTTTGGCATTGTTGAAGATATGGCTGTAAGTGAGGATGTCTTAACAATTCTGCAGCCTATAAGAGAACATTTTACAGTTAGAAAACAAAAAAGCCACAAAAAGAAGAAACTTAATGGAACTCATCATTCATCAACTCACAGTTGGTCTATGTTCAGGGTTCTTGCGCAACATACTTTTAATCAGTCTTTTTCTGCAAAAACATTCATATAACATTAACTCTCAAAATATTTGTCTACAGTACTAAAAGTCTAAAACTACATGTGTACATATGCATACTTACAATGAAGAGGAATACATGACTGGTAGAGGAGAAAGCGTAGAGCGGTTAATCTTGTTGATGAGTCCAGCCATGTCCTGTTTCCAAGAAACAGAGTTTTCAAGAAGCTCTCGTAAAGATTTTAACACAAGTCGAAATGAAAACAAGATTCTTACAGGAGCCTTGAAGGCTGGTTGATGTGCAGCTACTTCAAACATACAACAACCTGTAAAAGCCATAATCTTTGTGAGAAAACCAAGAACATAAACATTTTTGGGGATTGTGTAAGTTAAAGAAGAAAGAGATTAAACCTAAAGACCAAATATCAGATTTGTAACCATAAGGTATATCTGCAAGAAGTTCAGGGCACATGTAGTTTGGTGTCCCAACCATCTACAAAACAAGAAGAATGATTCAGAAACAACTTCGGAGGAAAAAGGTATAAATCACAATGGAGTATAAACATTACCGAGGAAGCGAGGTCATCTTTGCCTAGAAGTTTTGCAAGGCCAAAGTCACCTGAAAAAAAAGAAGAGACAATTCAGGATCTGAAACAGCTTCTTTAAGAAGTAACATTAGAGATGATTTCTTTACCTAGTCGAATCTCGTTTTCTTTGGTGAGGAATATGTTGGAGCACTGGAAAACATGAAATGAAGTGTTAATGGATGCTCTGTTCCATTGAAGCAAAAGAAGCATTTGAGAGCAATAGAAGTTGAATTAACCTTAAGGTCACGGTGAAGAACTCGGTTGTTATGAAGGTAATCTATAGCCAACAGTAGCTGAACCATCCATCTGCATAGTTTCTACAGAGAAGATACAATCCTAAGTTAAGATTCAATATCTTTACCAAATAGTTTTCTTTATATGATTACTCACTTCTTCGGATGCGAATACTCCTCTAGCTTTCTTTATCATTTGAGTCCTGCATTTACCAAAAAATCACTTAAAGAAACCACACGAGTATCATCAAAAACAATAAAATTTGAATATGAAGTGATTGACTTACATGTCTCCACCCTCACAATAACTAGTTACAATGCATACACAATCCTGCATATCCAAGAAGTAAGAAATCTCAGCAAAGTTTGTGCTTGATGATGAGTTTTGAAGTAAAAGACTATGTTACCTTTTCAATCCATGAATCTTTGTACTCCACAATATAAGGACTCTTAAGCTTTGATATCAAACTCATCTGGATTTCCGTCAGAGAGACAAAGAAAGAAAAGAAAAAAACACATTTTTTTTATTTTCAAGAATTGTTGTTGAATTATAATCAAGATTCATTCACAAGTTAAAAAAGCTTGCTAGTGTAATTAACCTCTTGGATCGCAGCAAGCTTGCATCTCTCTGTTTGTTTAGCTAAACGAATCTTCTTCACTACATACCTACAAAGAAGAAATCCAAATATTTGATCTTAAACCAGATCAAATAAAGACAAAAAACAGCACAAATTTCTTTTAACTAACCTTCTTCTCTCGGACTTGTGAATCACAAGAAAAGCAGAACCGAAAGCGCCTCTTCCGATCTGTTCCACGACTTCATAATCATCCATCTTTGAACCTGTCTCACTTATCTTGTTTGCCATCTGTGAGATCTTCTTCTGTAGGTTTAAAAGGATTAAACTTTCACAAGATTTTACTGTTTGATGGAGCCTCTACGCTTAAGAGGATTCATATAAAAGCCATGAGCATTAAATTCTGCGAGAATCAAGAATTAAAGGATCAGGCAAGAAGAAAAAAAAAAACTGGGACCCTTTGACCAAATTTTGATTTTGAAATATCGTGAAGAAGATAGTTTCGTAATTTCTTCTTCTCTCTTTTTGTTTTTTTCCCTTTTTGAACAAGATGGGGAGGGAAGATTTGAAGATGAAGCAAAGAAAGGTCAGAGAAAGTGAGGGAAAATTATTTAAATGAGAAAAGAAATATTAAAGAAAAAGAGAGAAGAAGAAGATTCAATTGACAGGTAAGACGACCAAAGCAAATTTTGCTTGAGATTTCAGACTGTTGTTGTTGACATGTTTGTTGTTATTATCACGTATAGTGCTTTTTTATTATTGTTGATATGTCTCTTTCATACTTTTACACTTTTAGACAATAAAACATTCTCTGAGTTTATATTTGTTTTATTATCAGTCGTTGGGTCGTTATGAGTTTCTAAAAATTAGATTCTGTGTTGAGATTTTTTTGACCCAAACCAAATGTGAATTTCATGACTTTTGTTACATAATTGTTTTACCAACCAAAGAAAATCTGTACAGTCTCAAGATCTTCTCTTAATGTTTTGGTTGGACCATATCTTAACTCTTTTGGTTAGAAGTTAGAACCACCAAATATTAAATATTGTATAGACATCACAATATTAACATTACTCTTTTAAAATATACACATCAACAAGAGGATACAAGATTAAACTTTACTATGTGCTTCTGTGTATGGAGTCTTTATTCAGATTTTGTCTTTCAGTTTTCACTACTGAGTTTGCTTTAGCTATGTCTTCCTATACGGCGACATGGTACCTGAACACGTGTTTTAAAACATCTTGTTTTTTTTTTTTTTTTTTTTTTTGTGAAGAATATTAAAACATCTTGTTGAAACGGTAAAAGTAACTGTTACAGAATTTGTAACAGGTAAGTCCTCTGGACATGTTTACTTATGTTAAGTCAAGAAGATTTGAAGTCATCACAAGTGAAAAATATTCAAAAAACAATACAACAACAACAACAAAAATCAAAAGAATATGGTAAGTGAAACTTCAGAATATTGTCTAATATAACAAAATGCCTGGATCAAACTTCACTCGTACTACAAAACTGCAAAGTAATACCGTACGTGCTTGAAACATATAGAAGAATCCTCAGGGAAATTTAGTGACATCAAAGATAACACATATATAATGCACTCTTAATGTTGTAAAAGAATACACTCTTAGTGTTAGTATAAGACATTTCACATTTGCAATTTTGAATTACTATAGTAGACAATATCTTAACGCTTCACAGTAACCACCACCATGGTTTGCGGGAAGGTAGTGATGGGGGTTTCCTATAAAAGGAGGCTTTGTAACCTTGATGAAGAGGAAGATGGTCAAGCGGAGGAGAATGGACCGGAGATGGTAGAGGAGAATGGGCCGGAGATGGTAGAGGAGAATGTAGCGGTTGGAAGTTAGTGTGAGATTTCAGGAGCTTACGGTTGTTATTGGCTTCACTATGTGGGATTAGAGTTACCAAGAGAAAAACTAGGATGAAGGAAAGACCTTTTTTTGGCACCATTTTAATTATATGGTTCGTACTGAATCTTAATGTTTACGATCCTAATTAGACTCAACTATGGGTATATATTGCATACAAATACAAACTCACTAAAATTAGAGGGCTCCCACTACCACTAACTGTTAAGATTATTTTTGTTGGATTATTTTTCTTAAGTTTATATTGGTCCGGCTTTGCCTTTTCTTCTTCTTTTGAGTTTTAAATTAGTCTTCTTTGCGGTTGAGGCCTCCCTCAAACAGTAAACAGTAAACTTCTATATTAGTGGTACTAAAATACCAACAAAATGGTTGTCTTTGATTAGTGTTTCCTAAACAAATTTTACAGCGCATTATCCACTAATTATTGGGAGTTTTTTTTATTTAGTGGAACTAGTCAAAAGGTTAGCTTAAAAAATAATTTGGGTATAATGAAACTTAATTGAGTCCCCTCATAAAACACTAACCCAAAATTCTTCTACCAAACTATTTATTGGATTTAGGATTTGAATTTAGTATTTACAAAATGTCTGCACTAGGATTTGAGTGAAAATTTACTATGATTTAGTATCTATGTCTAAAGATGGAACTCACGGGTGTGCAAAAGAAGTTTTTTAGTCTTTAAAATAGTTACATCACATATTTGAGAGAAGAGGCATAGCTTTTCTCTCTTTCATCAAGAAAAACTAAACACGAAAGAGTTGTGTAGCTTGAGAAATTATGAGTCAGAGATAGACGTACAACCGTGTAAGACTAGAAAATAGAGCTGAGGAACAAAGTGAAATGAGTAAAACTTGCGATCAACGAAAACACATGCATATTTTTGTTTTAATTTGGAAGTAAATGGTATTTTTTGGACAAACAAGTAATTAGTTTAAACGCGCGATCAACGAAAACACATGCATATTTTTGTTTGTTCGACAAGATTTGAAATAATCACAAATTGAAAAGAATCAATACAATCATCATTAATGGATGGATCGAACTTCACTCACAGTACAAAAGAGCAAAAAAAAATAAAAAAATTGTGATCGAAATATAGAAGAAAGCTCAGAGAAATTAAAGACATCAGACAATACATAATCAATGCACTAAAGTCTCAACTCGTCATAGCAACCACCACCATGGTTTGCTTGAAGGTGGTGGTGGTGGAGATTTCCTATAATAGAAGGCTTTGTAAGCTTGAGGAGGAGGAAGAGCAACCGGAGGATAGATAGGAGTAGGAGGAAGAGGAAGCTTAGCCGGACGAGGAGGAGGAGGAAGATCTGCCGGAGGAGAGGAGTTTGGAGTAGGAGGAGGAGGAAGATCTGCCGGAGGAGAATAGACCGGAGATGGAGGAGAATAGACCGGACTTGGAGGAGGAGGAGAATAGACCGGAGATGGAAGAGGAGAATCTGGTTGGTAGTTAGCTGGAGTATACAGGAGCTTACGGTTGTTATTAGCTTCACCAAGTGCGATTACGGTTGCCAAGAGAAAAACTAGGGTGAAGGAAACACCTTGGGACACCATTTTTAATCGTTGTGTTTCTTTTGTTCTCAATGATAATGTGAAGATCATAATTAAGCTTAACTATGTATATATATATGTATAATTTATTGGAATTACTTTCTTACTTAGATGGTTACCACTAACTTAAAAGATATTTTTTGGATTGTAGTTCTTAATAAACATATATATTGGCCGGCTTTGCCATTTTTGTTTGCATTTTTAAGTTTCTAATGAACTGGTATTAAATATCAAGAAAAATGTTGTTCTTATACAAGTAGTTCGATAATGACTTTACAACACATTAATCGTACATGATTTATATTATCTATGTTGATTTAGTTGATACTTTCTTAAAAATTAGCAAACTATTTTACTAATTATCGACTTCTTTTTGTCGGCTCGCATATAATCAGAAAAACTAGATAAACTTTAAACTTTTATAAACGAGTTACAAGCTGTTTGGAAATTAGTCAAAAGGATTAGCTTTAAACAAAACTTGGGTACTCTCAAACTTAACTGAGTAACCATAAAATCCTAACCCTTAAGAACCATTTAACCACCGTCTGAGAATCGGTACCTTCGCCGTCAATTATAAAAAGAACCCCTTACGTTACTTAAATTCTTCTACCAAAAGTTCATTCTAAAATATTGATCCTATTACTTTGCCATGACAAAGATGAAAAATTAAAATAGTTACTATTTTGACCTCTTACCCTTGTGCCGCAAGAAACAGATCTCTTTTCAGTCATTCCACATAGTGAAAAAACCCGCCAGGATTGGAACCTTGAACAGACTCACCGGTCCAACCACCATACCCTCCGGCTCCATCACTCGAAGGCATATCGTAATCTGTTTTAACGGTTGGAAACTCCTCAGTGGATCCAACGGTCGAGCTCGACCCCATACCAATACCGTGGTTCCCAAGAAAAGCTGCAGTGTTGTAGCTCCCCGTAGAGCTACCTCCATTGTTATTGTTGTCAACGATAGATGTAGAGACAAGTCGATGAAGCAGAGCCGGATTGCTATGGAGATACGCGTTATAGAGCTGCTGCGAGTTCTGGCTCGATTGTTGTTGCTGCAAGTAATTGTTGGTTTGTTGGTGAAGATGAAGCTGCGTCTGGATATAGCTATGGTGATTAAAAGAGGAGGAATCATGAGCGTTGTTGCTGTTGTACTGGGAGATGTCATTGTTCTGTAGAGATAGAAAAGGCTCTAATGGTTGTTGAATGCTTAGAGGGTAGGGTTGAAGCTGAAGCCTGGATGAGCTCGAGCCAGAGCCAGAGCTTGAGCCACCACCGTATTGGAAACTTGAGCCAAGGGCTATCATCTCGGCTTCGCGTTTCCTTGAAGACTCTAGAGCTTGAGCTTCTTTGAGCCGCTTAGCTGCGCCTCCACCTATAGGAAGTGTGCTGCTCTCTAGGATGGCTTTTACGTCGTACCGGTTGATCTCGAAGTTGGTCACCGCATTGAGTCCTCTAAACTTTATGGCGGCTATATCGTAAGCTTCCGCTGCTTCTTCCTCAGTGCCTGACCAGATCGAATCAAATCATTAATGATATATGTATGAATTATAGTATGTATAAGTATTAAATAAACTTTGATTTAAAATTGTTAATTTGTTCTAGAGATTTTGAAACGACTCTTATATATATGGTTTGCGTATGTAATAACAAAGTACTTACTAAAGGTTCCCAAGTAGAGGTCTTTGTTTCCGGCAACTCGGCCGATCCTTGCTTGCCATCTTCCATGTTGGTGGTGCCTATACATATATATATGAAAAGTAAAAAATATTTAGTATATGATGCTAATAAGACCAAGTATGTGTATACACATATATAGAGAAATATGTAATATGTAGATATATTAAACCTTGTAACTCCTCGATACATTGAAGCACCTCGTGAGAATCCGCTACTTTTCCTGTGATTAACGAATAGAGAAAAGATGTTATTAGATTAGAGAAGTTTCGATTTATATGTAAAAGGGCATCATGAGAAAACACAAAACAAAACACCTTCTAATAGCAGCCACGAACTCTTGTCTTGTCATGTGCTTCATTTCCTCTACTTCTTTCTCGTAGTTAGTAATCTGATGATATTTTTATTAATTGAATCGAAGATTAGAAACATGCAAAAATTACACAAGAACTTATTGCAAGAAAAGTATCAACATACCGGGAAATTAGTAGTAGTTGAGGGACCCCAGTACTTAAGTGCAGCTAGATCATATGATCTTGCTGCTTTATCTTCTTTGTCATAACCACCTATACAAAGAGTTTGATTTAATCTAATTTCCTTAAACAAAATAGTTAATATGATTAAGCCACGAGTATGATAAAGAAGAATCCAATTCGATATACTCACCCAAGTAAACTACAGATTGTTTATTGGATCCCCAAGATTTTACGCAGAAAGAACAAAATATATGAACATTGTTAGTGTATACTTATGAGATAAATCAAAACTAATTAAAAGACAGAACCTATTTAACTGTGTAAGTAAATTTACTTACCTTGTCTTCCTTTCCTAGACTGTCCTTCCCTTCTACAACTATTATCCCAAAGGTGAGCTTCATATCGACCGGTCCATCGATGCCTATATAATTGAACCGAAACCATACATACACATTTATTCATCATTATAATTCAATATTCAATATCAATAAACATATAAAGAATCAATTAAGTGAAAGTAATGAGTCACATATGTAACCTTGTGACACCACGATAAATCGAGGTTCGTTGTCCGAAAGTGTCCAAAGCACGTCTTGGCGTGGCTGTCTCGACAACGGCTACTGCTCCACCGCTAGTGTTATCGGGGGTGGTCTCGGACGGTGAAGCTTTGGCAACAGCGTTATTACCACCGGCAGTCCCCATGGACAAAGTGAGTGACTGTAGATTGTGAGCACTCTCTTGAAGCTCATAGCTATTGTTAGGAGTGTTGGAGTCACAAGCTACGACGACGTCGTTTGATTGGACGGTAGGCATCAAGCTATTGGTATGAAAGTAGTAATCTGAGTCGTTGTAAGCTACAAGGTGGTTGGGTTGGTTTTCGTCCGGTTTGCTCACACCGAGAAAATCAGCCACTTTTGGAACCTCTCCTCCTTCACCTCCTCCACCGTGTGGATTGATCATATTCCACTCTACAAGCATAAATATTCCATTTTAGTATGTGAATATACACAAAAAGAGAAGCATATATGTGTACATATATGGGTGTTACCTTGTGTCTGAAAAGGGTTGTCCATATGGTCGCTGACCAAGCCAAGGTTGTATTCATGAGGAGGCAAAGAAGACTGGTTTGGTGAAAGAGGAAAGCCAAGCCAGTTGTTAGAATTCATTTTCCCTTTTTTGAGTCAAATCTGTTTATTTTTGGGTTTAGCAATCACTTTGGTATGATCAATATACCAAGCTCTAAGCCAATCAAAGAAGAAAGGAAGATTCAGTAATCAAGGATTCAAGAAGAGAGAAATTAATGATCAAGACTACTTTTCAAAGATTGGAGAATATGTATATATATAGGTAGAGATCTTCTTCTGCTTTATATATTGCCAAAAGTTCTCTCTCTCTCTCTCTTTCTCTCTCTCTCTCCAAAAGCTGGAAACTCTGATAATTTTAGGGTTTTACAAAGGATATTTCTAAGAGACGAATATAGTGGAAGGCCATAGAAGTTTTAAGGTTTAGAGAGACCCCTTTAGTTATATGGATTTTAGCTAGAATACTAAGAGAAATTAATATAAATTACTATACATATGCACTATATAATTTATATGATTATATATTTTTGTAATATTATATCAAGGAAATAATTTAGTCCAGTATAGGATTTGAATTTTCTGACAACATTTTTTCCCACACACTTTCGTATTCGAATCTGAATTATGATGTAGTAGCAAAACTTGTCCACACCAAATAGAGTACAAACAATAAAACAACAATATACAAATGACTCTATTTGTTTTAAGATAAATGTCCATTTCACTCACATTTTTCATTCAAATTAACAGAAACTAATAAAAAAAACTACTATATGCTATTATATACCTACAAAGTTTTTTAACTCTTGAAATTTTATTACATTACATTAAAAACAATATTATGAGCGGTCTCCGCTTCATGTAGTAAGACAAAACCTAAGATTCCAACCGGAAAAATCCAACCCTAAGAAGCAAACTTATTTTCACTCACAATTAAAGGAGTAATAGAAAGTTTTCTAAAAGAAGATTTAACTCTTTCTCTCTCTCTCTAGTTCGAGCTTCTCTCTCTAAACCCCACTAGGATTATGGGAACTCACGTCCCCTCGTTTAATGCGTTTCATGACTCCTCAAAGCCCAGCATTCCCACACTCTGCAAATCACCTCTCGGCCTTAATTACCATTTGACCATTCTACGCAAAGTCTCACTCTCTCTCTATCTCTCCCTCTATCTCCACCTCTCTGCTTTACTTAGACATGTACTTGCGTATATTTATCCATTCATGCATGTGTAAGCGTACATTTAACTATCTATACATTATACATAGTACATGCATATATTTACGTTTGAAACAAAGATAATATACTAAAGACAGCAAATCGGTTGCTGTAAAGAAGCGAGAAACTATTGTAGATCCCTGAATTCTCTCTTCTGCATGTGTACGGTCATGGAATATTATAAGAGCCAACTTACTAATATTAGAATCTTATTTGGAAAGGGACGGTAAACGTGACATTTCATTCAAATAAAAAACTTGCATTAGAGGCGTAGTAGATAAAACTATCTTCGTCTGATCTTATATTGTTAAAATGTACTGTAGTTTTTATTTCGAGAAAAAGAAAAGAAAAAAAAAGATAGAAAAAAGCTAGTAGTAAAATTGGTGGAAGAATTTGTTTTTGTCTCCCCGAGTAAAAATCTGTTGACCGCTTAATCGGTCTTCGCACCCGTCAAAAGGAAGAGTCCTTGTTAATTAATTAAATTGAATAAAACTATTATTGCTTATGTCCTTGCACACTATGAGATTGTATTGTGCTAGGAGCCAACAACT